TAAAATTTAATCATTAATCAATATTTAAAATCCCATAATCATAAATTCTCAAGTTCTTTAATTAGTTTTAGTATTTAATTTAAAATATTTCTTTTATTCTTCTTCTATTATCTTCTTTAATTTGTAAACTTACAAGTTGTTAGTTGTAAATTACTTTTTGAAAAATAAAATTAGCTTAAAAGGTCAACTAATAACAATGTTGAGAACTTTTCTTATAAGAACTCTATCCTAATTCATCAATTTAATACAATCAAAGGAACTCAAAAAGTTTCATTGAAATCTCGGATGGTCCAGAAACACAACATCAAATAAAGATTTTACGGATAGCAATGGTATCTAACCTTATCAAAAATCAATATACTTATTTGAGAAATAAATAGTTTTTGAAATTTCTGAAAATTTTTGTTCTAAAATTTTATGAATAATAATTATTGAAAGAGTTCAAAACAAGATCATTTAGTATATAATTATTTAGTAGTAAATAAACAAGATCATTTTGTGTTACATAATAAAAAACTTTTTTATTTGATCAAAAGTTTCCACAAATTTTTGCCTCTTAAAATTTCCTGATGTATGTAACCATCTGAATTAGTTTTGTAAAATTTATTATATATTTATATTATGTAACAATAATTATATATTTTTATATAAATAGTATATGAATAATAAAGAGGTAAGCAAGTTCTTGTCAATTAATTTAATTACAATTTATTTTGTTGAGATAATATTTGTTAATATTATTTATGTGATTAATAAATAGTTGTTGTTATTTATTTTCTTGTTTATAAATTAATGAATTAGTAGATTTGTTACAAGAAATATTAAACTGACATATGAAAATTTATATAAGTGATTAAAACATTATTAATATCAAATTTGACTTTGTAAAGAGTATACAAATTATCTATTTATCAAAGTGGCCAATTTCTGTCATTAGACCACATGACAATAGTAACTAATTTTTGTTGTCAAAAATGTGACCTAAAAAATATATCACACCACTGATAATGGTGACCAATTTCTGTCATCAGACTACATAATGATAGTGGCCAATTTTTGTCATCAGGTCACATAACTGAGTGGGAATAACTTAAGCTAAATGAAAATAATATAATTATGTTATTTTTATTAAAGCTATATAAACTTTTATTAAATCAATTATTTATATATTATCTATATAATTTTTTTTAATTTGATCACTTATTTTTTGTTCCTCCTTTATTATTTTTATATGATGGTGACTACATTGTCAAAAAGAATAAATAATATAAAAAAACTTGCTAAAAAAAAAATATCAAAATAATTGAAAATAATAATGATACTGATAATAATACTGATATCAATGAAGAAATTAAATAAGAAGATGATGAATTAGATAATAACTGTAATAATTTGCTTCAATCTTTAATAATACAAATGCAAAATTATATTTCACCTACACAAAAATTAACATATACAGGAAATTCTGCAAGAACAAAATATAGACATAATGCCTAAGCAAAAAAGAATACAAAAAAAAATAGACAAACAATTGAAATTTTTTTTTCACAATTGAAACAAATAATGAATTCAAATTGATACAGAAAAAAATAAAAAAACTGAATATCTTGATGATGAAGATAATAATAATAATTATCAAAAGTAATTGACTTTTTGAAACATAATTAAAAGTACAAAATTTGAATAAAAGTTATAAATTAAGATTGACTGCAGTTTTACAGTATATGTGATTTTGTAAATTTGAAAAATCAAAAATAAAGGCCAATATGTGTTTTGCAAAACAACTTAAAAAAGAACCTTGTTTGTCTAATGTCTTTGTTTATAGAGTCTTTTATTACAAAATGGAGAAAGTATATTTTTTTTTAAATGTGAAAAACATTACAAAATTGAAAGTTTACTTAATGATAAAAATATTCAAATTCAAATAACATCTTATTTGTGTGAAAAAAAATTTGAATTTTATATTGCTGATTTTATTGATTATGTTTCAAAAACTATTTTTCCATTACTTGAAATTGAAAAACAAACAACAATTAGGTAATTTATTTTTATTAAATATTTTTGTTTACTTGTAATATTTAATTTAATATTATTTTTAGTTTAATGTAACTACTGCAAGAAATTGGCTTAATAAAATAAATTTTTATTATAAAGAATATCAAAAAGGAATTTATATAGATGGATATAAATGTAAAGATGTGATGAAATATAGACAAGAATTTTTGAAAAAAATGGAAATGTAAGTTAATGTTAAATTTAAAAATATTTAAATAATAATTTGATTATTAATTTAAATTTTAATTTAATTAGTTATCAGAAACTAATGCCAATTTATGAAAGCAATGAAATGGAATTACAAATTAATTCAGAATTGCAATCAGATAAAAAATTATATATTTTAGTAATATATGATGAAACAGTTTTTTATTCAAATGATAGAAGAAATTTGGGATGGCTTCTAAAAATGAACAACCTTTACATCAAAAAGGACAAGGAATAATTATTCATATTAGTGATTTTATTTGTGAAACAATTGGAAAATTACAATTATCTGAAGAACAAAAATTAAATAAAATTGGATTCAAAATTCCACATGAAAGTTGAATTATAATAAATCCTAGAAAAAATCATGATGAATGGTGGAATGTTAAAAAATTAGTTGAACAGGTAATTATTTAATTTTTTTAAAAAAGATAAATGAATATGCAATTCCCATTTTTGAAGTAACATATCCAAATGTAATTGGTATTTTTGCTTTTGATAATTCAACTTCACATGCTGCTTTTACACCAGATACTTTAGTTGTATTACATATGAATGTAAATCCTGGAAGTAAACAATCTAAAATGAGAAATACAGTATTCAATGGACAAGTTCAAATAATGGTTTTTTCAGATGATTATTTTGATCCAGCACTTTGAGAAAAATCTAAAGGAATGAAACAAGTTTTGGAAGAATGTCAATTAATGAAATCAGGTTTAACAGGATATTGTCATAATAATAAATCTAATGATACTCAATGTTGCATGTGACATATTCTTGAAAATCAACCAGCACAAAAAGAAATGATTCAAGAAGTTATTGAAAAAAAAGGTCATAAAGTAATTTTTTATCCAAAATTTCATCCTGAATTAAATTTTATTGAAATTTATTGGAGGGCTGCTAAAAAATATTTACGAAAAAATTGTGATTACACCTGAAAAGAATTGTGCCTATTGCTTTGGATCAAGTTCCATTATCTCAAATTAGAGCATTTGCAAGAAAATCATATCATTATATGGATGCATATCGTAAAGGAATAGAATAATTCCTAATTCATTTTTTGACAAGATTCAATATATAATTTTTTTATTAATTTTATCCGATGATCATATGATATTACCCCTATAAAATTTGGCCACTATTTTTAAAATTTGATGTGATTAAGGGTGCTCGAGCTGTACTAAATATGTAAAACGAAAATGTTATTCGTAATTACTATCTTGCTTATTTTAATATATTAGCTTAATATTACAATTTTATATAAGCAATTGTAGAGTGGTGCTTCATTGAAAAAATGAATAATTATATAATTATCAGATTTAACATTTCATATGAATTACAACAAACGTAATTCACTCGAGAATTTATTTTGCTTAAATATATAATACACATGTAATTGAATGTAATGCAACGAAAAATACTAAATTAAAGATTTTAATAGTTCTCATATTTCATTCTATTCTAATTTCAAAATAAAAGCCCAATTGGATGGATATTGTCATATAGTCCAATATTAAAAAGTTTAATACTTGATTTTGTTAATAATCTGTTAACCTGATTTCACAGTTTCAGTCATTAACCAACTACAGACAAAAGCGGTTTTATTTGTTGGTGAAGTAACTAGCCATTATTCAAAAATTGTAATGATCTCATTCGCATTGGTGTCTTCTTGAAGGACTATTTGGATTCAGCAACTGTTAGAGAAAATTAATTTGTACTATATATTTCTTTGTAGATTGTTTGATTCGGACTATTCAGTGGAAACGAGTGAATAAAACAAGTCAACATCATTAAATGGATGTACATCATCAATTAAATTTTCACAATATATGAATGATTCTTTACAAGTAACAAAAATAATGTCAACCTTGTTATCTAGATTTCATGAAAAGTTGAGACCCGAAAGTTTCGTAGAAAGATCTGAAACCTATGACAGCTCAAAACTAAATCATTTTAAAGGAAGTTTGATTATATGTTCCAATGACTTTTATGTAAAAGGTGTCAGACATTTGGCTTGGCTACAACATTTAATCTATCAGGATCACCAAGCTTTGTGAGCGAACAAATATTGGAGTTCTTATTCGTCCGAAAATTGTATTCTAAAAATAATAATGAAATCACAATTCAAATTGAAAATTCTGAGAAACTTTACAAGAACTCAAGGACACTATCCTGAAGCAATTTATACCAGTCGACTTCTTGTAAATGAACCAAATTTTACAAATAAACTTGAAGAATTAAATAAACAATTTTTGCTTTAATCATTAGTAAGAATCAATTATATTCCCATATGTTATATTTTTGATTTTTACAATTAACTATTAATTTTATTTCCATTTTATTTAGTTACTTCTGGAACAATCAATATTTGTGTTCCTAATGATTAATTAAGCTATGTTTCTATAAATATTTTATAAATATTATTAAGTTTTATTATTATTTATTTTGAAAAAAGGTTTAGTTATCTAATTATTTATTCTTGTGGTTCTAAATTATTATTACATGTATTTCTTATTGTTTTATGCTATTTCGTATATATAAAAATTACTATTTAATTTATAATTATTGATGATAAGGTATTGATAAGATAATTCTTTGAATCTACATACAAAAGCTTTAAATACATATATGATAACAATCTATAATATAAATATATTTTAGATATCTAATTTTTTTTTTATAAAAAAAAAACTTCAACATTTATTTCTTGGCTTTAAAACCTCGGGGAATCAATTATCTCATCCCCGAGTTCTTCCTCCCCCTCTCCTATTTCCTCTACCTCTCCTATGACCTCCACGACCTCTACCTCTTCTTCCACCCCTTCTTCCTCTCCTCCATCCTCCTCTATTATTATTATTACTACCAGCAATGCCAATCCTATAAGAAATAATTAAGTTACATAAAGAATTTACTAAATATGAAAATATATAAATATAAGTATATATGTATATGTAAAAGAAGTGACTTACTTGTTATCCAATAATTCAGAAACTTCTTCATCACACATAATACACCCTTCTATTGGTTTTTTATTTTGCTTTTCAAGATATTCAATTTTTAAAATGGTTGCACTACAATCTTCATTATCACAAGTTTCATCTTTTAAAAATGACACACCTTAATTAGAATAATATTATTGATTTAGAATATTATGAATTTAGAATATTGTTTAAGTTAGGATAATTATATATAAAAATCAAATCAAATCAAATAATTTATTAATAATAAATAATATAATAAAATCAAATCAAATAATTTATTAATAATAAATAATATAATATAAATAATATCACCTTTAACCATATCAACAAAGGAAGAAACAAAATTACATCCATTACAAGATAATTTCCATCTTGGTGCAGATGTGGCATCTAATACCATTTGACCATTACATGATTCCAATTGACATGAACAAACTGAATTCATTATTAATGAATGTGGACATGATGGATGTGAACATTTATTGCATCCCATTCCTATATACATACATAAATTATTTAAAATTATGTAATTATTAATTGTATAATAATAATAACAATAATAAAATAAATAATATAATATGTAATTATTAAATATAATAATAATAATAAAAAAAAAATTAATATATTTTTTTTTTTGGCATACCTTTTCTAGCATCTTCAAAAGGTGGGTGATTATAACAATAAGGGCATAAAGGGTACCCAACACTTTTAGACCCGGTAGAGAATAATACCAATTCAAAATCATCAAGTGGCTATAAAAAAATTTATATATAAATTATTGGTTTCGATTATTATTGTTCTCTTGGGAAGGACGAGAAAAAAAGGAAATATTACTTACGCATCGAAGTTCTTTATAAAGCTTTATGCTTCCGTTTTGGGGTAAAGAATAAGTTTCACTACAATTTGGACAATGTAAACGTTGGGGACTATAAGATTTTATTATCATAATTGAAAAGGAAAAAAAGATAAGATATTAGTTGAATTTACATTTAGAATAAAAGTATAAATAAATAAAATTTATATATTTTATATACACATATAGATATATTATATATTTACCGGCTTGGAATATATTTCATATAACTAAAAAATAAATAAATAAAATAATAATGTTAAAAAAGAATTTAGAAGAAAAAATAAAGTAGACAAAGAGAAATAGGGGAATATATGTATAAGATAATAATACCGTTTACATTTTCCACATTTTGACAAAACTTTTCCTGTTGCGGCAAGTGGTGAAAAAGTAGCTTCGAATAATTCATCCATAAGTTCAATCTAAGTTATTTTTTCAAAACAATAAAATAATAAAGATATATAATAATTTAATAAAACGGAGCGAATGAATAAAGAGGGAGTAAGAATAAGAAAGGAGAAGAAGAAAGAAGAAAGTAAAGAGAAATGGAAAGAGAAATAACCTTTTCTCTAAAATATTTAAATTTTGCTCTAAATAAATTTATTGAATGTTCTAAAACTTCTGAATGATTAGCTTGTCCATTTGCTATATAATTTAATTGCTTCTCGACATCACTTCGCATTGTAGGAAGAGATAAATCTGGATCAATTTTTTCTATAATAAAAATTATTATTAAAATGTTGATATTAAAGAGAATAAATAAATCCATAATTAAATAAATATATATATATGTAAATTATAATTTAATAATATTTTTTATATAAAAAAAGGATACGATATCTTATTATCATTATTATTATCATATAGAAGTTGCAAAGAAATTGAATAAATTTAAATTATTAATATAAAAATAATAATATTATTAACAAGATACAATAATTTTTTTTTTTTTTTTTTTAAAAAAAAAAAAAAAAATTCTTTACCCATGAATCAGGACAATTCCTACAAATTAATAAATAAATAAATAAATAATTTTTTAAATTAAATGAAATAAAAATTAATAAAAATTATATTTACCTAAATTTGTTGGAACTAATCTTCGAGCAGAACTAGTCACCTATATTATCATAATTATTATTATCATCAAGAAAATATAAAGAAAATAAAATTTCTAAATAAATAGATAAAACACATAAAACGCATGAACTTCCCACTTTGAAGAGATTATAAATAATAAATTACCGAAACATAATTTCGTTGACAAATGTTATTAATATGAACTGGTATTGAAGCATCAGTTCCTATACCATGTTTTTCCATCTATTTTTTGTAAATAAAAGATAAAAATGTAAAATATGTAATAGAAAAGAAATATGTAATAGTAAAGAAAAAGAAAAGAAAAGAATGGAAAATAATATAAAACAATACCAGACTGATAACTTCACTTTCAGTTAAATAATCAGGTGGACTAGTTTGTCCTTCTGCTATTTTAATACTCTTCACTTTTAATATTTCACCTAACCGAAAATCCGGAATATTTTTATCAGATTTCGAATGCCTAATTTATAATAATAATAATAAAGTTTTTTTTTTTTTTTCGCATTTGTTTAAAAATGATAATATTATTATGAGCAAATTGAATATTCTAAAATATTATATAAAAATTCATATACCAATTCATTATCGTGGTAAATCCCGGTTCCGTAGTTCGTGTTCCTGTACATTCATAAATTTAATTTACGCGTAAATTTATCATAAATAATAATAATAATAATAATAATAAAAATACAAAAATAATATAATAATATAATATAATATAATAATACCAATGATTATTATGATGATTGTTAAAATTAATATTAATTACCAGACGTCTCAAAATTTTCGTCCCCAATTTTAATAATGACATTGGTTTTTAAATATTTCTGATTGGAACTTACAGAACCCAAAAAATGTCTAGTAATATAATTATAAACTTTCCATGAATCTCCAAATAATTCAATATTTTCATGTGCCACTTTCATTGGTGTTCTGATATTAAATATAATTATAAATTAATTAAATTAAATTAATTATTATTATTATTATTAATTCTAATAATTAAAATGTAAAGAGAGAGAAAAACAATACATACATGGGTGGATGATCCCCTGTTGTAATAATATATAAATGAAACAATATATAAAATAAGAAATAATATTAAAAATTATTCGTATATCTATGTTTTACATAAAATATACTTACCAACATCAGTTCCTCCCGATGGATGTTCAATTCCTCTTTCTATTAATTCTTTAGAATATGAGCCCCTATTATTATTAAATTATTTATTCAATATTATTCAATATTATCATGTATTATCAAATATGAAAATAATTTATGTTATACAATAATTATAATTATACTAAATTTATGAAGAATGATATTTACCACGAAGAATGATTGGATAAAGTTCTTAAAACTTCATAGATATCAAAATTTTTTGAATATGTGGTAGTTTCTGTTCTTGGATATGAAACATAACCTTGGATATAAAGTCGTTCCGCTATAGACATCTTTTTTAATCATATTTTAAAATAAAAAATAAAAAAATTTATATACGTAGATGTTATAATTGAGCTAAGTTAGAATATATAATAGAAGAATTACTGTTTCATTTGGTCCAATTCCAAGATATGATGATCCAAATTTTAATAATTCCACCTAAACATATTAATTAATAATAAAATTATTAGTAAATATTTTAATATTATTATAATAAATTATTATCAGTAAAATCATTAAAGAATTAAAACTGACCGTGTTCAAAGCATGTGGTCTTGATCTTGTCTTATGTACCGAATTAACAGAAACAACTCTTTTTTAGATAAAGAAAAAAAATTATGAGAAATTCATTTTTTTTTAAAAAAAAAATAGATTAATAAATAATTCATTATACATACTTTGCTTCTTTAAAATCTTTAATTGTATCCAGAAATAAATTTGTTACTTGTTTATCAAAAACTCTAGCTCTTTCCCAATTAACATTCAAGTCTTGTTCATTATTAGCGACAGTTACAGCTAATGACCAATATGATTCAGGACTAAAAGATTGAATTTGATCATATCTCGAAACACAAAATGAAAGAGTGGGAGTTTGACATGGACCATATGAAATTACACTAGAATCAAGATTTCCATATTTTCCTTGAAAAAATCTAGTTTGAAATCTTGTAAATGCGCATCCAATCTATATTTATTTTATTAATAATAAATATTTATTATTATTTTTTTTATTATTTATTATGTTGTTATTATATTATTATTATTTTTTATTTCTTACTTTAAGATCTAACTCTTGACGAGCATCCACCGCTGTAAATAAATATTAGATAAATATTAGATAAATATTAAATAAATATTTAAATAAATGATAAAATTTAAATAAATAATACCTAAAGCTTCATTCTTATTTGGATAAATTAAATTATCCATAGCTCTTCGAATATCAACTTTTGTGATAGCTAATTGTCATTTATTTATTCATTTATTTATTCATTTATTTATTTTTCATTTTTTTTTTAATTATTTAATTAAATAAATAATTAATAAATATAATAATACTAATGATAATATAATAACATTATTATTATATATTCACACGAACCGGAAAATTTAGCACGTAAAATTCTACTTTCTTTAGTTTCTCCAGGAGATGATTTCATATTATTACGTACATTGTCGATAACTTCAAAACATATGTTTTCACCTTCCCGATCACAATCTAACCAAAGTACGACATAATCAACATCTAAGAAATAATAAAAATTAATTAATTTTGTGATAATTAAAGAATAATATTAGATATAATATTGTTTCTTACCTTTTGATTCCTGTTGAAGATGTCGACAAATACTCTGAATTTATTATAATTTAATTGAAAATTAATTAATTAATTCATATAATTTAATAATTAATTCATAAAATTTATAAACTTTAATAAATCATCATAAAGAAATTATAATCCAACCTTTGAACTTTCTTGTTTTACAGTAGATGCATCAAATAATAATATTGGATCAATATCCCAATTATTGTGTTTACGATCAAAATCCAAACTATATATATAAAAATTATTTAAGAGAATTTGAGAATTTAAAAAATTATATTTTTCAGAGAATTTATTAAATTATTTTTATTACCTGTATACATGTCCTTTTAAAATTAATTAATTTTAATTTATAAAGATGATAAATAAGTTTGATCACATAAAATATACATAACAATAATAATTATAATAAAAACCTGTTACAGCAGTAAATTTGAATTTATATTTAAAAGAAGAACCGCGAAATTCTGAAAAATATTCATGAACGGGAGTAGTTGATTTTCGCGTTTTATACTATAATTAAAATCTAATTTATTATTATTATTTTGATTATCTTTAATTATTTTGATTATTTTTGATTATTTAAATTATTTATTATTATTATTATTGATAAGTAAATTCACCTGTCCACCAGGTGCTAAAAGTTTCGTGATAGCTTCGGCCAATGAAGGTTTCTCTGCTATCTAATTAATTAAAATATTTATTTTTATTTAATAATTGAAGATGTTTAATGCTATCGAAATACATTAATTTGATCAATTTAATTTAATTACTGTGAAATTTTTAATTATACCATCAAAATGGTTTTATTATTATTAGACATATTGAAAATATTGTAAAGGAAATTTTTTTTTTTTAATCGATTCACGATATTTATGTTATGTTTATGTTTATATGTATTTATATGTCGATGCAGTATGTAACATTGCAATTTTTTTAAATTCCAAATTCGTAGAAATTAAATGTTAATTATAAATTTTATAAATGATAAACTTTAAAAAAAAGATTATATATTGGTTGTTATAATAATAAATATATCACTTTATTATCATGAAAGAAATTTAAACAACAAAAAAAAATAAAAAATAAAAAATAAAAAATAAAAAATAAAAAATAAAAAATAAAAAAATAAAAATAAAATAAATAAAATTATATTATATACATTGTTTGTGATATATATAACAAAACAAAAACAACATTTATTTATGTGTTTTCGTTTTCCTCTTTTCTAATAACTTGAAAAACTTCATATTCATCTACAGAAAATCCTTGAATATTAATAATTCTTTTTTCATATGTGTGAGCTTGTGCTGACCAATTAAATTGTTCTTTCATCTCTAAATCACTTGATCCAAATACTGGTCCATACATCTTACCATGAAATATTGCACTATTAGCCAAATTACTTCGTACTCTACTTAATATAACATTTTTTGTCGTAGCTCCATTACCTAATGAAAATAAAAAACTATCTTCAGTATATCCCCAAATATCTTTTCCTTTCCAACCTAATGGATTATATCCTCCTAAGATATTTCCATTCTCTTTAACTTTTAATACCACTACACATGGTCCTTTGTTATCACATTTTTTATGAAATGATGGAGGAGTGAATCCATCTCGAGTTCCTCGTAAAATTAATTTAAATTCTTTATCTATACTTGTACCCGGATTTCCTGATTTTTTATCTATCCAATGAGAAATCATTGCTACATGTTTGACGTTAATTATTTTGGAATCTAAATTTAAAGCTGGAAATCTTGCCATCAGTGGTAATTTTGAACTTTGTAAATCGGGATCCAAATGAAATTTCACTATTTCATCAGATAATTCTAAAGGTAATATTCCTTTATATGGCCAAACTTTATAATAAAAATCTTTAGATGAAATTCCCGTAAATCCTACTAAATTTAATAAATTACTGGTCTTATTTTTTAATGCTTCAAAATCTCCATATGTCCAATCAGTAATATGTTTTTCTTCAATTTGGTCAGATATTTGAGCTATCCCCCATTTAATTATCATTTCCCAAATTTCAATTTCTTCCAACCAAAGATCCCCTCTTTTTAAAAGGTGAATAAAAACTTCTTCATCTAATGAATTAAAATTTTTGGAATCAAATACCAGATTTGGTTCGAAACAAGTTTCATTTAAACAAAATTCTCGAATTTTGGAACATGAATCTTGACGAAATGTAATATTTAAGATATGAATTATATTTTTTCGTAACCAATCAATTTCATTTTCAAGAAGATAATCTTGTATTTTGTAGACATAATTTACTAACATTAATTCATCGGCTGCCACCAATAAATGGAGAACATTTACTTCCGAATTATTGGGATTCACATTTACGACACCCGTATAAATATATCTAAAGTTATTAAAAGTAATTTATTTTTTAACATAATATCATATACAAGTACAGTTATAAGCATATAGAGTAGAGTATACAGTATAAAGTATAATCTATATAGCATACATATATATATATATAATCTATATAGCATATATGCAGTATATATAAAATATATAGCATATATATAAATGTATATAACATACATATATATGTAATATAGCATATATATAAATATGTATATATATAGCATATATAAGCATAATATAGTATACTTACTTTAAAATTGCTTCAAATACTGATGGAGATATATTAGGTTTTTTAAAAGTTGTATAATTATCATCTTTTTTTGCCCAATTTTTACTAAAAGCTGCTCGGAAATATGGACATCGAGCACGTAAAATAGCCGAATGAGCTTTAAAAATTTTTCTATCAGGTTCTTCTCCTACTTGAATATGAACATTATAATCATCATCATCTTGAAGAAATTTTTCGAGATCACGGGAAAGTTCAAATAAGGAATCCGCCATTGTTTAAAAAAATAAATGATAATAGCAATAACGGCTTTTAAAAAAAATAAACAATGATGTAATATATAAATATATATATAAATGGACAATGTAATAAAAATTTACGAAGGATGAAAATTAACGAATAACATGAAATTTAAATGCGAGGTTTTTTGTTGTTCATTTATATATAACAAGAAATATAAATGGTGTAGATGATAATTGTATTGTACAAAATTGTACATATAAACGCGCATAAAAAAAATTTTTTTTTTTTTTTGTGACGCAACCTTTTTTTTATTTCATTTGTTATTTTAGAAATTTATTTTAAAGTTATATTTCGCTTATTTTAGAATCATGGCATGGCATTGATTTGATATAGATTATGATAATAAAAAAAAAAAATTTGTCAATTTTAACATTTATTAAACATTGTTATCTATGATTATCTATGAGATTCAGATTTACTACAATCTGAACCAATAAAATAAAAAAAGAAGTAAAGATACAAAGATACAATAGAAATTCTATCAACTATGTCACAATATTATCCTGTGCATTATTTAATAATGTGTTATTTAAATAATAATAATAATAATAATAATAATAATAATAAAGTTTAACTAAAGTAGTTAAACAATAATAAAAAATTTAAGATAGTTATTATAATTAGGTAGCAAAATATCAATGCAGTAACGAACGAACGAATATGAATGTAATTTTTATATGATTTATTTATTTACCTGTTATAGCAGAACAAATAATATTAACATTAATTAGAAGCAATGGATTGAACTTGGGAATCATCATTATTAAATTTATTAATTAAAACTTAAAAAATGAGGTGATTGTTGTTCTTGTTTTGATTTAGAATAATAAAATAATTCAGACAAACAATTTGAACATTAAATCTAACTTTGACTGTAAGTTCAAAACAAGACCAGTTGTGAAGGTCATTAAAAAAATGCATTGATGAAGTTTTGATAAAAATTTGCATTATTTGATTACTAAATTCATTACAATTTAATTTTTTGAAAGCTTTATTTATTTTTTAATTAATTAATTAAGGCAAAAAAAAAAAATAATAAAGATACATATTTCCTTTTTTAAGAGAATACACGCGATACGCGATTATAATTTTGAATGATTTAACGAACAATTTCGCATAGCAATAACGCTATGGCAATTTAACGAAAAACGATGAAAAGGAAATTGTTGGATACGACAAATTCTTCACATAATTTATAATAAGTTATAAAAGATAGATGAATGAGAAAATTTTAATATTTTAGTTTTTCTTTTTAGATATCACGAATTCTATGTGGACTTTATTTATTAGACCTACCTTAATTATCGTATAAAATATGATAACGCAAGTGATGTTAACATCATACCTAATACCCTTGAACCACTACCAGAGTATTTCTAATATTGTATTATATTTAGGAGATTTTTGTGATGATTTTAAACAATTAAATTTTTCTTCAATTCTGTTCTTGTACTATTCAAGAACAAATATCGTATGTTGAAAATTTATCAAAAAAAAAAATAGTTGGAATATTATTTATTCATCAAATTATGACGGAAAAGTGTCCAACAACTTTGATAATATTGGTTATAAAATTGGAAAACGACTTTCTATGTTAGTAATAAAGTTGCTGATGAAATACCAAAATTTTAGTGGCCTACTGAACACAAGTCTACGTTACGATGCTTCCTTTCAAAGAAGTATTGCATCAGCTTTATAAATCACTTTTATTAATATTCTTTTCATTTTCTTGGCTACTTTCGCGATTTTAGGTATATACGATTTTTTCTATCTTAATAATTTAATAATAATAATTTTGAAAAGCCTTTAATTGTTTTTGCAAAATTTAGCTGATATATAATACGGATTAACTCGGTGGAGAAGACGAGGACCGAATTCACAAACTCCTGTAACGACGGCAAATACGCAATATTATGTTCTTGAAAAAGATATATTAGAAAGTTTGCCTGTAAAAAAAAAAAAAAATTTTAAATCTGATAATACCAGAGAAAAAATAATGATAACAGTTAAAGATGAAAAACCTATGTCAATAACAGACATTTTAAGGAAAAAGAATCGAAACAACAGTTTGTAGATAACAAAGAAAGAAATGAAATGGATGATAATAATAGGGGAATACGTATTAATATAATAGAAAATATTAATAACAAATACCTTTAAATCTTGAAGAACAAATAATTTCTACAACCTCTGAAAAAAAAAGAAGAAACATCAACAGTATTATCTCAATCTTCTCTAAAAAACTCTTTACCCTCTATTTCACCCAACATTTACGTTAAAGGAAAAGACATGCATCATCATAAAATACAAGAATTACAAACAACTTGTGCAATATGTATAGAAGAATTTCAAGATGATGAATTATTGAGAGTATTACCATGTGAACATGAATTCCATGCCAAATGCATTGGTAAATAAAACTTTCTTTTTACATATATATTTTTATTTATTTAAATAAATTAAATTTTATATAAATGAATGGTTTACAACAAAAAGTTCAAAATGTCCACTTTATAAATTCGATTATAAATCACCAAAAGAATTGGAATGATAATAATGAAGTTCTACTACTTCATCAACATCAACAACAATGATACAAGTAATAATAATAATATGCATTAATAATTTTTTAACAATTTTTTTTGACAATTGATTCTCCTAACCAACAAATCATTCCAAGAACTGATTACATTTTCACCTTAAAAGAAAGATAAGTATCGTGCCTTTAAACAATACAGTAGTACATCGTAGTGAGACATGTTGTTGCTGGCTAAACATTATCCGACCACAAGAACAACCAGAAGATGCGCTTGATGGATAAAGCCCGAACTAGAAGATCATCATAAGTGCAACCAGAAGATGCCCTTACTGATTAAAGCCTTAACTAACATTACTTGAACCAGAAGATCATCAAGGATCAGATGGTGCATTACTTTCGTGAATCACGGCGTAGTTCAAAATATTTTTGTTATTTTGAAAAACCGACAATCCATCGGATAATCTGGATAAGGTATATCCACGTGACAATATTATTACTACGTTCGATATAACGTAAAGGTCTGTAACGAGTAATCGAAGTAGCTCGCCTAATTTGAAGGAAATAATCAAGAATATTCCGAAGTCTATCCATTGACTCACTCTCACGTGAAATTATAAAAATGATTCTCATCACCATCTTTATTAAATTTTTATTTCATCATGTCCAACGTACTTCCAAAATTCTCCAGAGTTCCAATTTTTCGCACACAAATAAAAAATTCATTATTATTTAATAATTCAAGAAAAGAAGTGATCCCAAAATTAATTTATCGCAATCGCAACACAATCGAAAACAAAAATTTTGTTCGCCGTAATTATGCGACGGAGAGAAAGAAGCATGACAGGTATGCAGTTGCAATTAGTAGTCCCGTATCAAGAAGTCCTAAAACAGATAATGAAGAATACATGGTGGAAAAACTTGCTGGTAATGTGCAAAAAATTTTTTTAAACTCTTGAAATTTTTTTGTGAAAGAAATTTTGATACTCATGATTTTTCTTGTGATTATATAGGATCACTTGAGGGACTTGATGAAGAAAAAATAGGTAAAAAATCTCTGCTATTTTTTTCTTGATTAAATATGAATTAAATATGAATTAATTATGAATCAAATATTAAATCTTTCTGATTTAAATAATTTTAATAATTAGAATCAATTGATCCACAAGAATTATCAACTAAACAAGGATTTACTATAAACTTTGGTCCGCAACATCCTGCAGCACATGGAGTTTTGAGAATGATCTTAGAATTGAAAGGAGAGGAAATTGTTCGTGCGGATCCACACGTTGGATTATTACATCGTGGTACAGAAAAATTAATTGAATATAAAAATTATTTACAAGCTTTACCTTATTTTGATCGATTGGATTATGTCTCAATGATGACCAACGAACAATGTTATTCACTGGCGGTGGAAAAGTTATTAAATATCGAGATTCCGGAACGGGCAAAATTTATTCGCACATTGTTTGCAGAAATTACAAGAATTTTGAATCACATTATGGCAGTGATGTCACATTCTCTTGGTAATTATTTATATGATCATTATATTTTAGATAGGTATGTTGATGAAAATTTATATTTGATCAAGACATTAACATTTGGTTTTTTTCTTTTTTTTTTCAACCTAAATAATTCCAACTATAATTATTAAAATCATTCTAGATATTGGGGCTTTAACACCTTTCTTGTGGATGTTTGAGGAACGTGAAAAGGTACAATAATTTTAAACAATTATTATAATTACATGTATCAGAATTTGATGTCAGAATTAAATTTTTATAAATTTCTAGTTAATGGAATTCTATGAACGAGTATCTGGCGCACGTATGCATGCTGCTTACATACGTCCTGGTGGAGTTGCACAAGATATGCCTCTTGGTTTAATGGAAGATATTTATCAATGGTCAACTCAGTTTGCTTCACGTGTTGACGAAACTGAAGAGTTATTAACTACTAATCGTATTTGGGTAAACCGTACAAAAGACATTGGTAAAGTTACAGTTCAAAATGCTTTAGATTATAGTTTTTCGGGAGTGATGTTACGTGGATCCGGGGTTAAATGGGATTTACGTAAAGTTCAACCATATGATGCATATGATCAAGTAGAATTTGATGTACCAGTTGGTACTACAGGAGATTGTTATGATAGATATCTTTGTCGAGTTGAAGAAATGAGACAAAGTCTAAGAATTATTCATCAATGTTTAAATAAAATGCCACCCGGAGCTGTAAAAGTTGATGATTGGAAGATATCACCACCAAATAGATCTTCAATGAAAGAAAGTATGGAAGCATTGATTCACCATTTCAAATTGTACTCGGAAGGATATTCTGTTCCACCTGGTGAAACTTATACTGCAATTGAAGCACCAAAAGGAGAGTTCGGTGTTTATCTTGTTTCTGATGGTAAGTTGATCATTTAATTTATGCATATAATATATTGATTATATTTAATTATATTTTAATAAACATATTAATAATACTTTAATATTTCTTTGCAACAGGAACAAATCGTCCATATAGATGCAAAATCCGTGCACCGGGATTCGCTCATTTAGCAGGCTCTGATTTTATGTCTCGTGGGCATTACATTCCTGATATGGTTACAGGTATCTATTATCCTGATTTTTATTATCGGAATTTTAGTTATTGGAATTTTTATTTTTAGAATTGTAATTTTTTTAATTAATTTTTTCCAATAATTTAGTGATAGGCACCATGGATATTGTATTTGGTGAAATAGATAGATAAAAGGTCATTTCAAAATGATCAAATTGGATACAAGATAATAGATTATTATATATATATATATATATATTTTATAAATATTTAATTTTTTTTTGGGTGGGATGATTATTAAATGTATTTTTTTACAATTTGATCAAAAGCAATTATTTGATAAGTAATAGATTTTATCTCTTTATATGTATCCCATTTTCAAAAAAAAAAGAGATTAATTATGATATTTATATCATTTTAGATAATTTATTATAATTACATGTAAATTATAAATAAATATTTTTTTCTTAAAAAAAAAAAGAAAGAAATTAACTTACTATTTGTGAAATTATATATTAAAAAATCAATTTAATTATTAAATAAATAAATTTGTCTCATTAATTAATTTAATTCATTTGATTGTTTTTATTCATTCATTTGATTTTGGTTTTCTTCTTGTTGTTCGAATTCATCCCATAAATCTTTATGATCTAACCATCTCTCCTGAACGTCCATTATATCACAATAAGTTGAATTACCACCAATAGCTGCCATCATAATACTTTCATTACCTTGAGTTAATCCACCAAATATATAACCATTAGCTTTATCTATTGCTTGAATAAGTTTCATTACTGATTGTTTGTTCTGTGATAATAAATAAATAAATTTATTTATTTGTAAATTATAAATTATAATTATTCAATTATTTTTAAACTATTTTTAAAAAGTTAACTTACTTCAATACAAAGTGTATGAAATCCAACCAAGCTAAAATCTTCTATTAATTCACATAATGCTTTATTTAATTCTTTAAATCTACTTGTAAAAGGATCTTCATCTAAATGTTGAAGCAAATATGACAAATCTTGTACTTCTGTATAGAAATCCAAATTGAATGCTAATTTTCATTTATGTAACAAAATTGAATAATATTTGATATTAATAAAATATACATATACATATATATCAAAATTAATAAAATTAATAAAAGATGAATAATAAAATACCCAAACTTCCATATGATTCCATCAAATCTATTTTTGAAAGTACATTAATATGAGGTAACTCAATTTGTATCATAGTTTTAAGAGATAACAACAATACAGATATATATTTAGTTGGATCTGTACAATAATGAGCATCAACTAGATGAACTGTTACAAGCTAATAAAATAGTTAAAAAATAATTCATAATTAATAATAATAATTAAATAATTAAAAATGATTAATAAAAAAAAATAAAAGAAGAATTAATTTTATATATATAAAAAAATTACCTGATAGCTTAATTTTTGTAATTTTTCTATTATTACTTTTACTGAATTGTGATGAGTAAAAAGTTCTACTTGACCAGGAAAATCAAATAAAATATAATTCTCTATTATGCACATGAAATATTATAAAACATTATTAATTTATAATCATTATTATTATTATTATTATTATTAAAAAAATTCATTTCAGTAAATAAATCATTAAAAACCTCCTAATGCTTTCAATTTTTCTTCAAGCCAATCAAAATTCTTTTCTAAAAATTCAATACAATACATCATTGCTCCATTTGGACCTAATTTCAATTCTTCCATTGCATCTTGTAAACTAATTAATTCTGCTATATTTATTGCACATTGATATGGTAAATAATCATTGGCTGGATCAAGGTTCACTACTGAAACATTTCTACAATTTTGTTATGAAGGTTTATTTATTAATTATTAATAAAAATTGATAATTCAAATAATTTAAATAAAATTTATTACCTTTCAACACCTCCAAGAAATTGTTGAATTCCATGACAATATGTCGTTTTACCAGACCCGGGAGGACCAATAACAATCTTAAAAAAAAATTATTTGAAATAATTAGAAGAAATTATAAATAATTAGAAGAAATTAGAAATAAATGTAAAATCTCTGTAAATTACTTGACCAAATGGCATTGTGTTATGAATTTCTTCATTTTTGCTATTGGTTTAAAAAAATCAATATATATATGATCGATACCTATAAATTTTCACATGATAAGCTCTCTAACTTTTAATTAATCATATGATTTTGAAAATCTTAGAGATTTATAAGGGGTTAATCTTTTTAAACAAAGAAAAGTTCCTCGTGTTCTTTTTGCCTTTCCGTGATTTTGTATCTCCATAAAACTTTCTGGTTATATACATATTTATAAAAACAACATGTTGAAATCATCTGTTATCATTCTCGAAAACAATTTTTCTACTCAAATTTTGTTAAACAATGAAATTGATACAACTGAGTGAGTAAAAGTTTCTTAAAAAAAAAAAGAAAAAAAAATATTTATTACGCGATCAAAAATATTTACTACGCGAACAAAATTATTTGGAACGCGAATAATCGCGAATAATTTAAAGTTTTAAATAAATTAACAACATTAATGTATAAAATCAAAGTATATAAAATTTATTTATTTTTTTCTATATATATATATTTTTTTTTCGTTAGAAATGACTGATTTTGATGTTGATTCATCAGGCAAATTGATTCTCAATAGACCACCTAAAAGAAATCAACTTTGGATATCTCAACTTCCACTTGAATGCATTGAAGAAATTATTGAAAATCTAATTGACGATCATAAAACATTGTACTCTTGTATATTTGTCAATCGAACTTGGTGTCGTATAAGTATTCCTATCTTATGGAGATATCCTCAAAATTTCGATATCGAACATCAAAAATTTTGGACACGAATCGTTAAGCCAATTTTGATGTGTATGGATAAAGAAACATTGAAGATTTTAAAACATCTTGGATGTAAAATGATTAATTCAATTTATAATAAATCACCTTTATTCAATTACGTTGGTTATATGCAACAACTCACCTACTATGATGTATGTCACTTGACAGAATTTATTCTTCCGAATCAAGATCATGTTGAAGATTTACACAAATTTTTAATGGAAAAAATTTACAACTTATTCTTTACCAAAGGAACAAAATTTTTATATTTTGGAGTTCCAGATATTTCAATTTTTCATCATCAAGAAGCTAAAACAAGATTTTCACATTTACAAATACTTGCTTGTGAATTAAATACTTCATCCAATTTTTTTTATGAATTATCAAAATATTGTAATGATATTCAACAATTATTAATATTAATAGATGAAGATTGTAACAAAGAAAATTTTGGATTAGTAACTCTCATAAAAGCTCAACGATGTTTAAAATATCTTAGAATTCGTTCTATCATATGGAAATCTCGAAGAAGAATTTGTTTATCTAAATTAGCGGAAGCGATTAGGATGCATGTGAATAGTTTGACTTACTTTGAAATATCAGGTTATATCTGTATTCCATCAACCACCATTGGAGAATTAAAAAATTTAAAGACATTAGTAATTTCAATGGATGCATATAGTCCTCAAGAATTAATGATTATGAGCTTTCCTAAACTTGAAGAACTTGAAATTCATTATGATGAATATACACCATTTAATACTTACATGGAAATTATCACCAAAACATGTGGAAAACTTAAAAGAGTTTTTTGGCAGTTCATGGATTTTACTTATAATTTAGATATTAATTTTTACGCTCAAAATGTGATCAACTCATGTCCCAATCTTAGATTTGTATCCATTTATATTGAACAAAATTTATTTGATGCATTAGAAAAAATTTTAAAATCATGTAAATTATTGGAAGGAATTGATATTCAATTAAAGTGGGGATCAGATTCATCTCAAACTAATCGAGTATTTGAATTATTAAGTAGATATTCACCAAGAAATTTAACGACCATAGTATTTGATTTAACCAATTGTGAAGTTTCACCTGAAACATTGGAAACATTTTTACAAGAATGGTGGGGACAAAAAAGAAAACCACTTGGATTATATGTGAATATGGTTGATCCATCACAAGAAATTCTTGACATTGTTAGTTGGTTCAAATTTAAAGGAATTTTTAAAGAATTTTATTATTGCGACGTAATGCCTTTTTATGAAATCGAATCAATTCGAAAAACTTGGCGATCCGATTTTCCTTTTAAAATCATAAGTTTCTAAGATAAAGATTAAATAATACTTTACTGTATATAATAATTCTTTACATAATAATAATTCTATATATAAAATAACAAAAATAATAATAATTTTAATAATAATAATAATAATAATAATAATAATAATAATAATAATAATAGATAGATAGAAAAAATCCGAGATGATTAATAAGAAAAATCCGTTAAAATAGATTTTCATATTCGAATATTGTATTATTTCGTGGAATAAATATAAAAATAATAATAACAATATAAAATGTTCTTATGCCAAAGTTGTAGCATTATGAAATTATTTCATTTCTTTTTATTTGCAATATATTGGTTATCTTTGCGAGAAGCTACTTCTTAAAACACACATCATGTTTTTTTAACGTATTTGCATGGGCTACTTTATCAAATGTTATTGGTTAAATTTCTAAAATTTTTATCATATGATTAAATGCAAGGGTTGGAATAAGTTCAGGGTAAAAATTTGTCACTCCTGTTTATTATAAATCATAAATCCTTCCATATTTGTCAAAACTCTTAATTTATTATGAACAAGTGTGTAACGTCTAAAAATAAATGGACCAAAAATTTCAAATTTGAAATGTGAATGACATAATGAAACGTTATTTCAATTTATGTATTATACTGTCATTAATTTATTCTTTTACAAAGGTGAACTCTAATGATGATGAATCCAAAAGTACCAAGAATTACAATAAAATTAAATTTGTCAAAGATGGTTCATATGTAAACGTAACTATAGCAATACCATATCCACATGCATTTGAAGAAACATATCTAGAAGATAATTTGGACTTTATAATACTTGGAGATTGGGGAAAAAACAACCAAAATGGTGTTCCTTTTGCTATGCAAAATTTTGCAGAAAATTTTGGAACACAATTTATTGTTAATGTAGGAGGTAAATAAATAAATATATATATACATACATAATATATATATATATTTTAAAAAAAGTTTAATTTTAACTTAAATTTTAATTTTTTTTTTTTCAAGACAATTTTTATAAAAATGATAAAGAAGATCATTCAGGGGTTGAAAGTGTAGATGATCCAAAATGGAAAAGTATTTGGTTAGATGTTTATAAAGGGAGATTAGCAGAAATACCTTGGTATACGGTTGCAGGAAATCATGATTGGTATTTCCTATTTAATTATTTCATTTAAACCTTTTCTTGTACTAGAATTTTTTTTGGGGGGGATTAAAGAATATATATTATTATTTTTCATTAGGTACAATAATGTTAGTGCACAAATTGATTATTTTTGGACCAAAAATTCTAGATTCTTTTTTCCAGCATTGTTCTATGTTCGTCACTCATATTTTGGACCTGAAAAGACCAAAGTTACATGGATACATATAGATACAAATATATTCTATTATAACTATAATGAATTAGAGGATATCAATTATTCATTTAAAAGTAATTTTTATAATCTTGGATTTAATAATAAAGATGCATTAATCACTAAATTGAAATGGATAGAAGAGAAATTAGCCGAAAATCAAGATTCTGAATGGATTTTTGTAGTTGGTGAGTTTTTTTTTTTTTTTCTTCTAAAAATACTTTAACATAATACATTTATCATTACATTGTAAACATTTTAATATTATTAATATTATCAGGTCATCACTCACTAGTTGGATTATGTTCAAATAGATATTACATGTCCAATTTACCATTCTTATTTGAAAGATATCGAGTAGCAGCTTATTTTGGAGGTCATAAACACGTATTAGAATATCAATCACCCAACAAAAAATATTTTCCTGTCGCTTATTTCACTTCAGGAGCTGGTTGTCAAACGAGTAAGAAAGGTTGTAAAGGACATGATTGGATTGCTCCAAGAGGAACTTTAGGATTTTTACACGTAAAAATCAAGAGTAAGAAATTAAATTTTGAATTTGTGGATTCTAATGCAAATATTATATATAAGGATAATATAAATGCTATACCTTTATGGTATCCTAAAAAGTGATAAATTATTTGGAAATATTTAAATAACTTTATGAAATGAAATTTTATATTAAAGAAATTCGAAAAAGGATTACAGTTGTAATGTTGTTGGTGTCTATTTATTTATTTATCTTCTAAAAATTCTTTATCATAACAACAATATTAATCAATAATGGATGACACGCGTCACCAGATAATAAAATTAGTATTTATTATTTCGTTAATCCTATATCAATTTATATTTGTTATTAATTACTTATATCGTATGACTAATAATGTGCAAAAAAATTATTAGTAAACGTAAATTTCAAAAAATGTCTTGTCAAAAATATACTAGTCAACCATTTTGATGTAAACACGCAATTTTAACAAAATAATTTTGATAATCAAGATGTTCAAACTAATATATTTAGCAAAGTGGATTGATATTATATAAATAAAGGCATAAAACTAGCTTGTGGCATTAATAATTTTTCTTTCTTATCAAATTACACAAGATCCGATCCAGAAACACTCAAATATATAATCTTAGAAATTATTTAAAAATCAAAAATTCAAATTTGACATTATCTATCAGAATTTTTCTTATATTACTCCCGAAATATTATGTGATAAGGAATATACCAAAGCAGCTGACATTTATTCGTTTGGAATTGTAGTTTATGAAATAATTACAGGCTTCGTCGAATGAATCAAATTTTGAAAAAGAATTTGAAGAGTTAACTAATTATATTTTTGTTTTAAGTGTTAGTAAGTATCAATTATGTTTGCGTATATTATCTTAATTTCATTTCTGAAACAAACCAATATATGCGTACTTCATACATAATATTTTTGTTTCTCCATATTAATTAATTATACAAACAAAAGTAATACTTGACAAAAATAAAGACTTGACAAGTATTTATTGATTTTATATTTCACGATAATTTGCTATATGCAAAATACATATATTTTATTTTGAGAGAGATCCCTCGAGCAAGAATTATTTAAACTTTGATATTTTCATAACAATTAAAACGAATAGTTGAAGCTATGCATTACCTCAAAATGGTTTTAAATTTACATATCATATTTTTTGTTATTTTAATAAAAATCTTTGAAAAAATTGTACAAATATGTAAATGTTATAAATAAAATATATACATATATAGAGATATTTCTCAAAATTCCCAATTTACATTTAAAAATATCTCATTAACTAAACTAAATATAATGTTAAAAAAACCAATGGTAAAACCGTTACAACCATTAAAACCCATTAATGTAACTATTTAATTTATTCATTCCTTTTCTTCTTGATCACCTGAAATACTTCATAATCTTCTACCGCAAAAGTACCATTCTTTCCATTCCAAGAATCCCAAGACTCTCTATGAAACATATCACCCACACTTTGTTCATAAGATTCTTTATTACATGAACAAGATCCTAATGTATTAAATTGATCAGTCATCCATAAATCACCATCACCAAAACATGGTCCATTAATTTGAGAATCATTAATCGCGTAAGAAGCGAAAGATGGAAGAACTCTACCCAATTTTGCTAATAATTTTTTTTTGTAATCTAAATTAAATTGAAATATGAAACTATCTCGAGTATATCTCCAAGTATTGGTAGAATCCCAAGAGAGAGGATTATAACCTCCAATCACATGTTTTGAGTCATTAACTTTAAGCAAAACAACCGTTGGACCTTGATTTTCACATCGATCATGAAATGTTGAAGCCGAGAAACCGTCTCTACTACCTCGTAATAATAATTTAAAATCATATTGAAGTTCACCAGCAGCATAAGAAGAAGCAGCCAAAATAACATTTTCACCACCATCAATCCAAGAAGTAATAAGATTAGCATGTTGTTGTTCAATGATAGTTGATTTAAATCCTTTATGCCTGGAAATTTGGATATATTCTGTTTTAAGTTGTAATCCAGTTTGATAATGAAATCTTTTTAAATCTTCATATAAATTAATCGGTAAAATTTTTTTAAATATTCTAACTTTATTATAAAATTCTGGTGAAGTCATAACAAAGAATCTTATGAAAGGAATTAAATTTTCGAGAGTGTCACGTAAAGTTAGGAAATCTTCCGTCGACCAATTATTAATATCAATGGTAAGATTTGAATTTTGAGCGATACCCCATTCTAATAAATGATCCCAAATAACTACTTCATCCATTTCTAAATCACTACGATTTAACAAAGAAGCTAACGTTTCTTCTTCAAGTGAAGTAAAATCTTTGGCTTTAAATATTGATTGAGGTTCTTCACAAATTGTTACTAAACAAAATTCTTGTAATCCTTTAGCTAAATCTAATTGAAATACCGTTCGATGTACTAAAGCGAAATTTTGTTGTAACCATTCAGTTTTATTCTTGAGTAAGTATTCTTGAACATGATCTAAAAGTTCATAGAGAAATATTTCATCGCATGCCATCAATAATTTTAAAAGTTCATCGCCTTTTAGTTGATCAAGGAAAATATTTCCTGTATACATAAAGCTAATAAAAGATTATTAAAATTTATTAAAGATTATTAAAAAGGAAATTTTAACAATAAATGCGATTGTTAATATATTTCCTTTTTTAAATTTCGGCACCCAACTCTGATTTAAAGAATATTACATACCTTAAAAGCAAAGAAAAAATCGAAGGAGAAATATTAGGTTTATTAAAAATCATAATACCTCCTTCTTTCTTTGCCCATTCATCAGACAAAGCAGTACGAAAATAAGGCGATCTAGCTCTTAACACAAAAGAATGAGCTTTAAATGATTCTTTATAAGATTCATCACCAGCATTAATCAAAACATTGTAATCATCCGAATCCTCAAGAGCATTTCCTAGATCACGGGAAAGTGAAGCCCAAAATTCTGACATTTTTCTTTATTAAGAAATTTTTTTTTTTTTAAAAAAGAAAAAAAAAAACTTGATATTGTTTTGTTTGATTTATTGTTTGATCCTTTTTTCTCTAGAACTTTAGAAAAGAAACAAATAATGAGATAAAAAATTTAGGGATATTTATATCATATTTACAAAAGAGAAATTATTTAATTTTTACAAAGAAACGTAACAACTTAAAACCATTTTACCAAACGATTAATTTTAGTCAAACGGTAACATAACATATAAGTTATTTTAAAACAACAATCTGTATCACTTTATTATTTTTATTTTTTATTCTGTGAATATATAAATTATTTCAATGAATATTCATATCAAAGAATATAAAGAATATAGAAGAAATTTTATTTAATGTCGTTATTTTTTTTTTTTCTCACACGAAGAGAAAAATGGGAAAGAATATGAAATAAAAATAAGAAATAAATAATGTTAAATAATAATCCTAAGTTATTCTTTCTTTTTGTTTGTTTGTTTTGTAATCTTACGATAAAACCATTATTATTATTAGTAAGACAGTTTTTAATAGTAATATATTATTCTTATTGAACAATACTATTATATTATCTTTATTCCCTCTTTATGTGGAAAAAATTCCCTCAACACAAAAGATTTAAATATCATCGTTTTTTGGAAATGATGGATAATAATTAAAATTTGTGGCGAAAAATTATTTAGTAATTATTTCTTTAACACAATATATTTTTTACTATTTTTGACTTCATTCGATGTTGATGAAAATAATCAGTAATATTTTGTAACTAATATAATCAATGAATATAATCAATAAATATAATCAATGAATATTACTAATAAAAATTATAACAAAAAATATATATATATACACAGTTATTGTATAAAATTGTCAATATTTATCAAAAACATTTATAAATATAAATTTATCATGCAATATGACGAGCATCACTTTATTTATTATTTTTAATCAGTTATAAAAATGTTGATAATTTAGGAATCATATTCAAAATTATGATTCATTGTGCCGCATTTACATTTACGCGTTGTGTTCTGTGTTCTTGGTTGTCATCTTGATTTTTCAAATATCGGTATCTTCCTTTCACCTTTTTTGTACATATTAAAAAAACAAGGTAATCATATTTAAAAAATAAAGTGGGATGATTAAAAGCACCCTATTTTTTTTATTTTTTTTTATTTTTTTTTTTAAAAAACCCTATTCCAAATTCAAACAAATATTACAAATATTTTAACTTTTATGATACGAAAACGTGATCACAGATTATTGAAAAAAAAAAGATTTTAAATATAAATAGGTTTCGATTTCTCTTTACTTTGTCAATATTTCAATTAATTAAATTTCAAATCAAAAATTTTTTTGTAACTCAATAACTACATTTAAAACAAAAAATGCCTGTTAACATTCCCGAAAAACCACTTGAACTTCACCTTAGGAGAAAGATTCTTTTGTCCTATGATAATTCAGAGTGTAGTAAGGTAAAGATAACTAATATATATATATATATTTTCCCTGAACCTTTAAAAAAAATTTTTTTATTTAAATTTTAATTAACAATTATAGGAAGTCTTTAAATATGCTTTGGATAATATTTTGATTCCAAATCACGATCATGTATCGCTTGCAACAGTAATAGACGAAGAGCAATCTGCATGGTTACTGACACATACTTCTCAAGAACATAAAATTGCTGGTAAATAATTATTATTTATTGATATAATAAAAATTAATGATTAATAAGATTGATAAAATAGATGATTAATATAGATGATTTAATATAGATGATTAATATATAGATTATAATAGATGATGATAATTTATATAATAATATTATATATATATTAATATTAATCTTAATTTAATAATTTATTTAAATTTAAATTTAATTAGAAAAAGAAAATGCGAAAAGAAATAGACAATTATCATTCTCAGATCATTCGGAAGCATCCGACATCTTGAAACCATTATCAGAAGAATTAGCAAGTAAAGGGGTAAGTTTATTATTTATGCATGTAATATTTTTGATACCATCTCATATTATTTTTAATGTTTCACTGTTTCACTTAATGAATAATCTACCCATTTCTATACACCCAATCACGTCGCTCATTATGTAGATAACTTCAAATTTCTATATTCTAAAAGGAGACCCCAAAGTTCAATTGGTAAAATTATCAGAAAATGCACATGTGGATTTGGTTATAGTTGGAACTCGAGGTCTTGGATTGCTTAAACGGTAATTATTAAAGATAATAATAAAATAAAAAAAAAATATAAATATTTATAAATAAAATTTAAAAATCTTTCTTTTCTCCTTTCCTTTTCCTTTTTCTTTTTCTTTTTCTTTTTTTAGTAATCTTCTGGGAAGTGTTTCTGAATACATTATACGTAATTGTGAATGTTCAGTGTTAGTAGTTAAACGTAAAGCTGATAAAGCCAGAAGTCGACCGTCTTCACCATCTAAATCAGGATTTTCTAATACTGCTCGAAAGAGTCTTCAAGCTCCTATTTCTCTATTCAGAACTTTGACAAAATAATGTTAATATATATAATTTATTTACAGATAGTATAAGTAAAATATAATATTAACATATGTATAAATATAATATAATATAATATAACATAATCTAATTAAATTAATTTCATATATCATTTTTTTTTTACAACCAGTTTTATTATTATTTACAAAATGTAAAAAAATTACCATTAACATTGTATGATTATTTATATAATATTTTTGTTATTCATTATTTCTTGTTTATTTGGAAGGAAAATTTATGTACATTCATGTTTTTCTATCTATTAAAATTTTTTAATATTTGATTATTCCTTTAAACATTTTTTTTGTTATTAAACAAACAGAAACAAAAACAAAAATAAATTAAATACTTATTACTATTGAATACATTTGAATAAAGATCTTATAATTGACTATAATTTGACTTTTGATAACTTTTAATAACTTTTAATAACTTTTATCATTAATTCAAAACAACAGACCATTCATGAGGAATTTCTCCATATTGTATTCCCATTAATGTATCAGCAAATCTTTTAGTTATTGGACCAGTTTGATTAGAAGGATTATTCGAATCTAATGGTACTTCTATATTTAATCCTCTATAATGAATTCCTTTAATAGGACTTACAATACATGCTGTACCTGATCCAAACATTTCTAATAATCTTCCTTTTTCGGCAGCTGTTTTAACTTCTGACATTGTGATTTTTCGTTCTGAAACTTTAAATTCATTCCAGGAACGTGCCAAATATAATATACAATCACGCGTCACACCCGCTAAGATTGAACCATCCAATGGTGGGGTTACTAATTCAGTTTCTAATTAAAGAAATAATATTTAATTAAAATTAAAGAAATTAAATTAAATCAAATTAAAGAAATTATATTAAATCAAATTAAAAAAAAAAAAAAATTAAAAATAAATTATTAATAAATAATATTAAATTAAAGAAATAATATTAAATTAAATTAAAGAAACAAAATTAAAAAAAAAATAAATAAATAAATAAATAAATAAACAATAAATTATTGAGAAATAATAATAAATTAAATAATTAAATTAAATTAAATTAAATTAAAGAATAAATAGAATAAATTAATAATAATATATAAATCAACTTACCACCTTGCTCATTCTTTAAAAGAGCAAAACAATTCATTGTACCCACTTCGGTAATTTCATCATCTTCCCCAAATAACCATAAATTTTGTTGATACCCTTTTTCTGCTGCTTCAATTTGAGGTTTTACACAAGGAGCATAATTTCCTCCAACTTTAACATCTCCTGTACCTCCTGGCCATGCTCTAACATTTTCGGTAGTAGCTAATAATTCAATTGCATTAAATCCTGTTTTATAGTATGGTCCTACAGGTGAACATATAATGAAAAGAAGTGATCTTGTAGTAGGTCCAACTCCTAATGATTCTTGAGTTCCAATTAATGTTGGACGTATATATAATGAGAATCCTCTTTCCGCTGGAATCCATCGTTCCTCAAGGCGAACAAGTTCTTTCAAACATTTAAATAATTCCTTTTCATTAAAACTCTTATTAAATTATTTAAAATTCATATAAAATAGAATTTTTGTGATTGATAAATAAAATATAAAAATATAAAATATAAAAATATAAAATATAAAATATAAAATATCAAATATTAAAAATATATAAATATATAGAAAAAAATATAAAAAATAACTCACTGGTAATGAAATCCTTGCTGCCGATCTTTGGAATCTCTTCATGTTCATCTCTGGTCTAAATAATCTTATTTTACCATTCTTATCTTTATAAGCCTTTAATCCCTCGAAACATTCAAACGAATAATGGAAAACCATGGCACTAGGTTCAAGACATATTTTATCATAAGGTTTAATTATTGGATCATGCCATCCATTTTCCTTATACCATTCAATATTTAGCATATGATCTGTAAAAATACGTCCAAACACCAAATCTTTGTTGGGAACAATTGGTTTTAAACGTTCCGAGCGATGGATTTTTATTCGGTTGTGCTACATATATTTAGTATAATATAGTGAATTATGAATCATTTGAACTTATTTTTTTTTTAATTTTAGTTTTTTTAAGTTTGAATATTTTTATTTTTATAATAATATCAATAATAATTATAATAATAATAATATTATTATTATTTAAAAAAAAAGGCATGATAAAAATGATAAAGAAAGAATGAAGAAAAAAAAAAAAGAACAGATATATTTTTAAAAAATTATTCACGGATAAACCTATAATCACATTCACCTTCCTACGAGTTGTTGTACGGACCAATCATTCTTATAAAGTCGCGTAGAGGGTAACTAGGACTTACATCAATGTCAGTTCTATTATTATTATCAGCAGCTACTGTACTTTGAAAGTGAACTTGTAATAATGCAGTTAACGCAGGAGACCATTTAACTCTTGTTGTTCGAGGACGAAAAGAACAAAGTAGTCGTTTCGAAACGAAATGAAGCATTTTTCACATAAAATTTTTAATTAATTGAAAGAATTAATGAAAAATATTTTATAAATGAATATGAAGTTTAAATGAAGAGAATGTTTAACGTTATAGAGTATATTTTTTTTGGTAAGTAAACGGGACAAAAATAATTTGTTTCTTTGCATTTTAGTCTTACGACATTATTATTTGTTACACAATAATAATCAATTTTTTTGCTTCATTTGGTTTTGTTTATTCTCTTTAATTTAATTTTTCAGCATTTTCAATTTTCTTCTACAATTCATCAAAAAATAATTTTTTGGATTACATATCAACATCAAAAATATTTCTCTTTCCATGATTTCAATTTTTTTTTTTCTAATCTAAAATCTGATGGATTATGTACATATGTATGTATAAAACTATACGCTAGATCTTTTTAAATAAACTAATTTTTTTCCCAATTAATATTATCGAAGTTATTTCTTAAATAATTTCTAAGATTTTTATCATGAATAAAATCCAAAACCATTCTATATTTGTATCTTCAAACTTTTTTTAATGTCACAAGCCTGTCTCTTAAGTGATCCATAAATCCACTTAGCTAAATAATAGTTGCAAATCCACCACTTAGTATTTTGAAATTTATTATTACTTGATATTTAATTATCTGCATTTAGTTAATTATCTGCATTTAGTTGAGCATTTATCAAAATCATTTTTGAAATGCCAATATAAGTCAGTATTTTCTTGAATGCATTCTCCACATTATTGATACCATTTTTTTTTGTTCACTTTTAGTTTACATGAAAATAGATTTGAATTTCATTTCTCATTTCATGAAAATGTTTATTATATTGACTCGGACTGCAGAGATGGTATTTATATGTTATAAAGTTGGAATATTTGCAAAAATATTACCAATAAACTGTTGTAGTAGTGGATGACGCGAAAGTCAGATATTTCTTAAATTGGAAATATGTTAAAATCCAAATTTTATAATCTTTAAACTATACAATTTATGAACCAATTAAAGATTCTCTAAAATTTACATATGATATGAAGTCTAATCCGTGCATTTTATTTTTTTTTAAAAGTATTTTTAGTTCGCCCAATATCGGGTGATTTTGAATTACGTGATTAAAATCAAAGATTTAAACCCTTTTAACCTTTGTAGTATGTAAGTGCAACAAAGTATATACGATAATAGTTTACTTTTTTTTCGAAAACAAATTCATAATTTTTTGCGAAGTAAACAATTTTCCTATGTTGCCACGTGGGTATACCAAATTAGATGAAACCTTAGACATCCAACTATACGTTACTCCCGTAATGGGATTGGATTTGTTGCGATAGATAATCAAAAATAACAAGCGAATTAGTTTTTTCACAGCATTAATTCGAAATAGTTTATGCTAATATCTTCATTTTTTGCAAAATATGTCGTTATTAATAAAAGTAGACCCTTTAAATTTACTTGATACGAATTGTAAGCATAAGTTTTTATTAAAAAATAATAACAGGTGTTATAAAATCCCAATACTAACAAAACATATAGCAACTAAATAGAGTTCTTCTTTACTAGTAAAATTAAAATAATAATAATAATAACAACAATATTTAGCATTAAAAAATGGCCATCAGCTCACGTTATCACATACGTAAATTCTCAATTGTGATTGGATAAAAAAAAAAACTGTCGAAATTCAAAAAAGGAGATTTTAATATGGCCCATCTCTGTGTCACTTCATTTAAATTCAGTATATATAAAATTTAATTTATTTATTTTTAACATTCAAGCGTTTTATTTATTTTTATTTAATTTGGTTCTAAATTTAGAATTCTGATCCAATATATGATTGTGGGGTTAAAATATTTTCTATGGAGATCTACTTCAGTAATTGTATATTATCAATGACTTGGTTTTATTATGAAAGTTTCAGAAGTATATAAATATGGACATGTTAAATAAGGTATATATCCTAAATTGGGATATGCACCATCGATAAAGAAAATTTTTGCATGCGACGATTAAAAAAAAGAATCCAGAAAATAATATTTCACGCGTGTTCAAATCAAAAAAAAATGCGACTTTATTGTTGCTCAACTTTTTCATGATTTATGTAGAATTATTAGTATTAATAATAGTGTACTTTAAAACCTGAATTCAATTTATAGTTAAATATAATTTGAAAAATAAACTTGACCTTTTCAGGTACTCTTTGTTATAAATTAAATAATACAGTAACATAATGAATTAATTTTGGGGTTGGGGTAAAGAATTATATTTATATAATTTATATAATTTATATGACTTTCTATTTTTATTATTTAAGCGACCCACTTTTGATATTGATGTTGGGGAGGTTGGGGAGGTTGATAAGGTTGAGGCGGCGTAAGATTTTTGTCCTTTTTCTTTGCAAATTTTTTAAAACCTATACAAAGAGCCGCAATTATTAAAATACATACTCCTATACTACCTACACAAATAGCAACAATTATTCCAATTGTTTTAGAACCAAATCCATCACCACCTCCAGTATTAGTAGTAGAATTAATTGAACCTGATGTACTATTAGGTTTATCAGGAGTCGTCGTTGTTGGTGATTTATATGTATATGAAGAAATCCATTCATAATTATCTACGTCAAGAATATATATTTGAGAAGTTGGGCCAGTTGGATCAAAAACTGTGCTAGTAAGATTTCCTAAAAATAAATAAATAAATATTAATAATAAGTATAAAATAAAAATATAAAAATAAATAATAAAAATTAAATAATAAAAATATATACCAAATGCAATTATCATGTATTTATCATATATATCTGCACTATGATAAGTTACGGGTTCTGGCTCTGGAGAACCTGAAGTTGTTGGAGAAGTCCATTTATACGTATTTGTGTCCAATACAATAAGGACAGGTGAGGGTGTGAATCCGTTAAAATTTTGACCACCATAAACTATTATTCTTCCGTCCGAAGCTATTATTATAAATTGTAAATAATAAATAAATAAATAACAAATTATAATAACTTTTTTTTGGTGTAAAAATAAATATAAAAATATATTTACTTAAAGCCGCGGAATGTCCATAACGGGTTTCGAGGTTTGAAGTACCACTTGCAGTCTATTATTATTTAAATTTAAATATTAAAAATTTATTTTTATTTTATTCAATATAAATAATAAAAAAATTTGATAGATTCAAATAATTATACTTACAACATTGGCCCACGTATCTGTCACAGTATTGTATGTTGCAAGCTAAAATAAAAAAAAAAAAAAAATTATTGATTTTTGTTTTTGAGGAAAAAGAAGTTTAAAAAAAATTTTTTAAATTTTAACTAATAAAATTACTTACGCTACTATAAGACAGCATTCCTCCATCCCATCCTCCAATATATACAATAGTTCCATCCGATAACATAGTTGCAGTATGATCGGATCTTCCTAATGGTATTCCAATGGTCGTGCCATAAGTATAATCCTGATCAAGAGTTCCAACAATAATCATGTCCGCAAATCTTTCGGTTATGGTTGCCCCAACAGGAGAATCATAAATTCCACCGAATATATAAATTTTTCCATCTGAACCGGAAACTGCATCCGTTATTCTTCTTCTAGGAGGTTCAGTTCCTGAAAAACTTGGTTGGGACCATACATTTGATGTTGTGTCAAACTGCCAGGTAAATCCTGAATATACGTCAGTATTGGAAGCGTCCCTTTGTATTCCCCCAAATAAATAAATAGTTTTATTATCACTTCCTCCAACAGCTGCTGTTGTCCAACCACTGTAAAAAGGTGTAGATGAATCCGATGAAAGATCAACCCATGAAGGACTTTCGACTTCAAAGGAAGTACCTAAATCTAAGTAGAAAACATTTTTAAATGTAACCGAAACCGCTGATAAATCTATTCCTCCTATAATATATAATTTATTATCCACTAACGCTGTTGAATGAGCATAAGTCCCAAGTGGTTTATAAGAATAAACCGGAAGTGTTAATGATTGTAAAATGAGAAATAATAATAGAAAAATTTTATTTTTAAACCTCATTTTTTTATTTTAAAAGAAAGAGAAAATGGAAAAATGCGAAAAAACAATTCGCCACTTACTCATATATACGAAACCATTTCATTAATGCAAATAGTAATTATTACATTTGTGTAAATAACTTGTCTTTATGAATTTGGTTCTATGCATCAAAATTTATTGTCTTGATTCGAATTATCTAGTTTTTTTGCGAAAGCATGACCACATTAGGAAATTGTTTATATTTGAAATTAAAACACCAGTTTTGTAAGACCAATATGTTTTCTTGTGCTTCATTTGCTGTTCGTGTAACAATTTTTTATTAAGTATATATTTATAGGTAACAATGTCATAATCCATTCAAGAAATTACTTTAACAACTCAAGATTGTAAAATTTGACATGACATAAACCTAATTACTATCAAATCTTTAAACTCTTGAAGGAAAAAAAATTTTTTTAGTCAAATATCAAATCCAATTCCTATGTTTCAGCGGCATAAATAAATACAAAGAAAATTTAGATAATTATAGATTTTTTTTTTTATTTTTTTACTTATTTTTAGAAAGAATAGAAAGAATAAGGATTTTTTTTTTTTTTTTTTATAATAAAAACCCATTTTGTAAATTGCATTACAATTTGGTTCGAATCAAGTAAATTGCATTTTGTTTATTTCGGGTTGTTTGCATTGTTTCAAATTTATAAAACCGGTTTTGAATTGCTAAAAAAAACCAATTAAAAATTATTAAATTGACGGCTCCAGATTTTATCAAATAATAATATTTATTTTTTATTAATAATTTGTATTTTCTAACGATCGCTTAATAAATTTTATGGTACATATCAAACCAAATGACAATTTAGTTTAAACTTTAAATATTTTTTCAAAAGATTTGTAACCTTTTATTTAGTTATTAATTTCCTCTTATTAATATCAAAATATCGTATTTCCAAATTTTACAGAAAGAACGAACTCATAAAATAATTGTTATTAAAAAGAATAATCTTTTTATGAACAAATTTTACTACTAATCTTTTAATTTTATTTAATATTCTAAAGCTTTAAGTGTTTCTTAAATATTTCTGTTAAAAAATTTTAGCTCTCTAAAATATATATTGGGAATGCTTAAAAATTCCCATTAAACAGAAAGTCAAATTTAATGCGCACCACCATTACTGAACTGATCCTTAAACATTCAAATATTTTGATGCAAATCAGATATAGTAAATTTTGGATAAAAAAATCCTATTTATTAAGTGGTAAAAATAATACAAAAAAAAAAAGTTTGCAAAATTGCTAAAATAATTAAATTTCGTAAAACATGAAAATAAAACCATCAAATTCTTACGAATTATTCTACTATTCTAGGTTTGTTGCTCAGGTTTGAACAAAAAGCGTAGTTTGCATGTTCACGTCATTTTCACTCTTTATCAAAGTTGCAAAAATGAGAAAATGAAAGTATACGACTATTTTTTTGTTTGGATGTTATATTCGCATTTTAAAGATCATCCATGATCGGTACGTCACGTTATTAGTACGTCACGTTATTATTACGTCACGTTATTGAGTACAAAATAATCAAGATCTGTTTTATTTCAGGATAATATTGATTAAGTTAAAGATGATTCTTGAAAATTAATTCTTCTTGATATATATGTAATTAACAATATTCTTTTTAAAATAAACGAATTTAAATTAATATTGAATATTACAAAAAATTCTCCCAAAAAATACAAAATATCATTTACATATATCATTTATATACTCTAATAAATATATCTAATAATAATTTAAAAAAAAGAAAAAAACCAAAACTTTCCTGTAATTACTAACCAACTAATTACTAAGTCAATATTATATTTACTTTTCAGCTTCAAAAACTGCTGCCATACCCATACCAGAACCGACACACATAGAAATAACACCAAGTTTCTTATTTGTTCTTCTCAATTCATATAAGAGTGTAGAAATTTGACGAGCACCTGTGCATCCAAGAGGATGTCCAATTGCTATAGCTCCACCTTTTGGATTAACTTTATTTATATCAATACCCAATTTCTCAACACAATAAACGGCTTGAGAAGCAAAAGCTTCATTAATTTCATAAATATCAATATCATTGATTCCGAGACCAACTTGTTTGAGAACACTTGGAATAGCATAAGCGGGACCGATACCCATGACATTTGGAGGAACACCAACAACACTGGCACGAATAAATTTACCAAGAATTGGTAATCCAAGTTTTTCGGCTTTCTTTCTTTTCATAAGCAAAACAGCAGCTGCACCATCTGAAACTTGAGAGGAACTACCAGCAGTAGTAGTACCATCTTTCGCAAATGCAGGTTTCAATTTTGCCAAACCTTCAACAGTAGTACTCTTTCGAATACCATCATCTTCAGAAACAACAATAGTTTTTTCTTCTTCCGTTTTAGGATCAACCCATTTGGTCTTCACGGGAATGATTTCTTCCTTAAAGAGTCCAGCGGCTTGAGCGGCAGCTGCTTTTTTGTGAGATAAAGCTGAAAAAGAATCTTGCTTTTGACGGCTTACTCCAAATTTCTTTGCTACATTTTCGGAAGTAATTCCCATAGGTAATAAACAATCGGCTGCCTCTTGATTCGAGAATACAACTTCTGATGTTTGTTCAGGCATGACACCAGCACCATATCCAAAAGTCATACTTTCAACTCCAGCACCTAAATTATAATAAATATAATAATTATAATAATTATAATAAATTTTTTAATTTAACATTAATCTCATTAGTTGAAAAGATTATTGAAAAAAATATTAATAAATAAATTTTTACCAATTCCTATTTCGATTTGATCAAGCGCAATTTCATGTGCAATTTGTACAGTTGCTTGCAAACCAGAAGAACATTGCCTATTAACGGTATTTAAGGCACTAGTATTCGGGATGCCAGCATATAACGCAGCAGCACGAGCAACAGTAGCACCCCCACCAGCTGGAAGTACGTTTCCAACCGCGATGTCTTCAATGGATTTAGGATCAATTTTCGACTTATCAAGAATAGCTTTAAAAACAGCTGCCAACAATTCTTCGGGAAGAGTATCCTTGAAACCACCTTTTTTTGCCTTTGTCAAAGGGGTACGAACTGCAGTTACTATGACAACATCTTCAGGACTTTTCTGACCAATTCGAGCAACACAAGGATTGCTGTATCCTGTTAAATGACTAGCTATTTGTTGAACCCTTTTAGCCATTATTTAAAAATTATTATTGTAGAAATTTGATAATTTGGAAGCGAAATAAAAAAAAGTGTCAATAAGGTGAGAGATTTTAATTAAATCTATTAAATCTCATCTTTTTCATCTTCTGTAATAGTGATTATCTAATACAAATTACCTAATTTAGTATACCCAATTTTTTATATATGGATATTTTTTTTTTTAAAGTTTAAACATTTCTTTTTTTTTACGCCTAAATATTTTTGCGCATATATATTTCAATCACTAATAAATAATATAATAATATAATAAAAATGCTGCATAATAGTTTAAAAATCGTAACGACGGTAAAGCACCACGCAACCACCCGATTAACCCGACTAACCCGTGTTCAATTTTCAAATTTTCAACTTTATAGTAATAACAATAATAATAATGTATTATCAATGAGAACGATATTACCCAAGGTCAATTTTTTCCATACTACTCTCCCTTCTAACAAATATAAAACCAATCCTTCTCCACCATGCTCTCATACAACAAAAAATGAAATCGCTTCCGAAAAACCTGTTTCAACAGCAGCACAATTAGTTTCTGACAATCAACAACAACCTTCAACTGCAAATAATCGCATCTTCATAGCTTTCACTTGCAAAGTTTGTTTAAAACGTTCAACAAAAACAATGTCAAGAAAAGCTTATTATTTTGGGGTAGTAATAGTTCAATGTTCTCAATGTCAAAATCGTCATTTGATCGCTGATCATATGGGATGGTTTCGTGATAATAGAATCACCATTGAAGACATAATGTTGGAACAAGGCGAAAAGGTTATAAAATTTGTAGACGCAAGTAGATCAGAAGTTTTAGAATGGAATCCAGATATTCTTGAAGAGGAAAAAAAATTAAAGGATTCGAAAAAAGCAAATAAAAGGCAAAGTAATAATGAAGAATAGTAGAATAATTTATACATACATATATATATATGTACGGTGCTGGAAATTTTTACTAATAAAACTAATAAACATAAAAATCAATCAATACAAAAGTAGGAAAAAAACAAACTATATGAGAGTCATGTTTCAAATATTGTTTTCCTACTCAAAGGTAGGAAAAAACAAACTATAGGAGAGTCACGTTTCAAATATTGTTTTCCTACTTCCAAGAAATCAGTCATTATCATTTTTTTATCTTTAATATTTTTTACACCATGAAAATTATGTAAATGCATACGAACATTCTTGTATAAACTTGTACGTAAATTTTTCTTATCAATCTCATCATCATCAACACACAATTTGCACAAGAAAACGCATCTTCCTGATAATCCAATCTTTTGGGCACCACTGGTTGTAGTAATTGGAGGTGGATGATTTCGTTTATTTGCAATCTCTCGAGCTTCTCGTGCAAGTTGAGGAATAAATTTCGTATCTAAAAAATTATTATCCCAAGAGTATAATGGTGGTTTTTTAAATGATGGACAATGACACAGATATTGAACAATTGAATCATTCATGGAATATTTTGAAGGAATCAAAGAATAAACCTAAAAAATTATTTAAAATTATTAATTGAATTAAAAAATGAAAAAAAAAATAAAAATAAATTCATCAAAATTTTTTACTTTTAAGAATAAATCATATTGTCTAGCTCTTAAAATAGCATATTCACGTCTTTCGTTATATTCGTGATGTATTATTTCTTGAAATTTGTTCCAATGATGTTCGTTAAATAATTTCATTGCTGAAGCTGCCTTGGGACATATAGCATATTTTTTATAAGTTGGACATCGACGAAGTTCCACTTCCACTTCTTGAAATTTTCTTTTCGCATCATTTGGGACAATCATTGACAATTGTTGAATTACTGTTCTCAATTTAACTTTCTTATGGTATTTTTCCCATGGTTCATTACGAGCAACATTATTACAATATGACGTGATCAAATTTTTTTGTCGCAATTTGAGAAGATTTTCTGCTTGCCAATTAAAAATATCTTTTTTATCCATACTTTCAAATTCTCGAAGTGCATCTTCAACATCTTTTTTCCAATAAATGTATGGTCGATTAATTCGCACCAAAAATGGAAGTCCCGAGAGTGCAAAATCGAGAACGCTTTCATCCTCTTGAATTTTTGTTTTGCTAATCAAAATTTAATTAGAGATTAAGATTGATTGATTAAAATTTAAAATTACATAAAAAAAAAAAAAGTTTAAAAAAGAGAATTTACGTTATGACTCGTTCCATTAAGCAATTATGACAACTACGAACTCTAAATGTCCAATAAATTTTTACTGGAGATTCAGTGGGCAATTCTCCACGTGGATCAACCTTTCCAGCTCCACAAAACTGACAACCTAATTCAATTAAATGTAAAATTGTGTAGCATTGTTCAGAAATTCCAGGTGGAGGTGTTCGTATTGATGATAAAAAATTTGTTCTTGATGTTCTCCAAATTTGTTCAGTTCCAAAATTGGATGGTGCAATTAACCATCGACGAAATTTCTTACAAACTAATGAAAGCGTTACAAGATCAATGGGTGGTATGTATTTACAAATATCTGTATAAACTTCAACGGGAATATCTAATATTATGCCTTTTGACTTTGTACTTGTATTATGTTGATAATGTGTGATACTCATTTTTCATACTTGTATAATTTGAAACAATATGAGGAAATTTGTTATGACTCTATATGAGACGAAATACTTTTAATACAAAATACCAAGATTTTATTGGAAAAACTAGACAGATGTTATAGAGGATGGGATATAAATGATAATGAAATTGAGCCCATATATATTAATAACATTTGATGATGAACTCATGTGAAACAAGTATCAGTGGGCGATGCATGTTTGTCCATTTTCTAAGTGTAACTATTTTTGTACAACCAATAAAATATATTTATTTCAGATATTTTTTATCAGATATTATTTATCAGATCGGATATGGACAAGGCAATAAGAAAACGCCATATTCTTTCATTATACAGAAGCATTCTCAGGGAATCATCACGATTCTTTGATGATTATGCGAAGTATGCATTTTAAAAATGCTTAATACTTGATATTTTCCACAATTACAGATTTATGATTATAATTTAAATAAAGGCAATTCTTAAAGAAAAGGGCAAGAAAGAGATTCAGAGAATATAAAGAGGAAACCAATGAAACTAGAATTAAATATAAATTAATTGAAGCAAAGCAGGTTTGAAATTTTTAATGAGTTATTACGATTATTGTGATTTATTACGATTTATTACGATTTATTAAGATAACTTGATTTTTCATTAAAAATCCATTTTGTATTTCATGCTTTATATTGTTGTTATAGTCCTTAAATCGACTAAAGAGAGCTAATATATTTGATCCTAAATCAGTAAAACGTATTTTGGAATTTGCATATGGAAGAAGGGGACAAATGAGACATAAATTGCTCAAGGTCAATTATAAATACTATAAATGAAATTATCAAATGAAATCATAAAATCATCTCTACCCTTTTTTAAAGCTTTGATAATATTTTATTGTCAATAGCCAATCATTGATGAACCAAGTCCAGCTCCCAAACCTATAGTTAAAGGATATCCTCGAACTGCACCTCCTCGAATGTCACCATCTTTAAAAACTTTAATAACCACACAAGGGAAATCATTATATCCTGTATTACCTGTACCTCCTCATAAACCATTATATCCTTCTCGAAAAGCAAATTTATTATGGTGGCATTATTCAAAAAATATGAGAACAGTAATGCCACCAGTTGATGATAAATTATTTGAAGAAATTGAAAAAAAGGCGGGAAAAGGTATATTGACACCAGAAGGAATTGGATGTCGCATGCCTATCCCTTCAACAATTAAAAGTGATAATAATAATAAAAAAGTAAATCATAAAGTGCAAAAAGTGAATTATCATCCTTTAAATACTCGAATCCTTAAATTTAATACAAAGGAACCTCCCTACAATACTGCTAAACCACACAACCCTAGACCTCGTTTTATACGTAGAATGTTTCAAAGACTCTTAGTTCATATTCCAATATTAAAAGAGTCATCATCTTCTGAAGATGATAAGAAAAGTTCAAATACAGAACAATATCTTGAGAAAAATTATATTATTAAAAAATCACCTTGGGCAGCGGGACGCCCGACTCCATTAGTAAATCAAAATGATTGGAAAGGATTAAATGTTGAAGAAGTAAAGAATCTTCGAACTAGTAAAAAAGGTAAAAAATCAAAGAAAGGCTAGTAATGGAAAACCCTATCTGTCTGCATAGATTGATAATTGGCGATCCAAAAAAAGTTAGATCTACAAAATACAACCCTGTACAAGTATGTAATATTGCATTTTGCTCAAATAATAATAATAATAATGATAAACATTCTGTTCATATTTCTTTTAACATAATGGTTCAAAGTTTTAATTTAAGTGGAATTTTTGGGGTGCTTAAAGTTTTAAAAAATCCACAATTAATTGTACCACACATGATTGTAAATGGTAAAATTGTCTTAAAGAATTCTTAATAATCAAAAAAAAAAATCATCATCAATAAAATTCTTCTAATCATTTCATTATATAACTATTATAACTGAACTGATAAATTCATCAAAAGATATTCGTGATATAAATTTTGAAATATTAAAAAATAAAGGGATCCAAGTATTAGCTTTTGATAAAGATAATACTCTCACCGCACCTTATTCAAATAAGTTACATGAGCAATTTGAGGTAATTTTGATGATTTGTATTCAATTGACTTGATCAGTAAATATATATGTATATATTTTTAATGTAATAAAAAAGAATGCATGGAAAGAATGTCAAAGACAATTTGGTAAAGAGAATATAATAATTATATCAAATTCTATTGGAACAGATGATGATCTTGAATATCGAAGTGTAAGTATAAATTTTGAAAATATAGTTATTATCTATAAATATAAATATAAATATAATTTAAATATAAATATAATATAAAATTTTATATTTTATAGGCACAAAAGGTAGAAAATTCTTTAGGTAAGTGAAAATAAGATTTTTAAAAATGAATTCCTAAATGATTTATTTTTAATTGATGTAATTAATTCCAGGTGTCTCTGTATTAAGACATAAATATAAGGTATATATATATAAGTTGAAGAATCAAAGAATTCATTCATAATTGATTAATAAAATAATTTATGTTTTAGAAACCTAATGGAGGAACTGAACTTATCACTCATTTTGCTTCACTTCCTCCAGCCAAAATCGCTGTTATTGGTGATCGTCTGCTAACCGATATTTTATTTGGAAATATGAATGGAATGTTTACAATATTCACTAAACAAATAATTACAGAAAAAGGTGATAATAAGATGGCTGCTATGGTAAAAAATTCTTTTATTTATTTATTAAAATTTTTTTTTTTTTCTTGTGCACATTTTCTACATTTTCTACATTTTCTTATATTTTTTGTAGATTAGAAGATTTGAATATCGAATATTAGATTATTTGAAAGATCGAGGAGTCAAACCTCCACCACATCCTTTGCATTAAATAACATAAATAACATTAAATACTAAACTATCAACTTCACTTTTTTACTTTTTTATGTTATAGCTTTAAAATGCTTGCTGTTATTATGAAAATAATATATACAATAATTCAAAAGTTGTGTAATATTATGTATCAAACTTTATTTAATAATAAATAAAGTAAATACATATTTTAAATTTTTTGATGTAAAAAAGGCAACTCTACTTACTCTACTTATTATTGAATATTCGGGGATTTACTAAATCTATTCTTTGTGTACACACACATGCACGTTTCAAACATTGCGATCTAAAATCGAACCAATCAAATTTGTGTTATCTAGAGGGTAAAAAATAGTTGTTCCATTCCATTTACTTGAAACCAATTCTAAAAAAAAAAATGGCCTCTTCAATGCCAATTCAACGTAAAAAAACTTCTACCTCACCAACGATAATTTCGGACTCTTCAGATAATGATCGTAAAGAAATTAAGAAGTCACCTTCTTTAGTTATGATTCTATTACAAGGAACATTAGTTGTAATTATAGTATTCTTCCTAAGTTCATATCTTTTCACTGATACTTGGACTTGGGGTTATAACAATAAGTATACTAATTGGAGAAATTGGATTCCCGTATGTATCTCGTTATTTTAATTTATTATATGCTTTCAGAAATATTTATTTTTCTTTGAAAATATATATAGCGTAAAGAAATGATATTCACTGAAGAGGAACTTGCTAAATATGATGGATCCGATGAAAATTTGCCCATCTATCTTGCCATAAAGTAAATCTAGATTTCTACTATCTACATTTGTAACTTATCTTTCTTTTTTTTTTTTTTTTTTATCGTTATTCATTCATTTTTTTTTAATCATATTGTTTTGATATTAGTGGTGAGGTTTTTGATGTTACTGGAGGAAAGCATTATTATGGAAAGGTAATAATGGCATATGACTTATTATAACTTATTATTTTTTTAAAAATTATTAAATTATTTTAAAATAATAAATAAATGCTTTATTACAAAAAATTACAAATAAAAATAGGGTGGTGGATACAGCTTCTTTTCTGGAAAAGATGCCTCCCGTTCTTACGTGACAGGATGTTTCGAAACTCATCTAACTCATGACTTGCGTGGATTAACACGTGAACAACTTAAGGTATTTTATTTATAATTATTACAATTACAATTATTGAATTAGAACTTATAATTTTAATCATAATTTATAACAGGATCTTGAAAATTGGGTTAGTTTTTATCGTGATCATCATACATATTATAGAGTTGGACGAGTTGTTCATAAACCTATTGATCCAAATTCACCAATTCCTCCTCCTTGTAATGATGCATCTGATAAAAAATCGTAACATTGTTATTCAAGTGTCACCTTATTAGAAAAAAATAAAAAAATTAAATACAATTAAAAATAATTATTATAAAATTGTTAAATATACTATTAATATGTTATTATTATTATTACGTCATTATCACGTTACATCATTGAGAATGTTTTCGTTCGAATTCTTGCATATATTGAATCAATGTTTCAACAGCCTCTAAAGGAACTGCATTATAAATACTAGCTCTGATTCCACCAACACTTCGATGTCCCTTTAATTGTAACATCCCCAACTCATCTGCTCCTTTTAAAAATTCCTTTTCCAATTCTTCTGGTTGAATTCTAAATGGTACATTCATCCTTGATCTTACACTCTCTTCAACAGGTGACTTGTATATTTTTGATTTATTAATACAATCATATAATTTGGCAGCTTTAATAGAATTGATCTTTTCAATTTCCTCAATTCCACCATTTTCTAACAACCATTCAAACACCAAACTTGCTACATAAATTGAAAACATTGGTGGTGTATTATAAAGTGAATTATTTTCTGCCATAACTTTATAATCTAACATTGATGGAATTGCTGGTAATTTAGAATCCGAAATTTCTAATCTGGTCAATAAATCTTCTCGAACTATTACGATTGTCACACCTGCCGGTCCAATATTTTTCTGTGCTCCCGCATAAATTAAACCAAATTTTGAAATATCCACTTTACGTGAAAGAATATTTGAAGACATGTCACAAACTAATGGTACAGAAGGTTCAATTTCAGGAACATAATTAAATTCTACTCCATTAACGGTTTCGTTATCACAATAATATACATAAGCTGCATTTGGACCACTAAGTTTCCATTCTTCTCGAGGTGGAATTGAACCATATGATCCTCTTAATTTTTTTACATCCAATACTATATTAACGTTATTATATAATTTTTTTGCTTCTGCTGCTGCTTTTGCTGACCAAGAACCAGTGACTAAATAATCCAAAGGTGGATTAATTTCTCCTTTCATAGTATTATTATCGAATTGTTTTCTTTTTTTAGCTGCCAACAAATTATAAACGACAGCAGAAAATTGAGTGTGCCCACCACCTTGCATAAATAGTATCTTATAATTATTGGGAATGTTAAGTAAAGTTCGTAAATCTCTTTGTGCCTTGTTGATAAGATTTTCGAATTCTTTGGAACGGTGTGAAAGTTCCATAATTGACATACCAGTGTTATTGTAATTTAGGAGTTCATCTTGTGCTTTTTTCAGAACAGGTTCTGGAATTTTTGCGGGACCAGGGCCAAAATTCAAAACTTTTTGTGTAGTCATTTTTTTTTAATTATATCAAATTCAAATAATATCAAATTCAAAATAATATCAAATTCAAAATAATAATATCAGAGAAAAGCAAAAAAAGTAAAATTTTTATCAAATCTAGTTTTTATGTCGTACAATAACTATAAAATAAAATAAACTACTATAAATAGGACGTGAAATATTATTAAAGTTGAACGATTAAAGTGTAGATTATCCAACCATGAAAATTATTGGTTTAACTGGAGGAATTGCTTCGGGTAATAAATATTTATATATTTTTTGTTTCTTATTATAATAAAAATCTTTAAATTTATTATTAACATTAATTTCATTCTGTTAAAAAAAAGGGAAATCTACTGTTTGTCGAATGATAACTCGTCGAAATATTCCATTAATCGATACTGACCTGTTAGCACGCCAAATAATTGAACCAGGAAAACCTGCATATAAACGGGTTGTCAACCATTTCACTCGTGAAATATTAAATGAAGATGGTACAATAGATAGAGTGAAATTAGGTGAAATAATTTTTTCAAATGAAGATAAAAGAAAAATTCTAAATAAATGCACACATCCATTTATTAGAATGGAAATTTTAAAGTTAGTAATTTGTTATTGGATAAAAGGTGAAAAAATGGTAGTAGTAGACGTCCCGTTATTGATTGAAACTCGTTTTAATAAATTTATGAGTTCGGTCGTGGTAGTTTATTGGTGAGAATTTTTTTATTTTTTTTTTTAATTAAATTCTTTTTTTTTTCCAACGTGAATTAAAAATAATAATAAGAATAATAAAAAATTTATTAATTCGAAATCCCTTAGTTCTGACCAAATTCAAATAAATCGGTTGATTAAGCGTGATAATTTTTCCGAATTAATTGCTAGACAGCGAATTAATTCACAACTTCCACTTAAAGAAAAAATCAAATATGCAAATTATATAATTGAAAATTCCGGAGACATAAAAACAACCGAGGAACAAGTTGAAAATGTTTTTAAAAATTTAAAACCATCTTCATTGAATTGGTTATTAAGTTGGTTGGGACCACCCATTCTTGCAATTTCTCTCATTATTAAAGGGCTACTATTTATAATTGATCGGCTTTGATTTTTTAAAACTTAAAACGTTGATTACAAGACAAAAACTTAAAAAGTTTCGTTTTACTGTACAGAAAACAGAATGCAAAAATTTTTTTATTTTCATATAAAAATAAATAATAATAATAAAAATAATAGTGTAGTGTTCTGTAAAAAGGAATTTGTATAAAATATACATAAATGTAAATAATATGTTATTTATACCTAAATCATTATAATAAAATATCTATTTATAATAAACAAAAAGAAAAAATAATACATAAGAAAATAAAATAAATGAAAAAAAAAAAAATTAAAGTTGAATGAATTGAATGAATTAAATGTGAATTTGTAATGGTTTGTTGTTGTTGTTGATTTCACTAAAACTAAAATTACAATTACATATTGCTATGAATCAATCATAAAACAAGATATTTGAATTATGTAAATTATATTAAAACTTTGTACAAAAAAAAATTAACAAATTAAATAAAAGACTAAAATTAATAGTGTAATAAAAAATTAAATTAATTAATAATTTCATATTTTGATATTTTTGAAGTCTTGTTTAGAAGCACATAAATTTGCTCTTCTTGGCTATAAGTTCTTCCATACGGTTTTCAAGTTGTCTTCTGGCTTTTTCTGCACTCTCTTTAGCTCTTCGTTCTTCCTCTAATACAGTTTCTATAACTTTCTTCTCTTCTTGTACTGAAGATTTGGCGTTTTCAAATTGTGTGGTGGTTTCATCTAGTTGAGACCTAAGACGTTTGATTTGATCTAACAATTCCATTTTATCGCGTTGTAAAACTTGTAATTGTTGCTTTGCCACACGTAGATTTGTCTCATTTTCGGAAAGTGAATTTTCCAAACTTTCAACAATTTGTCGATTTTCAAGGCTTTCATCTTCCATTTTAGTAATCTTCCGATGTAATTTGTGAATTTCTACTGTAAGTTCTACTGCTGAAGAATTAGCAAGATCTGCCAGACCTAATCTTGATTCAGGTCTTGATGCAGAACTGTGATTTCGTGGAGGAGGTGAGACACATCCAGGTGTTGATGACCGCGAACCATAATTTATTCCGGTTCCTGGTAACGCTGGTAAAGGTAAACTTGGTGGTGGTGTAGGTGGAGGACTTAATGGCATATTTGCTACAGCTGCTGGAACACATGGTCGTTTCTTCTTTGTTGTTTCAGAAACATTTGACATATTTGATGTATTTGACATTGTTGAAGCACGGAATCCACCAACTGCATCAAGATCTGTGGCAAACATTCCACCACCAGAAATATTCAATTCATGTATAGATTCAGAATCATTACGAAGTTCAAGTTCTATAACTCTTTCTTGTAAGGACTTGATAAGATTATTTTGTTGGGTTATAGTACTTTCTTGTTGTAAAAGTTTAGAATGTATTAAATTATCCAAACTTTGGGCTCGTTGCGGTACATTTTCTAATTTCGTATTTGTTTGAACTTTAGGTTTTATTCCGGCTTGTTTCATTTCCTTTTCAAGTTGTTCATTGACTTTTAATAATCTTACAATTTCCTTTTGCATCTCTAAATTTTCCTTTTCCGATTTTTGATTTAAATTAGCAAATTCATTCTCCAAGCCAATAATTTTTCCATTGAGTTCATAAAATTGTGCAGCTACTTTATTTCCATCATCACCAGCTAATTTTAATTGTAACAGTAAAGATTCGATTTTTTGGTCAAGTTTCGTACGCTCTTCGCGGAATGAAGCATTTGCTTGTTCCAATCCTTCTTTTTCAGATTCAAGGTCTGCAATTCTTTCTTTGAATTGTATAACAGATTTTCCAGTAACATCATCCTTGCTAACGAATTGAAGTTTTTTGAGATCAAGTTCCAAACTCACTATCCTTTGAGTCAAAACTTTCATTCGAGATTGTGCTTGAAGAATCTTGAGGTTAAGATTTTCATTCGTTTTACGTAAGACATCGTTCACTGCAGTCAAATTTGAAAGGGCAGGACTATTAGCAGAATCATCATTAGACTTAAATTCGATAAGTGCATTCTCTAATTCATTAATCTTTTTATCTTGCTCTTGTGATAACATATCACTGTTATTATATTTAGCCGTAGATTCATCAAATTCTTTAGCTATAGACTCTATATCCTTTTGAAGTTTATTAACTTGTTGTTGAAGATTCTTGTTTTGATTTTCTTTATCATCTTTCTCGGATTCAAGTTGTTTAGTCATTTTTTCTAATTCATCAACACGTTCTTTTTGATTCCTAGCTTCCTTATGTGCTTTCTTTAATTGTTTCGAAAGTTCTTCAACTATTGAAACATCAACTTTTTGGAAACCTATTATCAAAGAATCTTTATAAGCATCTTCAAGTTCGAGTTGTAAATTCTTACATTGTTCTCTGAGACTTTCAACTTCTGTGGCAGCAGACTTGACTTTGGCTATTTCTTCTTCCCGACATTTATCAGCTTCTTGAAGTTGTAATTCTAAATTTCGAATGATTTCTGCTTGTTCGGCTTCAGCTGCTCTAGCTTTTTCAAGTTCAAGTTTTATATTAGCAAGTACCCCCTTTAATTCCTCAATATTATCTGAGGTTGATAATTTGACTTCAACTTCCATTACAAATGTTGTTGGTTTGGCTTCTTCATATTCTGTAGGAGAAAGATCATGTAATCTTGATTGAATTCCGTAAAGTTGCATTTCAAGTTGTTTCGCACGACTAGATTCAATTGCTTCAGAAATCTTCGCATTGTCAAGTTGAATTTTTGCTTTTTCTGCATTTGCTGTTAACTCTTTAAGTAATGAATCTTTAACCATGAGTATTTCTTCTTTTTCAATTATTGCAGCATTTGTTTCTTTCAATTTAACTTCAAGTCCGATTACTACTTTTGATCGGGATTCTTCCAATGCCTTTGCTTCCTCCAATTGAGATCCAACAGTTGCAAGCTTGTTCCCAAGAATGGCAATGGTTTCCATGTCCATTTGAGAGGAATTCTTTGCTTCCGCAAGTTGATCCCTTAAATTATTGATAATTGATTCAAGTGCTTTGACAGCTTCCTTATGCTCAATTTCTTTTGCTTCGAGAGTATTGACCAATCCTTTTTCATGTTCTAATTGTTCATCTCGTTCCTTCTCCAGAATTATCATTTGGTTGCCAAGTTTTGCAATAAGTTCATTCTGAATTTCCATTTGATCTTTTGCATCCGATAAATCTCTTTTAGTTTTGTATAGATTTTTGTCATTGACATCATTTATTGCGTTTAATTCTTGAACTTGAATTTCCAAAGTTTTAATTTTGTGTTCTTCCTCCGCACGTTGTGTCACAGTTTCATTCAATAATTTTGATAAGTCTTTAATTTTCTTTGTTGATTCATGATTACTTTCCTTTGACTTATTCAGTTCTTCCCTAACGGATTTCAATTCATCCTCAAGAGTAATAACAATTTCCTTTTGTAAACCGAAATCTTTTTTCAAAATTTCTGTTTCTTTAAGAATTAATTCTTTTTCTTGAATTGTTTTTTCAAGTTGCATTTTTGATTGACCGATGGTTTTCTTTTGTTCTGATTCCAAATTTTTCAATATATTGAGTTCACCTTTGATTGATTCAGCGTTTTCTGTTTCTTTTTTAGCATTAGAAAGTTTGATTTCTAAATCTTCAATCGTTTTGACAAGATCTAGTTTATTATTTCTAAGAGCCGATAATTCTTCATTAAGAGAGCTTATAATTAAATTATCTCTTTGCTTAATTTCCAACAATTCACTTTCAAGTTTTTCGATTTTTTTACAATGTGCAGATTCTTGATCACGTAATCTCTCAACTTCAAGATTTGATTTCTCCGCCTCTTTTTCTGAATTATGGCTAATTTGTAATTCTGCAAGTTGAATTTGTTCGCGCTGTTCTGTTACCTTCAATTTGTAATCATTGACCTCGTTTTTTATGGCTTCATATTCATTTTGAGAAATTTCAAGTTGAGATTCAAGTTCTGAAATTTTCTTTTGATGTAAAGATTCTGATTCTTTGGCTAAATTTAATTTATCTTGCAAATTAGTTAACTCATTTCCGAGTTCGTTTTGACGTTTCAAATTAATTTCTAATTCATTAATTCTTTCAGTTTGCTCCTTCTCAAGATTTTGTAATTGTTGTATTTCTTGTTTCAGTTTAACCTCTTCTTCATCCAATGTTCTCAATCTTTCGAGTGTAAAAATTTCTTTATCTTTGACATCTTTAAGTTCTTGTTTAGTTATATCTAATTCTGATTGAAGCACTTCATTTTCATTTTTTATATTTTCCAAATTTTCTAATTCGATTTGAAATTCTTTAATCTGATTTTCCATTTCTTCATCACGATTCTTTAATTTTGAAAGTTGAATACTCAATAAATTTGCTTCCTCTTCCTTTTCCCGAATTTTTTGTTCAATGGCGCCCTTTTCTATCAGATCTATTTTCAACGTCTCAATGAGCTCATATTTGTCTTTTATATCTGATTTTAATGTTTCAATTTCTGCTTTCAATTCATTGATCAATTCAGATTCATTTCGTAAATTTTTAATGATCTCTGATTTATTTGATAATTCTTCTTGAAGTGTAGATATATTTGCTTCAAGAGTTTCAATTGTTTTCTGTATCATTGGCGTTGAATTTTTTTGTATTGTTTTTGCTTCCAACAGTTTAAGTTCGAGATTTTTCATTTCTTCTTCTAACAATTTTGATCTGTTTGCTAAATCTTCTTGTGAACTATCTTCAGAGATTGAATTTAATTCGTCAACTGAAATTTTATAAGATTCTCGAGCTTTTTGTAATTCATCTTCTAATCTTTTAATTGTATCTACGGAAGGACACAAAAGTGCAATGATCACACGACTTTTTGCTTCAATTTCTGCAGTTAGATCTTCAATTTTTAATTGAAGTTCTTGTATTTCCTCATTATTATCTTCTTCAGATGATTCATGTTTTTCTTCTATCATTTTAACTTCAACATCAGAATTTCTACTCAATTGATTTTTCTGAATTTCTAAAGTTTCTCGGAGTTCTTGTTTTAAATGTTCAATTTCTCTTAAACTCACAAGTAATTCATCTTCTTCAAGTTCATCTTCTGTCATAGAGACATTAGTGTGGTTATTGGTATTTAATGATTTCGTGTTTACTTGTTGAAGAGAGTCGCATCTTTTAATCTCATCTTTTAATTCTTCAACAATTTCCAATGTTTCACGATGATTACATTCTAATCTCGCAAATTCTTTTTTGATCTCTTCTAATCCTTTCGATTTATCTTCATGCAATGATTCTAGTTGGCTTAATTCTTTTTGTAACATTTGAATAATCGCCATGTGTGTCATATCCCGTTTTTCTTTATCACGAATCTCGGGTGTTAAAGATTTTGCACGACGATGAAGGATTTTTTTATTTGATGAATTTAAATTATTTGCATTTTGGTCAACATTTTTATTAGATTTACACATCACAGGCAGTGACATTCTACTCGCTGGAGTAGGAGGCTTTTGATTTAAACTATGCCTTTGTTTGAATTGAGAATTTTCTGGTGATAAGGGGGTCATGGGCGTGGAAGATGTAGAAGATCTATAATCATCGAATAATTCGGAATTACAAAGTTGAGCTTCTGTAAGTTGAGTTTGTAATTCATGAATTTCATGTAAACATTCTTCATATTTGGTTTTTATTTCTGATAATTCATCAACTGTTTGCATATGTGATTTTTGTAAATCTAAAAGTTTTGATTCGAGAATGGCTATTGGTGGATATTCTTTTTTAACTGTTGAAATATCTGAAGAAATCGAACTTGCAGTCGACTCATTATCGCCCAATGAAGAAGAAGAAGTAGAACTAGATGATGAGGATGATAGTGATCTTTTTAGCGATTTACCACTTAGATTTTCATTAATACTTAGTGATTCCAATTCATTAGCCAACTCTTCAACTTTCTCTTCCAAATTTTTAATTCTATCATCCCTGGTTTCAATTTCGCTATTTAGGATGCGTCGTTCCTCTTCAACTGATGCTTTCATTTTGGCCTCTAACTCTGAGAATTCCATCTCACGTTGTGCCAACCTTTCCTCTAACTTCTGTACTATTTTTCCGAATTTTTCCACCTTTTGATCACTTAATTTCAATCGACTCTCTAAATTATCAATGTACCCTTTGCTGTTCTCTTCATTGGCTTTCATCTGTGTGATTTTGGCTTTCAGTTCCTTAATCATTTCTTGATCCAGTTTTTGCTCCTCAGTGTATTCCTCCAATTTATCTTCGAGCTTTTTAATATAAGCTTCCGAAACAACATCTCTGTCATTATATTCAGAAATCTTAAGACGAAGATCGCTAATCAACTTCACATTTTGTTCATTAATCTTTTCAGCGTGTTCAAGTTTAGCTTCTTGTTCTTGCATCAAAGTTTCTGTGTGATAAATTGCCGCACGGTTTAAGGCGATTTGGGATTCGAGATTTGATACGGATTTCTCGTATTCCTCTATCACCGGTTCAACGGCTTTTTGAAATTCTTCTGATAAAAAGAAGTTTGCATTTTTCGTATCTTTAGTAATTTTATCGCTTTCATGTTCCTCTTCCTCGCTGATGGATTCTAATTGAGGAGGTGGTTGCATAGACGAAGTTGATGGTGAGTGGGCTGTACTTTCATTATTTTCTTGATGAAATGCAAGTTCCGCTTTTGTTTTCGCGTATTTTTGTGAGAGTTCAGAATAAGATCTTTGTAATTCCGCCAATTGTTCTTCCAGAATTTCAATATCTTTATCATTTTGACTTTTTGCAGCTAAAGCAACTGGCGAATTAGTGGCATATGAAGTATCTCCATTAGCATTTGTGACTATACTGAGCGAAGATCTCTTTGGACTATAACCAGGTCCTCCATACATGTAGGTTGGTGTACTTCTCCCGCTTCCACCTGAATTTCCGGAACTTGAGCTGTTGTTTGTTTCTCCATCTCCAGTTGCATTAATTGCATTAATTGCATTATTGTTATTGTTTTTTAATGCTTTAATTTCAGCTCTTAATTTTAAGACCAACCCATGCAAATGCTCTAAATCGTTCCACCCAACTTCTTCACTATTTACAGTTACTGTGTTTTTTATATTTCTTGCACGATTAGCGTATTTTAGAGTGTTAATGGTTTCATTAATATTTGACTCTGAGGGTGATATACATGCTATCATAAGAGTTTTTGCATTTCCGCCTAATGAGTCCTGAAGAAGACGAGTTAGTTTGGAATCTCGATAAGGAATGTGTGTAGTATGTTTTGCTTTTGTAGGGTCTCCAAGTGCAGAGATCACATTTCCGAGAGCGAGAAGACCAGCGTTAATTGAAATGCCTTCTTTTACTCGATCTCCTATTGCTGACGTACGTTTTAGCTAAGCAATGATAAAAATGAGAATGAGTCATGATGAAAATTAAAAATTATATTAAATTCTAATATAGCTTAAAGAACTTACCCTTTCGCTACCAGCTAAGTCCACAAAATGAAATTTACTAGTTACTGAAATAATTTCACCCTCTTCAATTCTCCTACTCATTCTCAAATCCGCCCTTGATGACGTTCTCACCATTTTCGTAGGCGTTGATGGTCTACTACTTGTCGGAGTGCTTGGTGATGAAAAATTTGAGCCACTAGGCCTTTGTTGTGACATCGTGACAGAAAAAATAGCGTGTGAACGTGAAGACTGTGCGTTCATATCTGTGGCACCAACTTGTCGATTTAATGAACCACGAGCAAGGTGACTCATTACTTCATTGACTCCATTAACTTTAATTTCTTGCAAGCCACTCCAAAGTATATTCCCTTTAGAATCTTCTCTAATTGTAACTTGTGGCCTACAATCTTCATCCATTACTGTTGAATAGTCAGCTAACAAATCAATTAATTCTTCATTATAAATCTCGATGAATGAAACTTTGATGGCAAATTTTCGTGATTTATATTGTGGTGAATTCATAGTGGAGAATAATGAGGACATTGCTCGAGGAATTAAGCCTTTTTGTTCGGGCAGAATTGAAGAATTATGTGCGGTTCCCATGGTATGGGTTTTTCCGGAGGATGTTTGTCCATAGGCTAAAATAGTTACATTATATCCTATGTGAAGAATGTATGAAGAGAGTATAAAGGTAAGTATGAAGAAAGTGTGAAGAAAGTGGGAGAGAATAGATAGAAATAATAAAGAAAATATTGTGTAAAATCAATATCCCGAGTTAAATCACGTGATCAATACGCGAATTAAAAAAAAATTTACCTTCCAAGAATTGGTCGATCAATCTTTCAACAGCCGTCTCATAAATTTCTTTTTGTTCAGTTTCTGGGCCAAATACGTGATCGTAATTAAAAGTTTGTTTCTTCTCTCCTTGCACGATTACTTGATTTGGAAAATGTGGTGATTTGTCAATCACTTGACGTTGAAATCTTGATTGTTTTTCATTGGAATTTATTGGTCTTATTCGAAGAGCTATAATAGAGAATTAAAACAGATTAAATTTATAAAACTTTCTTGGAAGTTATCACGATTTTTCATTTTGATTTTGATACCTACCGACTTGTACAGAAGTCTTTTCTGGGTTGCTCCCGTTGTTGGCAGCCATTTTTTTGGGTTTTGATTAAATGATACTACTAAATATTGTTGTCGATAACTCGTATTTTTGAAAAGTGATGAAGGAACTTTGGTATAATAGTTATTTGTACGATATTCATATAACTTTATAAAAAAAAATATAAACTAGAAAGAAATTTTATTTTTTTTTTGATTTTACTAATGGTTCCAGCCCACTTTTGTAGCCTTGGTTTTATAAAAACTATTTTCGTTTATCGACTTATATACAAAAATCAGTAAAATCAATTTTTCTGAGAGTGAATGATGTTTTTTTTTTTCCTATAAAAAATTATTTTTTCCAAAAGAATGTGAGAAAGAAAAACTAGGAAGGGGTTGTAAATGTGATGATATGAAATTAGGATTAAGTCGTATAAAAATAATGAAAAAAAAAAAAAAGAATGTAAGAAATTTATTGTAAGAAAAGTCAAAAAAAAGAGGGATAACTAATATGATAGAAAATGATTTTAAAAGATTGTTTAAAAAAAATGAAGAACGTGATCCCAGTGGTTATGATAATATTTTTTTGATGAAAAATGTTCGCAAAAAAGGTAAATTATATATTTTTTATATTGACAAAAATTTTAAAAATTATTTTCTTTGACGATGAGAAAGATATTTTTTTTTGAGTGATCATTGAACAGAATAAATTTTAGTTCGTTAAGAGGTTTAATTCTCACAGCATAGAAACGCACGACGAGTCTAAAATTTCAGTTTTCTAAATAAAATATTATTAAAATAGTTTATAATAATAATTTCACCAAAAATTAATAAATAACAACATAATAAATTACAACATAATAAACTAAACATAATAATAATAATTAAAGGTGACACTTAAAATTCTGCAAAAAAAGAGGGAAACTGATAATTGTTTGGTGCATTGAATATATTATTGTGTCTCTCAAAAAATGTGTGATGCATTTTGTTTTCCATTTAAATATTTGTATTTTCATAACTTATTTGTAAATAATTTCGATTGGTGTCATTTTTTTGTTAATAAAATCACGAATTCAATTAGTAATTACTTAATTTTAACTGTATCTCGTTACTTTTAGTTACTGTACTTGGTTACCATATGCAATCTAGATGATTACTATTTTATTCATTAAACATCACTGATGAGAAGAAAAAAAAAATGAATTTATAAAAGAACCTTATTTTGTTAAATATTAGTGCCCTGAAAATTAACAAATAAATGAAATAAGAATTTATTCGAGTTTGCTGTTTGTTGAGCAAGAAAAAAGTGGTAATTTAAACACGTTTTCCTTCACCAATGAATGTTTTACTAATATGTAAGTAATGACTTTGCGTCTTTCGATGGTGAATTATAAAAATATTACTTACAACTGTTATATGATAACTTTTTGAATCTTTATCGTTAAAAATGATACAAAAATCACCATTTACTATTGTTATTTATTATTCATTGCAAAAAAAAAAAAAAAAAAAAAATTATTTCTTTTTCTACTCATTAAAAAAATATAATTTATCGTAACGTGAAATTCAATTATGCAGGCAATACTACATATCCTGCACCAATTATTTATTTTTGGCCGCGATTGAACTAACAATATCGTTCAAGAAAATGCACTTTGTTACTTTTGTTGTTTTCCAATTTTCTCTTTCAATTTTTAACTTCCCTTTTTGATCAAGAATACATTTCCTTTTCGCTTAACCAAATTTTTGATTTCTATTGGTAAACATCAAAGAATATTGATTGATATCTCAATATGGTTTATGCATAAAAATGACATAAATTTCATTTTTTATTATTAAAATTGATTTCGGATTAATTAAAATAACCAATTAACACCCTTTTACCCAACTCTTTCAACCTTGAAAACAAACGAAATTTTCAAGAAAAATGTACAAAGAAGAGAACAAAAATATACTTGAAAAAAGATATAATATACTATGAGACAAAAGCAACTGGAATATGGATTAATATCCAAGTTATCAAAAACCACGGCCCTCGGATGAATGAAATACCTACTAAAATTGAGAATAATCTAACAAATTCAAAGTGACAAAGGTGACTTTGTGTACCTTAAAAACTTGGTAAGAATGTTCCTATTAGCTAAGCAAAACCCGACCTTACTTATCTAAATATTATTTGGAAAAGTATCAGGATAATTCTATCGTGAGTACGAAAGTTCGTATCCCTCGTTACTGAAATCTTCTAATAATTAGTTAATGAGGAAGATAACTCAAAGTTATAGAATGGCATTTATTTGTTTTTATTAAGTTTTGTTCTATCAAAAGTACACACAATACATTGTTATTTAATGATCATATCATAGTCTCAATATTAATATAACTACAACAAATGCGGGAGAAAAAATAATGTTTTGATTTCAGAAGGTTATATTATGAATAACAATGTAAGATCCGCCAATTATTATATTATAATATAGAATTAAATAATGATATGAAAAAGTTTATTATGCTAAAAGGATATAATATAACAAACAATATCAAAAGAGAACACACATCATAATCCTACACTTCCAGAGAATCATTTTATATATGTATTTCGATGCTTCAAAATTTTCATTGTAACATATGAAAACTATGACAAATTTTTCTATATAAAGAATTCTTTCATAATTAATTAAATAATATAATAATAAATGGAATTTCAAGAAATTTTTTATTAATTTTTTTATATTTTTAACAAAGAAATCCGTGCTCGTTTTCACTAATCAGACTTTTCATGTTGATAATAATAATTCTAATCTGTGTTGAACAGTACGTAATGTTAATAAAATAATGAATATAATTTAAATTAAATCTTCGCTCCTGTTTCTCGTCTCCCTTATCTTCTGTCAAATCTTCGATTACAAAACCACCATGCGCACCAGTTAAAGAAGATGTAATATAAGATAATGCACTGAAACTTGTAGTATCAACAGATTGCAAAAAGGGAATAACAGAGCCAATGGTTCCGAGAGCACTCATTAATTTAGCTGTCAAAGATCCAGCAACGACACCACCTGCTTGAAATCCCATTGCCCCAATTTGCCCCTGCGTCCGTCTATAGGAAAATTTCCTTGATGCGAGAGAAATATTTAGGTTGTGGATCTATGTTTAATTATTTTAGTATCACATAAAGTCTTATTTACGTGATGGCCACACAAGAATAGGATTTTATATATATTTGATGACGCATGCGCTTTAGAGAATTATTTTTTTTTAATATCGATGGAAACTAACTGATTATGTGTTTGTATTAGTTTGAAATTTCTTATAAAACTGTAATATTGGAGCAGTAAAAACACGTAAGGAAGATACTATTAACCCAGATAAAATTAGAAAGAATATAATTGAATTAAAAGGGAAATTCATGAAAATACAACACCTCTCTATCAGCATTTGTATTCTGGTGTGAATAATATAACTATTTCCGAATTGTCATGGAAAGAACCTCTAGCCAGCCAGGTAATTAGTGATGATCCAAGGCTGGTGTAACAGTTACCAGGACACTTATTCTTTTATGAAACCGTTACGACAAATGGTCCCAACGGCCCTCCCTCCAATAGTTCAAAGAAAATGTGATGAATTTGTGTCAACCTTTATCGAGTCATGTGATTAATTTACCACAAAAACTTTTGTATGGGATGTGGAAAGAAACAAATATTAAGCTTTCATATGTTGCGGAGGATTTTGAATACTCTGTAAGCATTTTTATCAAACTCTCAATAAATTGTTACTGTCTTTTCAACTTTTTTATTGGCATTAGGAGTAATTCTTGGAATAATCCTGTATTCGGACCTGAGTTTGTAGAATCATTGAACGAGGTCGACAAGAAGTCTTGAACATAGGTAGAATGAGAAGCTCACCTATGCTCCAGTGGGACCAATGCTGGGTCAGCGAAAAGTCTTGAACATCAGGTGAACGAGAAGCTCACATATGGGCGAATATGTGCGATAACTCATGGGCAAAAATCTAAAAAAGGAAACTGATCTGCAATTTTTATAAGTAAAAATTTCCTTATTTAGATTTTTGCCCACAGGTTTTGTGGCTCAGCAAAAAGCCTTGAATGATCAAAAACCAAAGAGGTCTTTGGCACGCCACTATCCTCCCTTCTACATTTTACATTAAAGATTTACTTGCCTTTCCTATATTTGTTGAGGAGCTGTTTTGCTTTCGCCTTAGTGATTTTATATAAGCATCGACTGCCACTCATTCAGAAAGTCGACAATTCCCCATTTCGTACATTTACGTTTAAAGTATCCGTGTAATTTAGATAATTATTGCGAGATCTGTGAAAAGTAAAAAAGTAAATATTGATAATATTGATGCATACAAATTATTTATTTTTCAAGCAGAACATATCACATGACTTAAATCATTCTTGTATTACAATTCAAAATAAAATTTGTAAATCCATAATTAAATGCATTTAATTGATAACCATCAAAAAATATCAAAATATTCATAATGATCAATTTTATATATTTTTGGACAGTTTTAAAATATAATAAATAAATATTATTTATAAAGTAATTCTATAATACATATAATTAAATATTAAATAAAACGTTTGTAAGTGCGTCTCCATTTTGAATCGATAGTATCCAAGTAATAAGTTCCTTTAAAGAATGTATCCTCGAGGGAACTTCCATCACCTACAGCTTGAAAATCCATTTTTCCATGAGTTTTTTCTCGCAAGTTCATCACTTCTTCAAATTTTTCGGGAGTTACTTCAATACGAGATTTGAGACGATTTAATATATCCAATGATTCCTGAATTTCGGGAATTGGCTTTATAATTTTAAATGAGAAAAATGTTGATGCAAGACCAGATCCATATGAAAACATTGCAACTCGCTTTCCCACCTATAATAATAATATATAATGGAATATATGATAATATAATAATAAATTAGGAAATTCAAATTTAATTTCAATATAATCAATAAAATCCAATACAAAATATACCAATTCATCGGTAGGAATAATTGATAATGCGGCTGCAAGACAACCATATAATGAAGCACAGTACATATTTCCAATTTCTGTTGCAGCTAAAAGAGTAGGTTTCACTTTATTTTCATATTCAGTTTTTGAAATCCCAATAAAAGCTTTTTCAAGATCTTTTGACTTATATGTTTCTTCACTTTTCATACTCTAATGAAGGAAAAAAAATAATATAATTATATATTTTGCAAATTGTATAATATTTAATGTTTATAATATGTTTATAATATGTTTAAAATATGTTTATAATATAATTCTTATATTTAATTCCTATATTTAATTAAAATTTTACCTTAAATTTTTGCACACTTTCAAAAATTGGATCGTCGGATTTTCGAATAAAATCATTATATAATAATCTTCCAAAAGATTTTTGAATAAGTTTGCAATATGGGGTATGAAAAAGGAAATAGTCGAAAGATTTCACACTTGGATTTTCACAATTTTCCTTTTTTTTTGCAAACATAATTTTTTTAATATTTAGTTGATTCAGTTGATTCAGTTGATTCAAGTTATAATAATAAAATAAATAAATAAATATTTTACAAATAATAAATAATCAATTAATATTAACCTTTGTAATTAACTTCTCGAGATACCGATTATAACATAAATCCAGTGATTTCAAATAACATTCATTACTTAGATGACCATCAACTTCAGGAAACTCGGAAGTCAAGTTTGGTTTATCTGAATTTTATGAATTTAAAAATTTTAATAAGTTAATTTCCAGAAAGTTTAAGGAATCGATGACAAATAAATTTGAATGAATAAATTGAAATTGAATTTAGAAAACATACAAAAGTCCCAAACGTGAGTCATATGAGTTCCACGAAGACCTAAAATAAAAATAAAATTAAATAATTTAAACAAAATATAATAAATAATAATAATTCAAATGATAAATAAAATAATAGAATAAAATTTATTTATAATAATAAAGATATTTACCACGATCAAATACAATGGGTGCATCTTTGCCAAGTAACATAGCAACACAACCTGCACCACCAGTGGGACGAGCAGGTCCGGAAGCATAAACAGCTATATCACCAGCAACAACCAGAGCATATCGACCATCCCAAGAAGATGATTCTATCCAATTCAATGCGTTGAAAAGAGCATTGGTACCTCCGTAACAAGCATTTGTAGTATCAATACCTTCAACTTCAGTATTGTTGGATTCAGCAAAGAGTTTCATTAATACTGTCTTTACAGATTTTGACTTGTCAACTTTATAATAAATAAATAAAAATAGATAATAATTAATAATCAAAAATCAGATAAAATTAAATAATAAATATTATTTTTTTTATTTACTAATGGTCTCAGTTCCAACTTCGAGGCGACCAATATCTTTATATGAAATTTTATATTTTTCAACAAGATTTTGAACAGCTAGATAAATAAAAATTTTTGATTAATCTTGTAAATTATTGTGATTTTTTTTTTTGTTGAAATTATATTGAAATAAAAAACTTACCAGTCAAAGCAATTGAATTGATATCTAAAAAAAAATCCATAAAAAAAAAATTAATATTAATAAAATATCTTGCAATAATAATAATATTAAAAAAAAAATAAATATGTTTCACCTTCACGATCGTCGCAGAATCCCATTTTTGTTTGACCTAATCCGATAGTATATTTGCCAGTAGATACTTTATCATGTTTTTCAAGCTCTGCCTGGTCAACATACTGAACATATTTAAAGAATAATTATTAAAGATAAGATAATTATTAAGATAATTATTAAAACAAATAATTACAAAAAATAATTAATTAAAATTACTCACTCTCTTGGGAAAGTATATTTCAATAGCCAAAATACCAACGTTTTCTGGATACGCAGTAAGCATTATATTAATAATTTATAAAATATATATTATGATTATATTTCGAATACGAAATATCGTCCCAATGCCATGTTAGACTTTATTATATACATTTTTTCTTTTGAAAAAAAATTTTTGACAATCAGTAATACAATACAATCCAAAAATCTAAATTTAAATTTTCCGAATTTCATATTATCAAAATTTGTATTACACAACTTTTGTTGGGTTAACAAATTTAACTATAATAAAATAAAATCAACAAAATAGCGTAACAATAAATAAATAATAAAAATCAAAGAATAGAAGTTAAATAGTTAAATCTGATGTTAATAAAGCAGATAAAGCAGATAATAAACCATTCAGAACAAATTTTGATTCTGCTGTGTTATCTCTATAATGCTAATCATTTATGCCAATTCCCGATTTCATACAATTAAAATTATTTTTTTTAATACTTGAATTGGTAAATTTGGTGGTTTTATTAATTTTAATTTCAATTTTGTAAAAGTAAATTAACTTTATTGCAAAGATTGAAGAATTTTAAGGGGGGGGGGGGGGGGTTTCGGAAATTAGAATAGTACGATTACGAATTTTAGTATAAATCTGAAATTATATTATAAATAATATAATATTTTTTAACGAATCAAAAGAACTTCTATAATAATCTTTAATAAAATTTACATGTAAAATGGCAATGTAATATTATGACAAGTAATCTTTATCTAATAATCATTATCAAAAAATCAAAATTTTGATCACCAGAATCACCAGATGCAATTTTGGCCAATTATAATTTAGGAATCTAAATCACGTGAAAGAATTATAGTAATTTTTCATAATTTTTTAAAGGAAAGTTTTTTTTAGATGAAATTATAATGGTTTGCTATTTTTAGTATATTATCAAATTTGATAATTAAATACATCAATTTAAATTGGATCAAAATTTTAACCAATGATTCTGAAAGCCTAGGTTCTGGGCTACTATTTTCTACGGTTAGAATTTTTATTTCTATATTTAGAAAATAAAGTTTTAATGTAAAAAAGTTGAACAATTTTACTATAACAAGTTCCTATCTTAGAGGTTCCACACCATCAAAAATGTAACTTTGGTATCACTTTACAAGTCCCCCAGACAATAAACCCAATGACTTTTTCTCTAGATTAGCTAATTCTAAAGTCATTTTTTTCTCCTATATTTTCATTATTTATATTTTCTCTTTTTTAGTATTTTTAATTAAATTTCTTTTTGATAATATTTCCAAAACTTTTCTATTTTGATTATTGATTTACCTAAATTTAGTTTACAAATTTATTACTATTAATTTTTTTAATATTAACATTGGTTATAAATAAATATTTGCTTTACAATCCTTGAAAAAAAAAATCACTTATTGTCATCGCATCACATGTTGTCCAATCAATAATATTAAAGGGGTTAGAAGTGTATTTATCACCGTGTGTCACGCCCTTCGAATATCGATTTTTATTAAATATTCTCATCACACCGTAAAAACAACATGTGAAATATTTCTGGTGTTAGGATAAAAAGTCTAGACTCGGGTCTTATAATACGATATACTGATTTACCACACATACATACAATTGTACTATACCGATTTTGCTTCCACATTGACTCTTTCACTTTTACTAAAAAGATATAAGATACTTATGTAAGCATGTAGATCGGAGATAATCTTTTTTTATTGACTAATTTATGGCACGCCAAGTTAAATAAAACGCCATTATAGAAAGTTCGTTTTTTCCCAAGAATTATTTCGTACAACGTAATTCCTGTAATCGGCGAATAGCGTAAAATCTGAAATATTTAAAGAGGGACTTCCTTCAACTTTTTCGGGAAAATAGATTATTAAGTAAATAACCATGGATAGTTCCTCATCTAATAAGCTATCAATGCCCTCAGAAGCATCAGAAATTCGTGACGATATTTATTCGGAAAAATTGCCAAATTTGCAGCAAGATAAAATTTCATTGAATAGTGAAAAAAGACTGGAAAGAGAAAATGAAAAACCAAATTTAAATAAATCTTTTTATGAATTCACGTTGGAAATTAAAAAATTTATAAAATTTATTGGGCCTGGTTATCGTAAGCATTCATTTTTTTTTTTCTTTCAATGATGAATCGGAATAATTAGGTATAATGCCTTTTTTTTTTCTTACAGTCATTGCGGTCGGATATTTGGATCCCGGAAATTGGGCAACCGATTTATCAGCTGGATCACAATTCGGATATGCTCTTTTATTCATAATTCTCTGTTCAAACTTTATGGCAATGCTATTACAAATGTTGGCTATTAAATTAGGCGTGGTTACAGGTTTAGGTAAGCAAATTATTAAAAGATTTTAGATTCTTTGCATAAAAAAAATATTATAAAATATGTATAAATAATTAATAAATATTTTTAGACCTGGCTCAAGCCTGTAGAGCTTTTTATCCAAAATATGTGAACCTTTTTCTTTACGTATTATGTGAACTTGCCATAATAGCATGTGACTTGGCAGAAGTTATTGGTAGTGCAATTGCGCTAAATCTTCTATTCAAGATTCCACTTCCTTGGGGCGTTGCTATTACAGCAGTAGATGTTTTCATAATCTTGTTTATTTATAGAGAAAATGATATGAAATCAGCTCGTATATTAGAATCTTTGGTTATGATGTTAGTGGGAGTAGTTGGTGTTTGCTTTGTTTTGGAATTGGTTTATGCTAAACCTGATAGTGTAGATGTTTTAAAAGGTTACTTACCAAGTTCAGGAATCTTTACAAATAGTAAAGAATTATATATTGCAGGTATGTACCAAAAAATATTTTATAAAATTATTTAAAATTATTCTATTTTATAAAATTTGATAATAACATTCTCATATCATCATCAATTTTTAAAGTATCAATTGTGGGTGCTACTGTGATGCCACATTGTATTTACCTACATTCTCACTTGGTCAAAGTTCGAAAGTTAAGAGAGGAAAATCAAGGAATTAAATATCAAAAACAAAGTGGTTTAATGAAAAAAAGTGATGGTTCAGCAAAAAAATTTTTTAAGGAAATTATAGGTAGCACTATAAAATTTTCAGTATTAGATTCAATAGTAGCACTTACTTTTGCATTATTTGTTAACTCATCTATTTTGATAGTATCTGCTGCAAATTTTTATTATGTTGATGAACCACCAATTGTAGCAAATTTATTTGATGCATATAATTTATTAATGCGTTTGGGTCAAGCTGCAGCAATATTATTTGGAGTAGCATTATTAATGGCTGGACAAAGTTCAACTCTTACAGCAACTATTGCAGGACAAGTAGTTATGGAAGGATTTATGGGATGGAAAATAAGACCTTGGTTAAGAAGATTGATTACAAGATCATTTGCTATTATTCCAGCAATGTTTATTGCAATATTAAGAGGAGAAAATGGAATAAATGAATTATTAGTGGCAAGTCAGGTGGCATTAAGTATACAATTACCATTTGCAGTAGTTCCCTTGGTATGGTTTACTAGTTGTAAAAAATATATGAGGGTTGATGTTCGAGAGTTATGCAAAAGGGAATTAGATAATGAAGAAGATATTGAAATAGGTGATGACAATGGAAAAATTCAATCCATTACAGAAATGTCACATGAATTTCAAAATTCAAATTCAGTTAATAATGATGATGAAAAATATATTATGGATTTTTCAAATTCTTATATATTGAGTGGATTTGCATGCATAGTTAGTTTAATAATTATTTCCTTGGACTTGTATTTAGTTTTTGATATTATTCGTGGTATTATAAAAGGTGAAAGTATAGATTGAAATGATTTTATTAAATAATAATTTACTATATCAAATGATCAGGTGATTTGAAATATATTTAAATATATTTTTAAGTAATCAAAATAACATTAATATAAAATAACTTAATACCTTTAACTTGAAAATATTTTTTATATTTAAATAAAGGAATTATTACAAAATTAACAATAAATTATAGTTTAATTTCTTTATAATTTATACATGTCATCAAAATTATTAAATTGAATTAAACTATATTTGCATGTAAAATTAAATGTGTAATTTCAAAATTAATTTTGAAAAAAAAGTCAAAACAGTTTTTTATAGAAAATAAAATTATTTTATATAGAAGACAAAATTTTTAAAACTTGATTTTATTCTTTGATTAAAAATACACTTATCTGGATACTTTTTTTACTTCTATATATAGAATAGATTTTATATAAAGTTTGAGAGAACAAAATATCTCAAAAATTCAAAATCAATTTTGAAAACATGTATAAGTTAGACATAATTAAAGATTGAAAAATTGAAGTTGAGTCAAGTGAAATTTTCATTGTTATATAGTAAATTGATGTAATTATCAAGCTAGGCACAATTAAAAATTGAAAAAATTGAAACTGAGTTAAAGACTTTTTCTTTTGATATATTATAATCATATATTTGAAACCAGTAAATTTGATAATTATAGAAAATTGTAATTATATAATAATTTTTTCATATAACTTTATTATATATTAATTTTTACAAAAAGTGTAATTATATAAGGACATAATAAATGTGATTATAGAGAGATACATATTAAATAATCAATTTTTGATGCAAATTGACTTAGCTTATTTGCATATTATTTATCAAATGACCTGCCTATTTATATATTATTTACAAATTAATTTGTTTATTTATATATCACCTAAAATTTTGCTATCTATTTGTATATTATTCACAAAACTTTCTATCTATTTGTATCAAAAATTTTGTCTGTTTTTTTTTATTTAACCAGTGAAATCTGACTGTACTATAGTTTTAATCAAAAATTATATTTTGTATAGTACCAGAAGTCTATATTTGACAATAAAAATTATATTACTTCAAACTTATCAACATCTTAAAAAGAAAAAATCTAAAAAAAAGTAAACTGGCAACTTTGTTCTTCATGATATGCTCTATCAAACTACTGATTAGATTTTTAATTAAAAGCTTATAGCAAAAGTTATGTCTTTAAAAATCCATGATTTTCATATAATCAGAGCAAATTTGAAACATCAGCTAGTTATGTGAATACAATTTTATTGGTCAAAATTTGAAATTACATTTCAAACTTTATTATTTTTCCTTTATTCACTATCTAAATTTTCAACTTATATGTAAATTTTTAATAAAAAAATTGTTTTTAATTTTTATTGATCAAATTTCTCTCACATGATATATAATCTATCAAAAAAATTTTTAATTTTAAGTAAAATAATTTTGTCTTTTATGAAAAATTATTTAGAATTACATATTTAATTTTGGGATATGTATAATTTTAAATATATATGTTTTTAAAATACAAATAAAATAAATATTTCGACTTTTTGAAATTTTTAAAATATTATTTCTATATATGAAAATAAATTAACGAATTTACCTGAATAGTTAAAAAATTTCAAGTTTTAAATAAATAATTATCTTCTATGAAAAACATTTTGTTTCTCAAAACTATATAAAATTTAATTAGGTACAATGTTTTTAAAATTGATTTGAATTTTAGAATATTTCTTCTTTTTGAGATTTACTTAGAATCTATTCTATAATGCTCCTAACAAATCATTCTCCGAATCAGAATTTCATATGAAATTTAATATATGGGTCACAATCCATTGTATTTTGTAATAGTATTTTATATTATGCAAGTTATATTGGAATTTACTTGTTTACCAAAATAGCTTTTACACTTAAAATTTTATAAAAAGTTACTTGAAAATATAGAGTTTCAACTTTTAAATTTTATTAGTAAAATTAGACCATAAAAAATATTTCCTTTTTAGTAGCAAAAATTTTTTGTAATGTTTTTAATAGAACTTTATGAATACTATTTTTGTGAAAAGTTTGGCAGCTTTACATTTAATATTGAAGGAGGATCTTTACAATAGGTATTTTTAAGACTAGTTTCCAAAGTAATAAATATGAGTTATAATATTATAAAATTTTAAAAAACTATTTATGCAACAGGAAGTGATTTTCTACTAATATATTTCTATAACTATTCGAAAGCCCTTCTCCTAAACTTTACAATGGTAGTTAAATCACCTTTTTATCATTGATATTTGTTAATTTATTGCCGTTCAAATACAGTACAATGTATTTTTTTTACTCAATTAGTTTTATGCTATAACAATTAGAAAACTCTTATTTCGGGCTTTCTAAAGATGGTAAAATTATATTTTTAGCATCGATATTCGTCGAATTATCATCGTCCGTAGACAATTTTATTAAATACTTTAAATTATTACAAATTTACAAGTACTATTAAATTCATAAACCCATACATACGTTCGATTTTATGCGATTTTCTACTAAGATATTTCTACAACCATTCGAAAAACTCTTCTCCTAAGCTTTACAATGGTAGTTAAATCATCCTTTTATCATCAATATTAATCAAGTTATTGCCATCCAAATACATGTATTTATTTTTTACCTCATATCAGTTTTATGTGACGGGATGCGATTTTCTACTATGGTATTCCTATAACCATTCGAAAGCCTAAATTGGGGGCTCTACATTGATAGTAAATCATTATCTTATCACCGATATTCATCAAGTTATTACCGCCCGAAATCATTTTATACTTGTCAAGTTTAATTCAGGCCGCGGTCTCAACTCAGGCCGAGTCAGACCTTAATTCTAAATTCTGGCCGGGCCCAATTTTTTAAGCTTAATTACAAGTCACAATAATAACAATAATTCAATTTATGTGACAAAATCGAATGGAGTCATATGGGAAGCCAATTAGAGAAATTCTGTCACGCCGTCAATGGGCTAAATGATCAACAATAAAGAGATTTGTCAAACTCTGATTGAATTAGCCTCTAATACTAATTTACTAAAAAAATTTTAATTATTTTTCCCCGACAATCTAATATAATAATAATATACCTTTCTAAAAAGTAAAGAATATGGCTGACCTTCCAATAAGATTTCAAGAGCTTTGTCAGGTATAATTCTTTAACGCGTTTATTTAAAAGCATTTAACAATAGACCTAATTTAATTTACGTCGATATATTAAAATATTTTAAAGTTTTTCCGAATATCTTTATATTTATGATAATTTTTGATAAATTTTCTTTATATTTTATCTTATAGCTCACAGAAATTGGTATCAACCAAACGAGTATTGGGTTTAATTGGTTGACTATGGAATCAGACCGTTTTATATGTGCGCGTGAAGCAATCGGAGGAGTAAACCAAGTTGTCATTGTTGATCTTAATGATACTCAAAATATTATGAAAAGACCAATTACAGCAGAATCTGCAATAATGCATCCTACCTCCAAAATTCTGGCTCTGAAGGGTATAAAAATGCATTATTGTGATCTTTTTTCTTGTTTTTTTTAACTGATATAATGGATTACAATGAAATTATTATTATTATTATGAAATCATAATGAAATTATATTAAAATTTATAATTGGTTATTTTTTATATTAGCTGCGAAACAACTTCAGATCTTCAATCTTGAATTGAAGACAAAAGTCAAATCTTGTGTTATGCAAGAAGATGTGGTATTTTGGAAATGGATTAATGAAAAGACTCTTGGTCTTGTAACGGGAGTCTCTGTATATCATTGGGCAATAGATGACGATTTACAACCTACCAAAATATTTGAAAGGCATTCATCTCTCGCAAATTCACAAATTATCAATTATCGAGTAAATTCTGATGAAAAATGGATGGTTCTTGTTGGTATAGCGGCAGCGGTTGGTATTAATATACTTAAAATATTACAAATATTTCCTTATAATTTATAAATCTCTATAATTCCTTTTAATTTCTTATAATTCCTATTGTAATTATAATTGAATAGGAAAAAACGAGAGTGGCAGGATACATGCAACTATATTCAAAAGAAAAATCAGTTAGTCAACCTATTGAAGGTCATGCCACAGCTTTTGCTACTTTATTATTAGAGAATGCTGCTTCCCCTACGAGATTATTCACATTTGCTGTACGAAATCAATCTGGTGCTAAGGTAATTATATCTTTTATTTCTTAGAATTTTTTTAATCGAATTTTTAATTCATAATTAATTAATTAATTAATTAATTAATTAATTATTTTTTTTTTAGCTGCATATTGTTGAAATTGATCATAAGGAAGAAAATCCAATTTTCCAAAAAAAGACGGTCGATGTTTATTTCCCAGATGAAGCTAGTTCAGATTTTCCTGTCGCGATGCAAATTAGTTCTAAATATAATATAATTTTTCTTGTTACCAAATTTGGGTATATTCACTTATATGATTTGGAAACTGGTACTTGTATCTATATGAATAGAATAAGTGGTGAAACAATCTTTGTTACTGCTGAACATAAAGCAACAAGTGGAATTATTGGAGTTAACAGAAAGGGTCAGGTATTATAAAATTTTGATTAAATTTGATGATTGATTTATTTTTATTTATTTATTTTATTTATTTATTATTATTATTTTTTTTTAAAAAAATGTTTAGGTACTAACTGTCTGTGTGGATGAAAAAAATATTATTCCTTATATATTGAATACACTTAATAATCAAGAATTGGCATTAAGAATGGCATCAAGATGTAATTTACCAGGTGCAGAAGATATTTACGTGCAAAAGTTCATGGCTTTATATCAACAAGGAGCTTATAATGAGTCAGCAAAGTTGGCTGCCAATTCACCACAGGTATTATTTATTTATTATTATTATTATTATTATTATTATTATTTTTAATAATGTCTTTTATAGTAATTTACTTCAAATATAAATGATAACATTATCAATGACATTATTAGGGCGTTCTTCGTACACAACAAACAATTGAACGTTTTAAATCAGTTCCAGTAGCTCCAGGAACACTATCACCGATTTTACAATATTTTGGTATTCTCTTGGAGAAAGGAAATCTTAACAAATATGAGTCTTTAGAATTGGCACGACCTGTTTTGGTGCAAGGTCGCAAAATGTTATTGGAAAAATGGTTAAAGGAGGATAAGGTATCATGTTTAGGAATGAAAATTTTTTTAATTATTTGTAATTTGATTGGTTGTATTAATTATATTAAATTTACATATATGTATATATATTAGTTGGAATGTAGTGAGGAACTTGGTGATATAGTTCGTCAATACGATCTTAACTTTGCTTTATCAGTTTACCTTCGTGCACATGTTCCAAACAAGGTTGGCTTATTTGATTATTTGATCAATAAAAATATATATATAAAAAAATTGTCAAAAAAAGGACAAATAAATATAGATGTGATATAATATATATATATATTTTTAAAAACTCTAGGTCATAGCATGCTTTGCTGAAACAAATCAATATTCCAAGATTATTCTTTACGCAAAAAAAGTGGGATTCCAACCGGATTATCCTTCACTTCTTCAAAAAATCATGCGACTTGATCCTGACAAAGGTGGTGAATTTGCTTCAATGTTAGTGACTGATGAGAATGGACCTTTAGTTGATATTGAGCGAGTAAGGATATGAGTTGTTATTTGTTGCTATTGATCTTTTATAATAAATTTATTTCATCATGATTGATATTTTTATTACGTTACTTACAGATTGTAGATGTCTTTATGTCACAAAATTTAATCCAACAAGCAACTTCTTTCTTATTGGATGCATTAAAAGAAAACAAACCTGAACAAGGACATTTACAGACAAGATTACTTGAAATGAATTTAATGCATGCTCCCCAAGTTGCCGATGCTATATTTAGTAATGGAATGTTCACTCATTATGACAAACCAACTATTGCATTACTATGTGAAAAAGCTGGTTTGTTACAAAGGGTCAGTATTCTCGACTTCTCTTTTCTTCTTTTTGTCGAATAAGACAATTGTTTAACTTTGTACTTCCATAAACTTAGGCTTTGGAACATTATTCTGATCTTGCTGATATTAAACGTTGCATCGTTCATACTCAAATTTTGAATACTGACGTGAGTCTTTTAATTTATTTTCTGAATTAGATTGTTTGCGAAATTTCAAATTAAACATTCCATTAATTATATTATTTTATATTAGTTTGTTCTCAATTATTTTGGGAATTTGTCGGTTGATCAATCGCTTGAGTGTTTGAATGAAATGCTTAGATGTAATTTACGACAAAATTTACAGGTCGCCGTTCAAGTTGCTACGAAATATTCTGAACTATTACAACCTTATAATTTGATTCAATTGTTTGAATCGTACAAAACTTATGAAGGTAATTTTTTTTTTAATTTCTCCATTGATAATTATAATTATTCATTAAATTTTTTAAAATTTTATTTAAAATGTACTTTTCATATTTTATATATTTTATATATTTATGTTATTATTTTAATAATAATAATAATAATAATAATAATAGGTCTTTATTATTATCTGGGATCAATTGTAAATTTGAGTACGGAACCTGATGTCCATTTTAAGTATATTCAGGCTGCTGTAAAGACCGGACAAATAAAAGAAGTTGAGAGGATTTGTCGTGAAAGTCAACATTATGATGCTGAAAAAGTCAAGAATTTCCTTAAGGTATCTCAATACCAACTTTTGATTAGATAAAGCTGAAAATTTTTACATATGTACGTTTTGTTTAATGTATTTTTTAATGTGTTACTTACGTTGGATTATTTATTTACTTAAATTATAGGAATCCAAACTTACCGATCAACTCCCATTAATCATTGTGTGCGACAGATTTGATTTTGTTCACGATTTGGTATTATACTTATACCAACAAAATTTTACAAAATATATCGAAATCTATGTTCAAAAAGTCAATCCCGCTCGTACACCGGTAGTTATTGGAGGGCTTCTTGATGTTGATTGTGATGAATCTATCATTAAGAATCTCTTAATGTCTGTAACAGGACCCGTACCTGTTGATCAATTGGTTCAAGAAGTCGAGAAACGTAATCGGCTCAAATTGCTTTTACCTTGGTTAGAACGTAGTTTCAATTCAGGAAGTGAAGAACCAGCTGTTCACAACGCGTTAGCTATGATTTACATTGATAGCAATAATAATCCTGAGGTTTTCCTAAGAGATAATGCAGTAAGTGATTAAATTTATTTACTGCATTTATTTTTATTTTTATTTAAATTAATATTAATTTTACTAATTTTAAATTTGTTAAATTTGGTTCGTAGTTTTATGATTCTCTTACTATTGGTAAATACTGTGAAAAGCGTGACCCAAACCTTGCATTTATTGCTTATCAACGCGGAAATTGTGATTTTGAACTTGTCAAGATTACAAATGAAAATGCGATGTTTAAACATCAAGCACGGTATTTGGTAAAACGTCGTAATCCAGAGTTATGGGCTGCTGTTTTAGATGAAAACAATATGTATCGTAGATCCGTTATTGATCAGGTAATATTTTGAACAAGATATAAATATTATTATTATTATTATTATTATTATAAAGTTCTTATAATTCTCATCATTTTTTAGATAAATGTAACTGCTCTTCCTGAATCAAAAGATCCGGAAGATGTTTCTCTTACCGTTAAAGCATTTATGACCGCAGACTTGCCTTTAGAGTTGATTGAATTGTTAGAAAAATTAATCTTGGAGCAAACTACTTCCTTCAGCGATAATAAAAATCTACAAAATCTTCTTATTCTTACAGCAATTAAAGTAAGAGTTTTTTTTTTTTGATATATATATCTCTATCTATCTACCTATTATTTCTTATGATAGGATCTATGATTTTTTTTTTTAGGCCGATGGTAGTAAAGTAATGAATTATGTAGATAAACTTAATAATATTGATGTCCGTGATGTTGCCGAATTTGCGATTAATGGAAATTTATATGAAGAAGCATTTGCTATATATAAAAAATATTCAGAATATGCTCTCGCCATTAATGTTTTGATTGAGAATATCGGTAGTATTGATCGGGCTTCGGAATTTGCTGAAGAAGCTAACCAGCCAGAAGTATGGAGTCGTTTAGCCAAAGCACAAATTGAATGTTTAAGAATTAAAGATTCAATAGGTTAGTTCATTAATGATTCAAATTTATAAGCATATATATAATCAATCCTTCAAGTAACCTGATAACAACAACTTTATACCAACTTTATGTGTTATACTCTAGAGTCTTATATTCGTGCTGATGACCCAAGCAATTTTAATGAAGTTATTGTTATTGCATCTCGAGCGGGTAAAAATGAAGAACTAATCAAGTACTTACAGATGTGCCGAAAGAAGCTTCGTGAACCCCTGGTTGATAGCGAATTATTATTCTCATATGCAAAGACCAAACGGTTTAATGACCTCGAAGAATTCCTTAACACACCTAATGTCGCGCAAATTCAATCAATCGGTGATCGATGCTACGATGATGGTCTTTTTGCATCAGCTAAAATCTTGTTCCAAAGTATTTCAAATTGGGCTAGATTAGCATCCACTCTTGTTCATTTAGGAGAATATCAAGCCGCCGTTGATGGTGCACGTAAAGCTGGTAGCACAAAGTAAATAAGATCTATAAAAAAAAATTGGGATATTTTGTTTCCGTGTTCTAAAAAAAAATATAAATTTTTTATAATAAATTTTTATCAGGGTTTGGAAAGATGTTCATTATGCCTGTGTTCAAAATAATGAATTCCGCTTAGCACATATTTGTGGTCTCAACCTAATAGTACATGCAGAAGAATTACAGGTTTGTTTTATATATAAATATATCTCTTTTAATGATATTATTATTTGGTATTTACTAGAATATCTTTATATAGGAGGTGATTCGTTTATATGAATATAATGGTCACATGGACGAACTCTTGTCCTTGCTTGAAGCTGGACTTGGATTAGAAAGAGCACATATGGGAATGTTTACCGAATTGGCAATCCTATACACTAAATATCGATCAGATAAAACAGAAGAGCATATTCGTCTGTTCTGGTCTCGACTCAATATATCGAAAGTTATTAGAGCTTGTGATGAAGCTCACCTTTGGAAAGAAATGGTATTCCTATATGAGAATTATGCCGAATTTGATAACGCTGCTCTTTCAATGATGACTCATGCGGCTGATGCATGGGATCACACTAAATTCAAAGAAATTACTGTCAAAGTCAGCAACCTTGAAATTTACTACAAGGTATTAATTTTTTGAATTTATTTATCACTCTTTGATTTCATTTTTATAAAATCTTTATTTTATTATTATTATAAAATCTTTAATAAAATTTTTACGTTTTATAGGCATTGAAATTTTATCTAGATGAACACCCTCTTTTGCTCAATGATTTGTTAGCTGTTCTTACCCCACGAATTGATCACACTAGGGTCGTTCAAATGTTCCAAAAATCAGATAATTTGCCCTTAATCAAGTCATATTTGATTTCAGTTCAAGAGGTTTGTAATTATTTATGTTTATATTTTTCGTTCAGTTATTATTATGTTTTGTTAATCTTTTTTTTTTTGGACATATAATGTATTCAGACAAACAATGAAGCAGTAAACATTGCCTATAATGATATATTGATTGAAGAAGAAGACTATAAATCATTACGCGACTCTATTGACAGTTTCGATAGATTCGACAACATCAAATTAGCTCAACGACTTGAAAAACATGAACTTTTAGAATTCCGTCGTATTGCAGCTCATCTCTACAAGAAAAATAAACGTTGGGATAAATCGATTGCTTTGTCAAAGGAAGATCGTCTGTTTAAAGATGCAATTGAAACAGCATGTGAATCTCGTTCAACAGAAGTCGCGGAAGAACTTTTAGAATATTTTGTTCAAATTGGAAACAAAGAATGTTTTACTTCAGCACTTTATACATGTTATGACTTAGCTCGACCGGATGTTGTATTAGAATTAGCCTGGAAGCACGGTCTGAATGATTTTGCGATGCCATATTTAATTCAAGTTATGCGCGAATATGTTACCAAGGTAAGAAAAGATAGCTGTTCAAATTTATTTATTAATTATTAATTTTTTTAATTTATTATAATTGAATTCTCTAATAAATTTTATTTTTATACACATATCTATAGGTGGACACGTTAGAAAAATCTAATGCTGAAAGACTAGATAAAGAACGTGAACGAGAAAAGAACGAAAATGGTTATTATTATTGGATATTATTGATATTTGAATCAAATTTAATCAACATAATCAATATAATTCAATTTAATCGATTTCAATATTATTTATTTATAGATACTCCAATGATGCATCCAATTGGAATAACGAACCCACTTATGCTTACTCAAGGACCAAGTCAAGGGTATGTATTTAAAAATGGTTATCATTTATAAATAGATTACTAATAATGCTTTTTTAATCAATTGTATAGTGTTTCTCCACAAGCATTTGGATCATCAAATTACACTAGTTATCAAGGCTTTTAATTTTTTTCACGAATTATCATTGATAGTGCAAAATAATAATGCGATGATGCGAAATATGCACTTTATAGAAAAAAAAATTTTATTTTTATTTTTTTTTATTAGAGGTTAATAGGGTGTAAATATAATAATAATAATAATAATAATAATAATAATAATTTAGATTTGTGACTATTTCATTTCTTCTATACTTATTTGTACTTTAAAAAAATGATTTGTAATATTGCGAATAAAATAATCTTAAAGATCAGCTTTTTTTGGGAAAATCTTAACCTGCGCAAGGTATAGATTCTTAATAAATTTACCCTTTTATTAAATATATTCTGACCCATCTATCATTATCACATGAAACTTGTGCGTGAATTAATTCTGATCACCCGCATGACTATGGACCAATGAAATTCGGAGGGCGGAAACGCCCGGTGCACGGACTTTTCTGTATCATTTTCCAATAACATTTCGCAAAAATTATGTATAAAGAAGCATTGCGTAAACTTTTAGACGAATTGAAAACGCGCATTGCGACAACTCCCATCGACGCATCTAAAGCTCTCAATCGGTTTGGTAAAAACCGAATATCTCGGTTCGGTTTCGGCTCGGTCTCGGTTTATTCATAGAATATTAATTTGATCATCATGGTTTCACCATCTATTTATATTAATAAAGATCTAGATTTTTTTTTTGTATCTATTTTTTCATTAATAAATAAAATATTCAATATAAAATTAATATAATCTTAACTGGTAATTTTGAATTATGATAAATAAACTCACCAGTGATGATTGTCACCACTGGACAAAATTAAATCTACGTGGGCGAAGTTAGGATGGGTTGATCAGGGAATTATGTAATTTTGCCTAGTGGTGACAGTGAGACTTATTTAAACCGATAATAACCAGTTCGGTTTCGGTTCGGTTTCGGATTGAGTATTCATGTCCCGGTTTCAAACCGAACCGAACCGAACCGAACCGTTGAGAGCTTTAATCGAGATCAAAAGATGACTTTAAGCAGGGCTTTGCACAAGCCACCGTACAGTAGGGTTGTCATAGGACATACTTGGGACAAAATTGGGACAAAAATTATTTTTTAAAAAATGTAAATAGTACAAAATTTTATAAAAACCTACTTTAAACTATTAATTAAAGTTGTTTAGAATTAATTTTTATATATATTTATAAAATTTTAATATCTATTTATAAACTGTTTAAGGGTAGGGACAGTGGGACGGGACAGTTAAAAAAGCTAGGGACATGTAAAATGTACAACCCCGCCGTACAGATGGAATCTTCATCTCGCAAACGCAAAGCAAATGAAATAGACGACGAGTACGATATGGATAAAGTATGGGGGATTGTAACAGATGTGGAAAAATGGTATTTCATGGAATGTACGTTAGATAGTGAAGGGAAAACATCGTTCAAGTTGTCAAAATTCTTATTTGTTGCGTATGGAGATGAGGAGGTGAGGATATGAAAGACAAGGCAGAAAAGGTCCTTGTCATATTATATGATTGTTGGACGCAGAAGCCAGTGTCAATAAGGTCATCAGGTGATCTTGTAGCAAAAACTTCGTGTATCACCTGACCCTTTGTTCATGATCGCAAAAGTGATCTGCGTTTTAAATGGCTCACGTAATTTTTCATGTCGAATCGTTTTTTTTATCAAAACTTAGTTTTTTATTTTATTTATATAAAAAGGTTGATTCTAACATTAGAACTTATTAATCAAAAAATAAAGTATTGTGTGAATGATCTTTATTAGTTCGAGGCATTGTTCTTCTACATTTCTATAGGTAACATTTTTTCTAACAGTTGAAATTTTTCCGCCCATCTTAAATTATTTTTAATCTTTTGGTCTATTAAGTCTAATAAAAATTAAAACCTATCAACACCTTAAAAAGGAAAAATCTAAACAAGTATAAGCCTTTAAAAGTATATGAAACATCGACTGGTCATGTTAAGGTCACGTATATCAAATTTTATTGGTCGAAATCTAACATTTCATTTTTCCCTTTTTATTCATATCTGATATAAAAAAATTATAAAAATTGTTGTGGACTTCCGACACCTTATTAATAAGAAAAAAAAAATTTAAGATTACCTTTAAGAATAACAAGTACTTTTCAGTTGTATTTATTAGTTTGTCATATATTTCTTCACATAATTGCATGTTATTGTCTTCCGATAATAAATTATTATCTTTATCAACTATTTGAAAATTTTAAAATTATACTGTATATTGGCATTAATGAAGTGTTAAGAAAAGGATATTTGATTATGAAGATGGACTTGATCAAAAAATTCAGTAAGTTACGGTTCCTTTTTTGTTGTACGAGATATTTACAAATAAAAAAGCAGAAAATGGACATTCACAAATATCTGTAAAAATCTGTTATTATTAAGTGGTCATTTTTCTAAAATTTTTTATTCTTTTTTTAAATTCTTTTCTCTATTCAACTTTTTCCTTTTACCAAAAAATTTCAATTTTTCTTTGTTGATGTTGAATAAATTGTTTAATAATAAAAGTTACTAAACTAAACTGGGACGAAAATTTATATAAAAAAATCCTGCTTCATAATTTTCCAATGAGCTTATTTGTTTTTAAAAATTGGAATTTTGTAATCATATCCTGCTCGAAACTACAATATCCAATATTCTTGACTATACCATTCATTCCATGAATATATTCAAGCCATAAAGAATCTTGTATACAAAATTGTACTGTTTTTGTCCAAATTAAAATGGATAAAAAAATATTGATTTTCAACTGTTGGAATAAGAGAATTTTGATGTAAATGTTTATTCATTAATTCCCATATTGAAGAGTGTATCCAACAGCAAAAATAAAACGCGTCTCAAATAATAAAGAAATAATTGTTACTTACAAAGGATATAAATGAATTTTTAACGGAAAATATCGTAGATTTTTTTTTTTGTAATTGTAAATTAGAGAATAAATTTTGGAATCGAAAATTCAATCATTAAATCTTTTATTAATATCTTCCTCCAAAAATCATTCAAAATTTTCACTTCGTTAACTATCGAATACAATGTAAAATATTTATATTATAAAATGATCGACAAATTCTTCCGATATTAAAATTCGGGGTATATTTTACTATAGCTTGGAATCTGACGCGCGTGTATAGGTAAGTATAAATTGTCACAATATGAAATTTTAGTATTAGTTAGGTAAGCTATTTGAGCATTTTTTTTTTGTAAAAAGTCCGGTAAATTTTTCAAAATAAAGGATACTTTCTTATGTGCTAAAAAAATCAATTCTTTAAAATTTTTAAAAACTGTATATTTTTACAATACTTTTGCGCACACCAGATTCAAACTATATTATAATTTTATTAAGTAACTTAACCCCGATTTTCTATATGTAAATAGTGCCATTCTTAGACGAACCAGCAATTTAAACTATATACAAACTCTTCACCTACATCCCATTTTTCTTTTGAAAAGTCACACGTTTCTTCCGAAAAGTTTTACGATATTTTTTTTTGTATATTACTCAGTTGAACTTTTAATCACATTCTCTTTATTAATAGATTTCTTATGTAACATCACATTTTACGTCAATTATATTGTTCTTTATCTTGTATTCACTTGGTTTTGAAACATATACAAAAAGTATTGTTTTAGAAAACTATAAAAAAAGGCATTCGACTTAAAAATTTTGAAACTGTTAGTCCAAGTGATGAACTTGTTCCTCGGCTGAAATTGTAAATCACATCAAAAAATTTTTTAAACCAGATCATTTTATTATTTTGTTTATGGTAAATATGGAACCAGAAGAACTACACTGATCTTTTATGATATTAAGTAAAAACGAAATTAGAAAAGGAGTCATATATGTTGATATTCTGTATTATAAATTCAAATTTAATCCAGTTTGGTAATGCATTTGAAGAATTTGAAGAAAAAATATCTCTTATATAAATTATCTGATACTAAAAATTTTTAGTAAAACTGAAGGTAATATTATTATTGATACTTTATTATAAAAAATAGATCTTTCTTTGATCTCAATTTTCATCCTATAAACTTAGACACATTAAGTAAATGGGAAAGAGCTTTGAATATTTTAGGCGTGAAGCTGAAATATATAGAAAGAAACATGATAAACCTCCAGTCATCATTTATGATAATATTAGTAGATTGCTCGAGTTTAGTCCAAGAGTCATTGACATCCTCCAAGGCGATGCCAGAGTTAATGCTGATTTCGGGAGATATATTGCTTTATTTATTAGTAGTGAAGGAGGATCTGTTCCAAAAAGGAAGGTAAGTATAAGTACTATTTTTGCTCTTGAGAGAGAATCATGACTTTCAAATTGTAATTCATTATTTTAGTTCGCAGTTCTTGGTTACATGCAGTGATGGAAATTGGAGATCTTAGTGAAAAATGAATCGATCAACAAGTGCAAGATTAATGAAGTAGCAAAAAATTTTTATGAATTGGTTGGTGGTCATATATTAGATCTTAAGTTTGCGGTAACTATGTTTAGTGATAAGAACCTTTTAAAGGTAAAATGGTTTCATCAATCAAATTTATGCAATTTTGTTTAGAATATTACTTAAAAAGTCAATTTTAAATGAAGTTGAGAAGAAATTCATAAAAGCATATCTCCTCTGAAAGAAATTGTATCATGAAGTAGGAAAGAAAGTAATTAAAGTTTTATTAGATTCTAAGAAATTGAAATACAGTGTTTATGGAATATTTCAATGATCATAAAGGCCAATGTATTTGTATTGTCACAATCTTATTTTCAGGAAGAAGTTAATATATTTGTTAATCAAATTGATGATTTACGATACGAGAAAACTATTTTTTATATTTTATTGCTAAATATATAAATTTTTTATTTTTGATACAAAACAAAATAATTTGAAATTTTAAGTTTTTTAATATAAAAAATTAAAGTATAACTTTAAGAGAAATAGATAATTAAAATATTTTAATATTATTAGTAGAGATTAAAACTTCCCATAAGCCGAGCCTGGTCAATTTCAAAAAAACTTGAGCTTGACTCAAGACTAAGTTTAAAAGTTGGACTCAGGTTGAGCCGAGCTTATATAATTTGGTCTCAGCTTGGCTCTCAAGCTTATATGGGCTTTTAAGGCTCTCAAATCTTAATATGAGCTCACAGCCTTAATATGGATTCTTGAGCCTTGATATGGCTCTCGAGCTTTAATGTGAACTCATCAACATTGTCATTCCCTTCACCTGTAATAGTTTGACTTGTGGATTGCTCGCTTAAATTAACCTACATCGAGCTTTTTCACTGGTAATAAGACTTGTTGTAGCTTGTTCTTGCATTGAGGTGGAATTATTTGCAATAGGGCTTGTTCCACGATTCTCCGTATTAATTTGCTTCGTTTTTTCAGCAGAAATGGAAGATGCACCTTTTCTAGCTCTTGTATTAATTCCAATTCCTCTTCATCATTGAAGATGGTTATGATAGATTGATGGTAAGCCTTTCCTTTAAGTAGAGACCAGAATCACGTGGTGACTATTTTTCAATATGAGTAGAATTATAGTCCTACACTATGCTCCCGGACAATAAATTTTCTATTTAAAAAGAACTTTAAAAATCATTAAATAATCCAGTTGCATAAATGGAAACTTATAAAAAATAACTTATTATTTCGAAACATATTTAAATAAATTTGAAACGAAGAGTGTTAAAAAGTCCTTTTTTTTAACATTTTCAAATTTTGACCAGGTGAAAATAGATGAAAATAAACACGAATATTATATTAATTCAAATACATAAATATGTATATATATATTAAATAATGTACAAGCTAAGCAAGCAGGTATACAAAACAATAAATATATAATAATACATATTAAGTGCAATATTAGTAATAATATCACCTAGCCCCGTAATTATTAGTTTTTAAGTCAACAATGTAATAAAATAAGAAATCATTATAAATAGATCATTGTTAAAGAATAATCTAATTTGGAAACTATTTATATTTAAAGAAAGTTATATTTAAAAAATGTTTAAAACGTTAAAAAATGTAAAATAATGCAAAATAATTGTATGCAAATACCAACAAACAATGGACTCCAAATTCCCAAAAGAAGGGAAACAAATAATAATAAAAAATCCCCAATTTTAGCTGGTCTATATATGGATATGATGCCCCAGACAAGGTTCCCACAAGAAAATCTATAGAATAATGGTTTAAAGTTTTGATAAGGATTCTTTCCGAAAAGATAATTCATTTATTTATTTATTTTGGATTAAAATGGAAAATTAACGATCCAAAATTTATTTTACTTAATATAAAATAATGTAAAATAATGAAAATCATAAAATTTAAAGAATAAACAAAATATAAAAGAACGATTTATGTTTTTGAAAATATTTATTTTTATTAAAGTACATATAAATATCATAGTCTTATGAGGAAAGACTTAAAATCATTAAGAACGAATAGAGAAGCTTTTTTCATTACATTCAAACACGGGGGAATAATTGATTAAGGGATCTGCGAAGCACCGTAATAGAAATGTTACATCTTGTGTGTCATTCTTTTTGAGAAATTGCTATAACTATAGAAGGTGACATTCAAGATTTACCTTTCCCAGACTATCGGGTATTTTTTTTTTTTAATCATTCGAAGGGTAACAAAAAAGTAATTTGTATAGTTAGTTATGTGTGTGTCATGTTCAATAGGTCAGACAAAAATATATTTAGGTATTTCTTTATTTGTCGAATGTTGCAGAAAAGGAAATGAGTGACTTATAGCCACTGCAAAAAGTCCTTTCCTCTCTTTTTTTGACGATAAAAATAATACTTCAAACCTTCATTTGTGCCCAACTTTTTTTTTTATCTTTACTTGCATAAAGCCAAAACTTTAAACCCTCCAAACCTTTTACCAGCATTACTTACCTCTTCCCTTAATCTATGCAATAGATTCAATATTAGTTTTTTTTAACCCATGCCTTCAGAAAAGAAAAAACGCGTTTTACCTCCTCCTATCGGATTAGAGGTTTCTGTTCCTCCAAAGGATAGTTTAGTAGAAGATTTGAGAAACGCGCTTGAACATTCAAGGGAACTATTCTCAGACATAGCATGGGAGTTCACTTTAGCCCCCACTCCTACTACCATCTATGCTCATAAAGGTATTGATACATTTCTAATTTGTATACTCGAGATTTTTTATTTTTTATATCTTTTAAAATTCAATTAAAATTAATTAATTTTTCATCATATTTACGATCAAAATTGAAAAAAAAAATTTTTTTCAATAAATTTTTTATTTCGTTTAAAACTTTTTTTTTTATTATTTATTTTCCAAATAATTTATTTTTTTTTACTCAATAAAAATGATATAATTTTTTTATAAATATTTATTATCAAATTGTGTTATGACCTATAGCTATTTTATATGCTCGAAGTTCTCGTTCTTTTAAAGAACGTTTCATGAAATATAAAGATTCAAACGGACAGTCCATACGGTCTGTACGGTTATCAAATCCCGATCCCATAACTGTAAAGACAGATGCAGATCCATTCCTTTTTAAACAAGAGTTAAAATTCTTTTATACTGGTGAAGAAGGAAGTGAAGAATTTCTGAACGCTGTTGATACTACGGATGAACTTGAACAACAAAAATTGAAAGAAGATTTATTATATATGTATAAATCAAAATTATACACTGATGTTGAGTTAGTATTGGAACTTAATGAAGATAATATTGATATAGTCAATGAAGAAGAAGATGATGATGCATTCAAACCTATAACTATTCGAGCGCATCGATTTATTTTATCCATTAGATCAGAATATTTTAAAAAAATGCTTAGTTCAAATTTTCTTGAAGCGAGAACAGCATCCATAAGTCTTGATGCTACCATTTTTAGTCCAATGTCAATTAATTTGATTCTTTCATTCATTTATACTGGAAATCTTACTTATAATCAAAAACCATTGACTTTAGAAATTTGTGAATGGGTGTGGATTGGCGCTGATTTTTTGAATATGAAAAATCTTTGCGATGACATAGTTTATAGAATTTCCACAAAAGTACATTATTTCGCTTGTACTTGTGGTGAATGTCAAGTAGTCATTCCTAGAGTTGCATCATTTGCAAAGGAACATGAAGTTACTAAATTATGGAAAGGTTGTTTACATGTTTTAGCTATAGGATTTGATAACATGTGGCCTCATAGAGAATTTGCAAATCTTGATGAAGATACAAGAGAAGAGGTTCTTATGACATTACTTGCCAATATTCAAACTTCTAATATCATTTCTATTTTCAAAGGTTGTCGAAGGATTTATTCAATGATTGATATCAAAGGAATAGGTTTACCTTGGATAGAATCAATTCGTCGCATGACAAATCAAGTTCGTTCATTTGCAACACAAATATTGGTGGATGATTTTGAACAAATTTGTGAAGAAGATCAAGAATTTCTGGATTGTGTGGATGGGGTTGGTTTTAGTTTAGACATATTAGAGGACATTATGAATATTATAGTGGAGGAAGGCTTAACTGAACAAAATTCAACGAAAGTACTCAAATGTATTACGGAGAAATTATTAACTAGACCAGCAGTGGTGGATTCAGAGATAACGGAATCAAAAGCAGTATTGTTAAGAGCTAAACAAAACGTTTTTGATTATATAAAAAAGAGATGGATTGGAATTAAACAATATGGTGGATTTAGATTATTGAGTCCTATGATTTTGGATGAATTCGAAAAAGGTAAAAATTTGTAAATATTTTTTATTGAAATTTATAAATTAAAGATAATATTTAATTTCATTCCTTTCATCTTTTCTTATATCCTTTCTAGAGTTAGGAGTTGATCGTCAAGAATTGCAAGCTTATGATGAAAATTCAAAACCAAAAACAACAAAATCGCCTAATTTAATAAATGGAAAAAATGGAACAACTGTAACAATTTTAAATACAAATGGACATACAAAGAAGGTGTCACCTACTACAAAAGTCGCGCCTACAAAAGTTACGACTACAAAAGTTACTCCTACAATTACAACGACAATTACAACGACAACGACACCGGCGATAATAACAACGCCACCACTTTCTGCAGATAGCGTATCTTCGATTACTCCATCATCATCTTCGTCTTCTTTGAATTCAAATAGATTACCTTTAGCTGAATCATCATCAGTGAAAAGTAATAATAACAATAGCAATAATACCTCTACCAAAAGACCTTCAACAAAGAAAGGTAAAAGCGTACGCATTGGTGAAACTACTACATGGGATCGTCCAACTCGGGCCAGCGTTTTACGTCAAAAGGCATTAGCAGAGGCAGCAGCAAAGAATCCAGTAAAAAATCCAGTAAAAATACGTACAAAACAATCATCATCGTCATCATCATCCACTTTATCAACTTATTCGATTTCATCAATTAATTCGGTTTCATCAAGAGTAGCGAAAACAGCAACATCAACAAATAATAATAATAAAACTACGAAAAAATCTCCATCAACATCTAGTCTTAAGGTGCCTCCCGCAGGTGGTTCTAGTACACAAAGAGGACGTTCACCTAATAAACAAACTTCATCGCGTCCATGTTCAAGTACCTCAATTAATTCTGTTGCGACTTCTATTTCTCCAGCACGTTTAAATGATGTACGACAAAATCGTGCCAGTATGTTAAGGCAATTAAAATATGATGACGCGCACCAAAGACGTGGTCGTGGTCGTGATCGTGATCGTAATTATTCACCCAAATCTTCACGAGCAAGTTCTATTGCGTCTGCATCATCTGCCACTAGTTCTACCACTACATCATCGCATCACAGACGAAAACGATCACCTTCTATAAATTCAACTTCAACCACGATTACGAATAACTCAAATGGAAAGATTACTAGTTTACAACCGAAATCACATCAGACCAAATTAGCTACTACTCCCAATCCGGATATTTCTGTAGGTAGACGTGTGATACTTCCAACAAAAAATAATGCACCTGGCATTATACAATTTTTGGGAGAAACAGAATTTGCAAAGGGAATCTGGGTAGGAATTGAACTTGATAATGCCGGTATGTTCAAAAAAACAATAATTTTTAGATAAATAGATTTTTTTTTTTCTTATTAAATTTAATTAACATTTATATTTCTTTTTTAGTTGGTAAAAATAATGGTGTGGTAGCCAGCATCAAATATTTCGCGGCCGCCAATAATCATGGGATATTTGTTAGACCGGATTCACTTTTATTAATATGTTAATATGGGTTCAATTAATCAAAAAAAAAAAATTTTACTCAATTTAAATAAAATTTAAATTTTTGTTTTAAATTTATTAAATATTACTAAATATTATTAAATTTTGTTGGATTAGTAAAATATTAAGAGGACAATTAAGCACATTCATTCTTCATTTTTTTTTATATTCTTAATTTTTTCTCCAATTTTATAATTATATATCATACACTAGAATAAGTTTTGCATTACCTATTGATTTATAACATATAAATTTTAGTTCTTACATATTTATTCCTTTATTATTTTTATTATTATTTTAATCTGGTCCATTACTCACTTTCTTTTTGTATTATACACATTATTTTATTCATATTCGATAACTCTTTTTTCCCCCAAAATCAAAAATTTGTAGTAGAGAATTAAAATTGGGAAAAAAGTTATCAAACCAATTATTTATTAAATAAATATTTTAAATATATACATATATTTATCTAAATTGTGATTTTATTAGTAAATCAATCAAAACATCTAAGATTATTGGGTTTCTATATATGTCTTTACAATTTATAAGATTTGTGTATATGTTATCATCATCATTATTATAGAAATGAAATTAATGATTAATAAATTTAATAATAGAAAATAACAATTTGTTATTCAGAACATCAAAGATTTTATTAATACTAGATTATATAAGTTGATATTTACCTATTGCATATTGAAAATATACATCTGGATTATTTTTTAATAAATATCTTGGTTTAAAGATAGTACAATTTTTTTTTTCGAAAATGAAAAGAATATTTATTATAAATTGTTCTCTTTATTTTTATTACACAAAATATTGAAATGTTCAAATATATTTCACATCGGAAAATTGAGAAATAAAATAAAACATTAATGTACACTCTATTAAATTATTGATATCGAATCACTTGAGCTAATAATTCCTGATTCAGAACCAGTATATTATATACAGGTAATGATTTTACACAGGTAAATATATAATTTTCGTGTAAAATTTTTATTAATTTTATTAATTTACATATTGCTGGAATTGATAAGTATTTTCTTGTCAATTAAAATAATATAGGAAAAATGAATTCCACACCAGTTGTACGGTTATATGGCCTATCTGCAGGTCACCTGGGTAAATCCAGGTTCAATCACCAATTGTGAATATCCTCATCAAAAATTGAGATCAAGCAAAACTTTAAAATGTTCTCAATGTCAAATAGAAATAGGTAGAGACATTAATGCAGCAAGAAATATCAATATTAACCAAATTAAAAAGTTTGACATTGGGACATACCCTTCTTATCCATAATCATTGCAGGACTTGAATAAAGGAGATCAATTTTGATCCCTTTGAACAAATTTAATTGTGAATGTGCTTGATTTATCAACTCTTATTACCATTTTTCTTTGGATATTATTACATTATTTAGAAAATAGAATTTGAATATTAAAAATTTTTTTTATTAGTACTAATGATGTATAAGAACTTAGTGTCATTTTATAACCCGGGGGCTGCAACAGAAAATTTTTTTAAATCTTGTTCAGAATGAGTTTCAGCATATGATTTCATACGAGCCTCAAGTTCTGGTCGGAAATGACGGATTAATCCTTGAATGGGCCATGCTGCGGCATCGCCCAAAGCTATAAAATTTAAAATAAATAATATATATCATGAAATTGCTAAATAAATAGGCAATCAATAACATAAATAAGCTAAACTTACCACAAATAGTGTGACCTTCTATTTGTTTTGTTAATTCTTGGATCATATCAATTTCTCTCGAAACAGCATAACCTTTCTCAAAACGTGACATCATGTTCATAAGCCATGATGTACCTTCACGACAAGGTGTGCACTGACCACAACTTTCGTGTTTATAAAAAGCAGATAATCTAGAAATTGCTTGAACAATATCAGTAGATTTATCCATAACAATAACAGCAGCAGTTCCTAATCCAGATTGAACATCACGAAGAGCATCAAAGTCCATCCTGTTATATAATGGCCATATGATTATTTTAGTTATTAAATTTATTAATAAAACAATAAAAAAAAACAAAGATAAATAATAAGATTAATTTTACTTACAAAACATCGTCACAAATATGCTTTGGTAAAACAGGAACTGATGAACCACCAGGTATTATTGCTAATAAATTATCCCATCCACCACGTACTCCTCCAGCATGACGTTCAATAAGATCTCTTAAAGGGATACTCATTTCCTCTATTATTATTATAAAAATTTAATATACAAAACCATTTCCTCATTAATTTAAAAAATTAATTTAATAAAAATTACTTAATATGAAAGGAAAAATTTACCTTCAACTGTGCAAGGTTCATTCACATGACCTGAGATACAATAAAGTTTTGTGCCGCTATTCTTTGCTCTTCCAAAACTTGCAAACCATGAACCACCACTACAAATTATATTTGGTGTGTGTAATTAATAAAATGCTTCTAATTTTCCTACTGATAAAATTTATATAAAATTACCGTCTGCAAATAGTAGGTGCCACAGCAACAGTCTCAACATTGGTTACGGTGGTTGGACAACCAAATAAACCAACATCAGCTGGGAATGGAGGCTTTAATCTAGGTTTGCCCTGTTTTCCTTCCAAGGATTCTATTAAAGCAGTTTCTTCGCCACAAATATATGCTCCGGCTCCCCGATGAATATATACATCAAAATCATAACCTGAATTACAAGCATTCTTTCCAATAAGTCCGGCTAAAATTTTATAGAAATAAATAAAATAAATAAATAAATAAATTTAAAAAATTATTATTTAACAAATTGAAACTTAACCTAACCTTCATATGCTTCATTAATCGCTTCTTGTAAATTTGAAGCTTCATTATAGAATTCACCTCTTATATATATGTAAGCTGATAAGAAAAAAAGGAATGAATAAAAAACAAAGTTAAAGAGAATCAAAATTAATCATATTATATGAATTACAAAGATTGACTTACCAGCAGAAGCATTCATTGCTCTTCCAGCCACTAAACACCCTTCAACAAGTTTATGAGGATCACCACGCATGATTTCACGATCTTTACACGTACCTGGCTCACCTTCGTCAGCATTAACTACCAAATACTTAGGACTAAAATTTTTAAATTATGTAAAAATTATGTTTGACAGGAAATTTTTTTAATTTAGAGAATTATTACTAACCGGCCATCTGGTGGCTTATTCATGAAACTCCATTTTAAGCCTGTTGGGAATCCAGCACCTCCACGACCTCGAAGTCCAGATTCTTTGATCTCTTTTAAAATCCATTCATGCCCCTTTAATATTATTTCTTTAGTTTTGTACCAATCGCCTCTTTGCTTGGAACCTTTTAGTCTATAATCGTGTCGTAAATACAAATTTGTGAAAATTCGATCTTCGTCCTTTAGATTACCATAAGTGCGGCTTAGTGGTGGTGAAGTGTTTTGAACTGTAGCAAAATTTGCAGCACCTTTCAGCACTTTAGGGTAAACTACAATAGGTCGAAGATAAGTAGTTTGAAATGCTTTAAAATAAAAAAAGAAAACCGTCTTATTATATATTATATATTATATATATTTTATTTCTTGTAATAATAAAGACAATTTACATACTTTTGTTCAAAATGCACTTTTTTAACATTTAAGAAAATTTTTTAATCAGAGATCAGATTTTTTATTATTATTACAAGTTACTCAAAAGTCACGCCTGCCGATCCGACGAGAACAATGACATTGAGGCCACGTTTTTTAGTGTTTGGAATTCATTACGTAATATTTTTGATACTACAGAAGATGAAATACTATCTTGTAGCTGGGATTTATATCGATGTTAAGAACACCTTAATAGAAAATCGCTCCCTGTTGAGTAAGTAAATCGCGAGCGAAGTCAAAAAAATGTAAAATTCCGCAATATTTTCGTGTAATTTTCCGGAAATTTTATGCCAGATTAATTATTATTTTTTGATTTTTCGCTAACATTAATAGAAAACCCTGATTCTTACAAGTTAGTATGTGTTTCATCTCTGTAACATTAATATTCATCAAATATTTCGGTTTAAAGGTTTAAAGTCTGAGTGGCAAATCAAATTAAAAAAAAAAAAAGAATGAAAAAATTAAACATCAACCAAGAAAACTATAACTTCTACTTTAAATGCTAGTATTAGTGTTTGGCATTGGATTTATTCTAATTAACTTAATTGACTTATTAAACTTATTTAACAATTAGACATTATCATTATAGAAATATCTTTTTTGTTAAAATTACTGATAATACTGTAAATGTTAGAATTTCAATTGTTAACATTGGTAAGAAAATCATATCATATACTTATTTTTTATTATTTATTCCTATCTTTATCTAGCTGCTTCGGAATAATTGATGATAATTATTATGATATTTCATATTATATTTGAAAAAAGCTAAAGAAATTAAAAAAATTTTACAGATTAAAATCAATACCATCTATAGTAATGTTAAAGGAATCGTATAAAGGAACGTAAATCCCGTCCCGAAGTTCATTATCGTCGTCTTTTATGGTACCTTTTTAGAGTTAGATTAGATTTTATTTTAAACGACTAGCGTGGTTTTTTTTTTTTTTAATGCACTTATCCTTGTTTTGACAATCTTTAATATACAGACGTAATTTCGCACGTGAATGCGTTACAATTGCTTTCTCCTGATTTTCATAAACTCCCATTATGACAATGCATATCCAACGATAATCGTGTAAATCAAAATTTTAACAATCGCTCGATTAGAAATTTAATTAATTAGTAATTTGCATACCCAACGATAATTGAGTAAATTAACAATCGTTCGATTAGAAATTTAATTAAATTATTACTTTGCATATCCAACGATTTAACAATTAAATTATATAGAAAATTTACACTTGCGATAGTAATTAATTAATTTTAATTAACATTTTTTAAGTAACTTTATATTTATTTCTTAAAAAGGATGATTAAAAAAAAAATAGAATTAAGGGAAAATATATGAATAATGTGTCGAGAAGATATACAAAAGGAGATAGATGATAAAGTAGAGAAGATATACAAAAAGATGAAAGATAATAATTTATGAGATAATACAGGTTTTTTTCTTTTTCAAATATTTTTGACCACCTTCCAAAATCATGAATTTCACCCCTCCTAGATATTTATCTTGAGTTTTTTCTTCAATAGAAGCCATTAACATTGGAGCTTTAATAACAACTGATTCTATAACCCCTAAAACATGACTATTACTTCTACCACCACCACCACCACTACTATTATTATTATTATTGTTGTTATTATTATTATTATTATTATTATCATTGTTATTATTATTGTTATTATTATTATTATTATGATTATCGTTACTGCTATTATTATTATTATCGTTACTACTACTTATATTATTATTGTCGTCGTCTTCGTCTTCCATTTTCTTTTGATTTCTTCCAATAAATTTTGCTTTTGGTAATTTATTTTTACTTTTACCCATTATACAAGAATTCCACCGGCCATCAGTTGATTTACATTCACTAGTGGGAGTTTTTATTTGACCATTAGTAACGAAAAAAGTTTTTAAGAAAGGATGTTCTTTGTCAGTTTCTGAATCAAATACATAAATTCTTGATTCATTTAATTCAGTGGGGCAATCCCAATCACTATATAATAATGGTTCATTTATACAATTATCTCGTAATATTCCATCCCCTCGTAATTTTAATCCCCAAAGTTTAGAATGATTAGGACCCAAAGTACCAGTAGGTTGAGTATTATCTAATATGAAAGTGGCGTGTAAAGTTGTTTTATCGAATTTATGAAATTTTAAATCGAATGTATTGTTTATAGGGACGAAATCCAAGAGATATCTTGTCATTAAAACCTGTTATTTAAAATAATTAAAAAAATTATTATTAGTTTGCTGTTAATAATAATAATGTCTAACAATATAATAATAATAATGTCTAACAATATAATAATAATAATGTCTAACAATATAATAATAATGTCAAATAATAATAATAATGGATAGTAAAGATAAAAATGAAAATAATTATACATACCAATAATCGTCGATGAGAATTCCAAAAAGTATCGTTAAATCTTACAATTAAAATCTTTCTTATTTCAGTATTCATAGATCTTGAAAGTATCATAAATTTACATAATTGTCTCGTTGGTATATGAGAAAATATCTCTAGAATTAATTCGACAGGTAATGAAATGCGTTTTATAATTTTTTTACCCATTTTGATGTATTTTTAATATTTTTAATCAAAAAAAAAAAAAAAAATTTAAATAATTTAAAATAAAATAAATTTGAAAGAAAGAAATAGATCAAAAAAGAATTAAATATTTTTAATAAAGTAAAATTAAGGTGAAATAAATTAAATCAATAATTTATTTTTTTTTTAAAAAAAAAAAGTTATTATCAAAATAACAAAGTCGTGAAGGTTCTTTTATAAAAATATATATGTGTGCGTTTTTACGAATTTGGTATAGCTTATAACTATATTATGTCCAAACTTTGAAAAAAAATTACTTCTAAAATGGGATTCGAATCAATGTTATATATATATTATTTTTTTGATGCACGTTTTTTTTTTAAAGGTAAGTACGTTCAATTCAATTTATTCATTTTCGTTGAACTAAACAATTTTGTGATAGCGTAAAAGTTTTAATATTATTATTTAATTATTAAATATTGTTCTTATCAAAAATATATTATCTGTTATTGGATATTCTTTATATTATTGTTATTTTGTGTTTGTATTGTAATATAATAATAAAAATAGATATTATTTCCATTTGTTCTATTTGTACCATTTGTACCTGTACTATTTAGTATGTTTATAAAGTTAATAAATATGAACATGTTATGTGAATCAAAATCATAACGTAATAGAATGGACTAAAAATAAGATAATACCTATTAAACACATAACTAATTAAAAAAACGGATATCAATCTTTCTAAAAAATAAAAAAAAACAACGATAGACAACGATGATTTAATGAGATGAAACAATATTAAGGTTGATTCAACGAAGTGTTAATATTAACAGTACATATTAATAATATCAGTTGAATGTATAAACAATGGACAATATGTGTACCGAATGTTGTGTTATATAATTATTTTATTATTTATTATTTTGAGACTTGTACTGAAAACATTTTTATATATAAATTCATAATTTATTTCCTTTATTTGCAATATTACAAATATTAACATATTCCCAATTACATGGTTTTAAATTCCTTTTTAGGGATTATTGGAATTATTTGAATTATTTGCATTATTTGTATTATTATTTGTATTATTTGTATTATTCGATTATTTGTATTTATTTGTATTAAACGTATTATTTGAATTATTTGAATAAATTTTCACTACGCACACACAGAGATTACAGATTGTACATGAACGACACAATGAACGATATATATACATATGAGTGATACACCTATCCATTTATATATGACTAAAGCACATGCGCTTTATTAATAAAATAAAATAAAATATGTATTTAAAATATGTACACCTTCAGAATCCTACTTCAGCAATTGATGAATGCTATTGTTATATGTTCTATAGTATTGTTGTTAGTTAATTAAATTTAATTATCGCTTTAAACCATTATATTCATTTAAAATTTCCTTTCCCTCAAATAATACTAATATAAAGTGAGTATAATATAATGCTGATAAATAATAAAAATAGCTAAAGTGAGTTTAATATAATGCTGATAAATAATAAAAATAGCTAATTAAACGATGACGCTAATTCTAATTAATAAAAACTATAATATAGTTTTATAGTGACACAACATAGTGACATAATAAAGTGAAAATCATCTAATGACATCATATCTCTAATTTTCTTTTTTGCTATAAACTAAATCTCCATTAGTTTTAATATTATTATTATTAATTGATTTCTTGATATCATTACTTTCCACTTTACTTTTCTTTTTTGGTAAAATGATATCCAAAAATATACAAGAGAATACCGCAAGATGTCCAATCCAATAAACTGAATTATAAGCTATTAAACAATGTTCAAATTTTAATAATTGAAAAGGTATCATGGCATAATGTAATGCACAAGTTTGTCCGATCCAACATACAAATTGATGTAAATATCTTAAAAATTTAATTCGTAAATTATTTTTATTCTCTAAAGAATATAATGGTTTAGTATATTTTTCAAATCTTTTTGCCCATCTTCTTTCCGCTTCCACATCGAAAAATTCTAAACTGAAACAAAAGTAATATCCAGAATGTAATCCATGCCAAACTGCTAAAAATACTAATGATAAAATTGATGATAAATTTTTGTTGCCCAAGAATATAAGTCTTTTGAAGATATAGGTTTTTGTCCAAAAGTTGGTGTTGGTATTAAATGATACGACAATTTGTGTAAGTGATGTAGCGAATTCAAATTTCCACTATAAAATTTTAAAAATTTAATTTAAAAAAAAAAAAAAAATTAAAATAATATTTAAAATTTTTAAATAAATAATTAAAAAAAAATTATGATAAAATAAATAGAATAATTAAAATTTAAAAATATACCTTTTCAACATTAGCAAGTCCATTCCATTCCGCTTTTCCTTCTTTATCATAATTATTGAATGAAATACCAGATAAAATACATGAACCTTCTGATATTGTCCATATTCCAAGATACTAATAATAATAATAATAAATAATAAATTTTAATATAAAAATATACAAATATAAAATATATATATAAAAAAATATATGTAAATATATATATAAATATATAAAATATACCTTAGTAAACGCGAATTTTCCTGTGAACCACATAATTACTAATCGTTGAAAAAACGAATTCTCAGCATATTCTTTAGTGATTAAGTATCCTATAGGAAAATATGTTGCACCAATTTGATATGCTCCTAAATATAAAGCACCTAAAGTTAAACTTTTTAAAGCTGCTCTATAAGATCCGGAAGGAATTTTATTGATGGGAAATACTGAAGCGGTAAGAAATTTTTGATAAAGATGAAAAGAAAATTGTGGTCCAATTAAAAATGCACCAAAGAAATGTGCGTAACCGATAGTTTCAAATAATGAAGGAAGTTTAATTAATTGAATATTTCTTTCAAATGAAATTGGTTGTTTGGGTAAATTATTATTTTGATTTTTCTCGAAAGAATTTGTTGTTCGATTACTTGCTGTTTTGGAAGAAGAATATGAAGATTTCAATTTTTCACCATCCCAAAAATCCATCGAGAATCCAATCATTCTTAAACAAAGAACACATTGCGTCATGGTCCAACCCACATCATAATCATCTTTTCTAGTAACATAATATCCCCAACAAAGGTAACCCAAATTAAAAGTGAAAGTAAGAATGACAGAAATTTTTCGATTTCCAATGATATCACCAAAATAACAAAAGAACCAAGTTAAAATTGTAGTTGAAAAAGAATGTTTAATATCCGACTTATTATAATAAAAACTAAGTCCTAAACCAGCAATAACTACATAAAGGTTACGAATAAAAGGTGCCCATTTTGTTTCGATAGGACGAAGAAAAACAAGACGATAAACTAAAGCTAAGGGATACGCAAATAATATTGTTGATAATAAACGAAGTATTGGTTCAGGGACACCAATAGCGACACTAATATCATTTAGAAATTTCATTGTTACTTGAAGTTATATAATATATATATATTGAATATATTATTATATCTGAAAGAACTATTATGAATATTATTATAAATAAATACTACTATTTTTTATATGTATGAATTTGTCTTTAATGTTAAATAAATAATTAATTAATTAATAAAATTCAATTAGTAGTACATAGATGAAAAAAAAAGGAGACGAAAATATCCACAATAAATGCTATTGGAAAATATTAAGCATAAAATTTAATTGGATGATAATGATAGAATCAAAAAATTTTTGAACCAAGATTAAGCTCTTTGCAGTGTATCTTTATACAAAAAATTTGTGTTCCAAAATTTTTCGATTTTGTGTAATTTCAAGATTTTCATATAGCAACTTTTTGTAATACGAAAAGGATTTCATACCTTTTTTTGTTCTGGATCCACCCATTGTTCTTTTGCTTTACAATATAAGGAATAATCAAATAACTAAAATAATCAAATAACTAAAATAATCAAATAATAATAATCAAATAATCAAATAATCAAATAATCAAATACTAATCATATGAATGCATAATAATATTATCGATAAAAAATTATTTTAATAATTGTATAATATTATCGATGAATTATTTTTTAATATTCTTCATTATTAACAATTCTTTTTTTTTTAACGTTCTTTTCTTTTCTTCTCTTCTTTTTATTCTTTGCAAAAAATAAACACATTATGCAATAAGTGAATAATATAATAATAATAATAATAATAATAATAATAATAGACATAAATTATGTAATAAACGATAATAATATTTATTTATTAAAAGAATGTACAGATTTTTTACAATCTCACAATTCAAGATAAATAATAATAATAATACTAAATAACACGCAAACAAATTATTTAACAATTGTACATTTTATCGTCGCGTTTTTTTTATTATTATTATTTATTATTTCAATTTACATTTTTAAAAAAATTATTTGATCAAATCAATTGTGCCCTTCCACCACACGAAATTAACACCCATAAATGACAAAGTATTTAGTAAGGTTTAAATCTTTTACTAGAAACGATATTGGGTTTAAATCTTCTACTAGAAACGATATTGGTAGCATTTATCTTTTGCGGTGAATAATATTCATGACCATACTTATTTCGATATAAAATTGATCCATCAGATTTTTTACAATAATAAGTTCCATCTTCACTATAATATTCATAATAACTAGTAGTAATATTGGTATTGGTATCGTTATCATAATTATCATATTCTTTCTCTTCATCATAATCTTCCTCCTCTTCTTCTGCCTCTTCTTCATCTTCCTCTTCCTCTTCTTCCTCTACAACATCTAATAATAATGATGTACTTTCATTATCATAAAAAATCAAATCACGTGCTGTAGATCCATTAAAATTGTAATCGCAATCATCATAGTATTCATCATCAACAGAATAATCAAATCCACCAACGTAATAAATTTCTTGTGTTACAAGTGAATCATCATCGTTATCATCATCATCATAATCTTCGTCTTCCTCTTCTTCGTTATCATTAGATTCAATTTCTCTTAATTCTTCTTCATATTTAATTTCATTTTCTTCATATTCTTGTTTTTTAAAAAGACTCATTTTTATATAATTTTTTTGATTGTAATAATTGATAATGAAATATTTATAATAGAAACTATAATAATAACAATAACAATAATTTATAAATGTTCAATTTTATGATTAAATTTACAATTAAAAGAAGAGAATTTATTTATTTATTTTTTTTTTTTAGTGCGAAATTTTCCAATATTTATACACATTAATTCATATATAAACCTTTATCAGTCTTTTAAATAATCTAAATACATACAAACACATAACTCAAAAAGACGATGTTTAGCGTGTTTTGTGTTTTACAAAATGAAATTAATAATTATAATCATTATCACATGTCGCGTATACAAATATATGCAAATTTATTACATTTTCACATATTTTTACATATTTAACAAAATGGTTCACTCTTTAAACAGAAAAACTTGGTTAAAAACTTGAATAGAAAATTCCCGAGTACGAATCAAAAGCCTGAGAAAAAATAAGGATAAAAAAAAAAAACTTGGTTTAATACTAATCTAATTAATTTACCCAATTAAAGAAGGTAAAAAAAAGATAAGAAACTTTAGATTGCATATATATATTCTTTTTTTTTTTTATATATATATATAAATAAACTTGTATTATCCAAGTGAACTTTTGATAAACTCTATTTACCAATTTATTAAACCTTAATCTATAGTCTAATTCATAAATGATGATACAAATGATATCATAATGCAAGCATAGTTATATCAAATAGTGGAATAATATCAATCGTAAGGAAAGCGAAAAAAAAAGAGAAAAGAAGATAACGTATCAATAATTTATAGTAATTGATAGTAATCAATAAAAATTTTTTTGTTTATATAAAAATTTTTCATAATATTTATGCAATAAAAACAATTATTATTATAATTATTTATAAATATTTATAATTAATTATTTGTTTTTGTATTAAGGTGAAAATAATCTAATAATCTAATAATCTAAATAATCTAATAATCCAACAATCTAAGAATATATTATTAATTATTATAGGTTAAATGTACTTTTATTTTTAAACCAATTTTTAATGATATTAATGATATTTAAATTTAACGGAAGGTGAAAAAGATAAAATAAATAAAGATAGATCAAGCGTGAAGTTATTTACAATTTACTCTTCTAATTTAATTTAATTATGTAAAAATCATTTATTACCTTACCTAATAACGTATAGTATCTATAAAAATTAATATTTTACTTGTCGAATTACGAATAATTGCTGATCTCGTAAACAGTAAACGATTTTTCAAAGAATTGTTTTTATTGGTCACATTTTCCATCAATGATTTCTGCATCGACTTGATATAATCTTCCCCTTTTAATTGTAACAATTCTCTCCGTTCTCTCGTTCGAGGTTTATTATTGGAATTTCATTTAATAGTTCAGGTGTCGCCACCAATGATTATCAGATTCATTCTCGGGTATATATACATCCATATTTGGTTCAAATACGTTTCTTAGAAAGGGGGTCGTTTAAAGCCAGGTCATCACGAGACTTTCCGTTGACTTTGGCCAATCGAAATCGTGAATTTTTTGTTTATACGGATTATCCCGACGAGGCAAAAAAAACGAAAAACACGAAAAATACAAGAAACAGATGTCTAAACATATCTTAGTGCATTAATAAAAAGTGTCGGAGAGACAATTTTACATACAATATATACTTAAATCCTAATCCTAACTAGCCCTCACTCTAACATTAATTGATTTCGGGTAATTTCATGATGTACCTTATCCCTGAATATTGTCAAATATTGTCACGCACAATGTATGATATTGCAACCACATGTTGAATTATGAATTTATGATGACAAAAAAATCAAAACACGTGAGTTAGGTGAACCCAAATAATGCAATGAATAGTTAAAAACAAGATGTAAAAAAAAATAATCTTTTGCCTACTTTCTTTCCCTATAGGTATTATTGATATCTCTTTTTTTTTTTTTTTTTTAGAAAAAAAAATGAATAGAAAAATCAATTTAGATATAAGTGATTAATATTTTTAAATTTATTATATTAATAAATATTTAGCATTTTCCCTTTTGATTATCATTTTTTAATAAAAAATTATCAGGTAATTTTGATTGATGATAATATTTAAATTATATTAGTCCAATTTACATTTCTATCACACTGGTATATCAACTTGTTCCTACTGGTTTATTACCTTTTTTTTGGATTTTTTTTTACTTTTCTTGGATCTTTAATAATAATTTTAATCATTCTCTTAGTAACGATAGAAAGATATGGCACAAGAACTTCGTTTTGATGGTCGTACTGTTATAGTTACAGGCGCTGGTGGTGGTAAGTTTGACGACGAATTCCCTTTTCCATTGGTTATATTGATTAGATTTTTATTAAAAAAAAAAATCGATCATTTTTTTAGGGCTTGGACGTGCTTATGCACTCGTCTTCGCTTCTCGAGGTGCTAACGTTGTAGTTAATGACCTCGGAGTATCACGAGCAGGTGAAGGTCACTCGTCCGCAGCTGCTGATAAAGTAGTTGATGAAATTATCGCTGCTGGTGGTAAAGCTGTAGCAAATTATAATTCCGTTGAGGATGGTGATAAAATAGTAGAAACTGCTCTCAAAGCATTTGGTCGTGTTGACATTGTAATCAATAATGCTGGGTAAACTATAATATATTATAATATACTATAATATGCTATAATATGCTATAATATGCTATAATATGCTAGATTGTTAAATTACTTAATTTATTATTAATTTTATTTTATAACATCATTATTATTGCTCATAATTGTTTATAGTATTCTACGTGATAAATCTTTTGCAAGAATGACTGATTCTGACTGGGATCTCATTCAAGCTGTTCATGTTCGTGGTTCATACAAAGTCACAAAAGCTGCTTGGGCTTTATTCCGTAAACAAAAGTATGGGCGAATCATTAATACAGCTTCTGCTGCCGGTATTTATGGTAACTTTGGTCAGGCTAATTATAGTGCAGGTAACATTTCTAATTAATTTTAATTATTTAATTTAATGTTTAATATTTATTTAAATTAAAAATTTGAATTAAATATTTATTTGAATTTGAATTGAATGAATTCTTGATTTTTTTATAATTTTATAAAATTTCCAGCTAAACTTGCATTGGTGAGTTTTACAAAAACACTTGCTAAAGAAGGTGCAAAAGATAATATCCATGCCAATGTTATTGCTCCAATTGCTGCATCTCGTATGACGGAAACTATTATGCCACCAGATGTTCTTGAATCACTTAAACCTGATTATGTTTCACCTCTTGTCCTCTATTTGTGTCATGAATCTACCGAAGAGAGTGGTAGTTTATTTGAACTTGGTGCTGGTTTCGTAGCTAAATTACGTTGGGAAAGATCAAAAGGTGCAATTTCAAAAGCAGATCCAAATTTCTTACCTGGAGCTGTAGCTGCGAAATGGAACGAAATTACAGACTTTTCTAATCCTACTTATCCTAATGCCATAACTGATACCGATTTTGTTAGTTTATTGGAACATGCAAAATCTTTACCACCAAATCCTAAGTCAGATGATTTCAAATTTGATGGTAAAGTTGTCTTAGTATCAGGTGCTGGTGGTGGTCTTGGTAAAGCTTATGCTTTATTATTTGGTAGATTAGGAGCTTCAGTAGTTGTGAATGATCTTGGAGTTAATACTCATGGGCAAGGAATATCGGCAAGTGCTGCCGATAAAGTAGTCGAAGAGATAATTAAAAATGGTGGTAAAGCTGTGGCAAATTATGATTCTGTTGAAGATGGTGAAAAACTTATTGACACAGCCATAAAAGCCTTCGGACGTATTGATGTTATTGTAAATAATGCTGGTATATTACGTGACAAATCATTTGCAAGAATGACTGATCAAGATTGGGACTTAGTACAAAGAATTCATTTACGTGGAACTTACAAAGTCACTAAAGCTGCTTGGCCTTATTTCATAAAACAAAAGTATGGTCGTATAATAAATACAGCATCTTCAGTTGGTCTCTATGGTAATTTTGGTCAAGCAAATTACAGTACAGGTATTATTATTATTTTTAATAATAATTTAATTTTAAAATTTAACTTTAAATTTTTTTTTAATCAATTTCATATTCTAACATATTCTATTAAATTTTATTTAAAAATATATAAATATATAGCAAAACTTGGTATACTTGGTTTAAGTAATACTCTTGCTTTAGAAGGTCGTAAAAATAATATTCTGGTGAATACCATTGCACCTAATGCTGGTACTCGTATGACTGCCACTATTTGGCCACCAGAAATGGTTGAAGCTTTCAAACCTGAATATGTAGCACCATTTGTGGCATTCCTTGCTCATGAATCATGTCCTTCAACCGGAAATGTATTTGAAGTAGGCGGTTGTTGGGCTGCTCAAGTTCGATGGCAACGTTCTGGCGGAGTTGGTTTCCCTACATCAAAACCATTGTTACCAGAAGATATTCGATCTAAATGGGATGCTATCACAAACTTTGATGATGGTCGTGCGACTCATCCTAGAACTACACAAGAAGCTCTTCAACAATTCTTTGAAAACTTTGCTAATGCTCAATCGGCTGAAGCTAAAAATAAAACAAAACCAGAACAATCTAGTTCAAGTAAAATTGATCTAGAAGCTGCCAAGAAAATGACATTCGAAAAACTCGAATTCAGTTACAATGAACGTGATGTTATTTTATACGCTTTAGGAATTGGCGCAACTCGAAATGACTTACAATGGGTATACGAAAACAACGAAAATTTTTCCGTTGTACCAACCTTTGGTGTTACTCCAGCAGTTATTCTCACGAGTTCGTTCCCACTCACATCAATTTTGGGTGATTTTAATTTTGTAAGTTTTAATTTCTATTGATTCTATTCATTCATTTTATAAAATTATTTTTAATTTAAAAGTTTTGACGTTACTATTTTTTATTTTTATCTTTTCATTTTTATTTTTTCATTTTATAGATGATGCTTTTACACGGAGAACAGTATCTTGAATTAAAGAAGCCAATTCCTACTTCAGGAAAATTATTTTCAACTCCTCATATCATTGATATTCTTGATAAAGGAAAAGGAGTATCTATTATTATTGGTATAACTACCACAGATGAAAAAGGCGAAGTAATATTTATAAATGAAACTAGTTTATACATTCGAGGAATTGGTGGTTATGGTGGAAAAAAGACGGGAGAAGATCGAGGTGCTGCAACTGCACCTAATGTACCACCCCAAAGAGCACCTGATGCTGTCGTTCAAGAAAAAACTACTGAAGAACAAGCTGCATTATATCGTCTTAGTGGAGACTTGAATCCATTACATATTGATCCTAATATGTCCGCAATGGGTGGTTTTAAAGTTCCTATTCTTCATGGAATGTGTACTTTTGGTATTTCAGGAAAGCACGTTATTACAAAATATTGTAATAATGATCCGAAACTTTTCAAGAGTATCAAAGGACGTCTTGCAGTACCCGTGTACCCTGGTGAAACACTTGAAACACAAATGTGGAAGGTTTGAATAAATTTAATTTATTATATATTATATTTTATATATATGAAAACTTTAAACAAACGTATAAATAAGTATTTATAAATTTTATTAAATAACAATAGGAAGGAAATAAAATTATTTTCCAAACACGTGTCGTTGAACGTGATGTCATTTGTTTGACTTCAGCTGCAGTAGAATTAAATGTACCTGGAGGTAGTACCGAAATTACAAAATCTCCTAGTGGAAATAGTGGAAATCTTAATGTTCCTGGATTCAAAGCTTCAGAAGTATTTGAACAATTAAAAGCTAAATTGGATTCATCTTCACCATCAGAACGTCAAGCACAAGTTAAGAAGGTACATTCATCATTATTTAATTATTAATAAAATTTTGCAATCCATTTTACATATAATTGGTAATTAATCGAAGTAACAATAAAAATAATAAAAATAATAAAAATTTAACAGGTCAAAGGATCCTTCCAGATAGATGTTACGAATGCTGAAGGAAAAAAACAATCATGGTATATTGACTTCAAGAGTGGTGATGGTTCTATTGGAGTCGGTCCTTTCCCCAAGAAAGCAGATTCTATTATTGGTGTTAGTGATTCCGATTTCTTGGATTTGGCAAGTGGTAAATTAAATGCTCAGAAAGCATTTATGGCTGGTAAACTTAAGGCAAGTGACTTTTTAATATTACATTCATATATTATTTTTGATTTCCTTTTATATTAAAAAAATTTTTTTATTATATTTAACAGATTAAAGGTAACATGATGCTCGCTACTAAACTTGGGGATGTGTTAGCGGGAGGAAAAACGAAATCGAAGTTGTAAGAAGAATGATAATTTTTATTTTGGATATAGAAACGAATTTATATAATAAAGAAATTTTGATCCTTCCTTTTAATTTAAAATTTTTTAATTTATAGTTGTTTAATTTATGCAAATGTACTTTTGTTATTTTGTATTAGGTGTTTTATTACAAATTATTTTAAATTGATTTTTTTTTTTTTTTTTTTTGGTTTTAGTATAATAAAAATTTTGTATATTATGTTATTAAATAATGAAAATTGACAATTGAGTGATAAATTGATTAAGCTTATAATTTTAGATTTATAAAAAGTCATTAAATATTTAACAAATAATAATAAATATCTAATATATTTAATATATCTAATATATAACGAAATATTCAGGTTGTGATAATACACCATTCATGAATAAAATGATAGCGAGAACTACACTAAATGAAGCAGAAATATTTGTAAAGATGAAACTAATATCGTATTTCGTGCCAATGTAAAATCGATTAGATGTAGTGTAAAGGTGAGCAATTAGAAATACTGCAGTAAATTGGAAAAGTGCTAAATGGTAATAATAATAATAAAATGATTAATATTTAAATAAAAAATAAAATTTTAAATAAATTTAAATAAAATATTAATTCATACCGTGTATCATCAATAATACTGTTATTCCTTTCCATGCTCTTGCCCTTCCACCTCGGCCACTTACCAAAGCATTGACTAAATTTAACCACACTAATCCACCTATAATTACCGCAAATATCATAGCTGCTGCTGCGCCTTCCCATTCTTCACAGAAATTTTTCTCATCACAATCATTTTCATCAGAGGATGGAAAAACACGGCAATCCCCTCTACATTTCTTTTATTATTATTATTATTATTATTATTATTATCATTATTATTATTATTATTATTAAAAAGGGAAGTTGATTTAAATCAATAAAATAAAAAATAAATATTTTAATGATAATAAATTATCAATTATCAGCATACCTTGAATAACCCATAATTTGTTGTAATTTGGAAAGGAATTGGTGTAGAAAATAATAACCTTTCCAAATTTGAAAGAAAAACATATAAGAAAGTGTTAAAATATTTTACAATTTTTTTTTTTTTTGAAAAAACATACCAATTTGGTAAAACGGTAGCCAGTAGAGTAAAGGAATATGAAACTGTGAATAGAACTGAAGTTAACGCATACGCTACTATAGAAGGCATTTTTATTTATTTATTTATTTCTACAAAATTATTTCTTATTTCTTAGGTCTCCTGAATTCTGAATGGCAATTGAAATAATAATAATTTTAGGAGTAGTTTTTTTGCGAAATTTATAAACATATGATTTTATCTTAATTAGGGAAATTATGTAATCTAATTATTTTGTATAACCTTTCTTTCTTTCAATATGTCGATATCTTTTTAGTTCACACATTTAGAAAATTATCTAGTGGCTTTGGCCTGAAATTATCATTAATAATATTCTTAAAGAACAGAAGGAAATGGTTAAATGTTTTTATCTTGTCAAAGATATTCCTTTACGTATTTATTAACTTAATAAAAGTCTTTTATTTTCTTTGCTGCGACATTTTTTTTTGCGTAATTTAAATAACAGAAATTCTTTTGTTATTAATATTTAAAAATAATAGATGTTATAAATGAAAAAATTTCTATTGATTAATACATATAAAATTTTTTAATAAAACTTTTCTTTAATTTTTAAGTAATGTACAGTAGAACCTGTCTATAAGCAAGAAAATCCTACGCATTTAAAAGGTTATACTTTGATACGTTGAGACTTCATTTATATTATATATAAGATACATGTATGTTTATAGACAGGTTCTACTGTAATTTGTATATTTTAGTTATCTTCTTATCTACATAAATAAAGGTTTAGAAGGAGACAATAGCTTATATATCTTGTATATCTTGAAATATGATGCTTTTCGCAAATTATGACATCAACTAACTACGCAAATTCAATTTATGTAATACTTGTAATTCATAACCGACCCAAAACATTCTGATCAACAGGTCAAGTAAATAAAATCTATTATCATAGTTCACATTTATAGATGAAATAGTAAGAGAACAAATCAACTATGTTCTTGATGTTTTATTTATATTTGAACGTGTGGATGTACTGCATGAATTATCATAGAGTAAATCCCAACAATTTTATCAACAGCAACTCAAGAATTGTCCTAAGACCCATTTATAATTATTCCGGAATATCTTCGAAAATTGGTTTTAATTGAGAAGAGTCAAACTTTAAATGCTTTCGTAATTTTCTAATTAAGCATCAAAGATAAAAAAATATTTAACATCAGATCCATAATAGATCGGAGAACATATGTATTCTTTAATATCTTTCATATGTCTGGCATGTTTGATTTAAAGATTTTGATACTCCGTTAGATTTGCAGGTTTATTTGAATATCTTTACTTTGAGACACATTTGTAATGTGATTTTGATGGTCGTAATTTGTCAAAAAATTCTCTGCAGAAGTTGCTCCGCCAAAAATTCTAGTCGGAATTTTCGGTCCATCATGGCGTTAATAATTCACAATTCGCACTCACATGTTATGCGTCTTTAAAGAATAAGGTTTGATCAAAAACAGCATATAAAAACAGGTTTATGTCATTTTTTCGTCATTTCCAACTATAGAATGAATGAACCTTCCAACTTTAGAATGAATGGACTTTCCAACTTTTACAATGAGTTGCTATTCAAATAAGTATCCGTTATTATATTTCCTCTCTATACATTCGAGATGAGTAATATTGATAGATTAATAAAGTTATTTAATGATATTCATCTTTGCCTTTTCTCCATAACAACCAGAGACGAGCAAACTTCGAGCTCGAACCTTTCCGAGGGTTCTCAAATAAACCACCTATCCTGTTATTCTATTAGTATGAAAAACAGGCAAGCATCACCAAAAAAGGTTTTGTGCTCTCATTTCGATAATTCCTATCAAGGTGCTGGAAAAGTACTCTCTTCGCGGCGAGAGATATGACAAAGGTACTTTAAAAGTTTCAGCGGAAATGGTGGGTAGTCATATTTCACATTTGCGTAAATTTAATTCTAACGATAAAACAATATAGGAATCCTGCACGCAAGAATGTGGCGAGTCAGAAAAGTGACAAAAATTTTAACCTTATCGACACGCCCGGATTTTTTGATACACGAAAGAAGTCTTCAAGGAGATTGCTAGAACAGTCCAAAAATGTGCTTACAGTGTAAAAGCTATCCTTTTTGTTATGGTATATAATAAATTATTAAACATATCCCTCTAAATAGTTCTTTATGGAATGAAACTTTAAAAAGTATTATTATTTTTATTTCCCTATGGAAACAAAGAGATTTACTGAAGAACAAAGGAATGTCTTGGAAGGTATAAAAATTTTTATTGAGAAGACGCAATGGATTATATACTTGCTATTTTTCCCATGTGACAAAAAAGCAGAATAACACAAGGACAAAATGCGAAAGGCTTGGAATTTTCAACAGGTGATCTACGTAACTGCTGGGGAATATCAACTATTTTCCCCCAAAACATCCAGTACACAAAGTCTGGTTAAATGAGATTAAGTTCAAAAGGTGTCTATACTACAGAAGCGTTTGAATCCGCCCGGCAAGAGCAAGAGAAAATTCAGCGTGAAAAGGAAGAGAAAGAAAAACGAGCAAGAGAGCAATACAAAGAAAAGTTAAGAAAGAAGGGAAAGAAATGGCTAATAATTTTATCAAGATAAAATTGCTGAAATTCAAACAAAAAGAGAAGGTCTTTATGGTAGAGACGATTAAAAGTATGAAACAAACATAAGATAAAAATTCAACAAATTAAAGTCGGAAGTCGGTAGACTGAAGTTAGAATTCAAAAAGATACAAATACATGGCAATAATAAAAAATCCCTGAAATTTGATATCTATATCTTGCATTTTCCACATTTTTAGTATTTTTTTCTACAAGATATAAATTGTCATATTTCATGGATAATGGTATTTCAGCATTCATGATGTTTACCATCTTTTTTTTTTTTTGCGTTCTTAAATTTTATAGCCCAGCTGTTTTGCTCTTGATACAAAGATTACAAATCACGGTAAATTAGTAGAGATGTCAGAACTTCAAGTTGGTGATTTTGTTTTAAGCAATGTCAGTAATAACAGACTTGAGTTTTTTGAAGTTTACTTGATATCGCATCTGGGACATCACTACTATTCCGTAAATATGGTAAAAATTGAATTCACAAATCCCGATGGAAGTAAAGGTGATTTACATTTGCCTACTTAAGATCATCATAATTCAAATACAGTATATATTTTTTTTAATGAGCAAATCTTCATGACACCTATGCATTGCGATTCATCATCAGGATTTGATGTCTGGAAGGACAAAATCCTAGTTTCGATTGAACTTATTCCTGTTATTGTTGATAGTCTCGTCATTGTAAGATTGTTATTTCTACTAGCCAAACACGTTTTTGTGTTCTCAATTCTTTAAATCATACTTCCAAAAAAGACTGGCTACATCAGTTTTGTACACGTGATTGCAAATAATACATTTTGCTCGTGTCAATTTTTAATGGAACTGACGTTCGCACCAATTCGATTGGGGACTAAAGTATTTCCCTCTACCCATCGTCAAAAAGAACTTCACCCTCACGTGCAAATCCTGGAGATCACCTATGCCATTTGGTGTGTAAAGCATTAGAAGGAATTAAAATGATTTGACGGAAGGAATAATTTTATAATCAATTCTATGTAGCAATATTTTCAATGAAATATAAATTAGATTTCAAATAAAAATAATGTATTTATTATTAGGCGATATGTCACTATGTACAGTGGGGATATAAAAAATCACTTGGTAACATAGACTTTTTTTATTAGATTCCCCTAAACTAGAGCTATCAAATGATATTTTTTTATCAAAATTGAATATCTAAACGTGGAGAATTACACTTTAAATAAAATTGACAAAAAATAATTAATTTTTAATCGTTACCCATACTGGACTTGATAGATATTAAAGATAGATACCAACTATCTTATATTAAATTGTAGCCAGGAATAATATCTACAGTTTTATTTATAATCACTTTTCATGGTATATAGTAAAAATTTTGACTTTACTTAGATGTAAATAAAAGGCCGAAATTTAATTAAAAAAAAATAATTATCAAATGTTGTCATATATAAAAGTGGTTTATTTACTAATATAATTAGAAAAGTGATACTAAGTAATATTAAACTAGAGAATATATTACATATAATAGAAAGTTTCAGACTTATTTATCGAGAGTTAAGCGAACAACAAGTGATTAAATTTGGAGAAGAATTTTTGAACGTTTGAGTTCAACCGTTAATATTAAATTGAATTCTTAAAAAAAAAAATCTAAAAATTTTACAATAGATGCTTCTCATCTTAGGCTATAAACTTAATTAGTAAAATCTTTGCTATTTTATTAGTGAACAATTAACTTTTATATGTAGCTACGTTTGATAATTATTTTCGGATTTTTTTAATGTCAAAGACATAATGATTGACATTTTTAAAAAATCTGAAAATAATTATCAAAGGTAACTACATATAAAAGTTAATTATTTACTAACTCAACTGCAAAGGTGTTATTAATTAGGTTTATAGCAAAAGATAAGGAACATCTATTGTAAATTTTTTAGATTTTTTATTTAAGAATTGAAATTAATATCAACGGTTGAACTCAAATGTTCAAAATTTCTCTAAAATTTAATCGCTTGTCATTTGCTTAATTCTCAATAAATAGATTTTAAACTTTTATAATAATTGTAATATATTCTCTAGTTTAAGGTTACTTAATATTATTTTTATTAATATTTTAGCAAACATAAACTTTTATATGTAGAAATTGTTAATAATTGTTTTTTGACTTTTTATATTCAGAACTTTTTAATTTAATTTGATATTTATAAAATATATTAATTTATTTTAATTATTTTAATTATTAAATTCATAATTTATTATTAATATTTTGTGGAATTTCCTCTATTTTCAATAACAGAAACAATAGGATTTGACATACGATCAACAAGATTTTTATATTTATCTTTTTCAAGTTTAACCCATTCTCCCTCAAAATTTATCTTAAATCATCTTTATTTTTAGGCAATGGTTTATGTGACCTGACTTTTCTATATACATAATTCATTCCATAAATTTTCTATAGGTTTTAAATCTGAACTTTGTGCATGTCATGGAAGACTTGTAATATTATTATTTTTCTTTCATTTTTTTTTACTATCTTTGCAGTATGAATTGGAGCATTATCTTCTTGAAAAATCTAATTATCCCTATTTTCTAGACTATTTATAAATGGAATTAAATTGTTTTTTAACATTTTTATATATATACTGCTGCTGTTATTCTACCTTCTAATCTAACTAATGGTCCAAGTTTATTTTTTATAAAATAATCCCAAACCATTACACTTTCTTATCCTGATTTAAAAGTTGGAATAAGATATTTTGGATCATATTTTCTTGGGAATTTCTCCAAACATGTCTTCTTTCATCTCCACCAAATACCTCAAATCTTGATTCATTACTTCAAATAATTTTTTCCCAATCTTTTGTTATTTTAGTCTAATTTAACTTTTTTGTTCTATTTGCAACATTAATAAAAGGTTTTTTGGCTTCAATTCTTTTATAAATATTATTTTTGTGAATATTTCTTTTAAGAGTAATTGAACTTATTTTGTTAAAGTAGAAGAAATAAAATTTTTAAAATTTTTACATAATTCTTTTAATATTGGTTTTACGATTTTCATTAAGAACTCTTATTAAATGATTATTATCTCTTTCAATCATAATAGGTGGTCAACCACTTCAAGGAAGCATTTTCTCTAATCCATCATTTTTGTAAACTGAGATAACATTATGTACTGTACTTTTTGTATAATGAAGGTTCTTACTTATATTTCTTTCAACAATATCACATTTCCAAGTACATATTCTTTCACCATGTTGAAATTCAGTAAGTTCTTTATGTTAAGTAATCATTTCTTATAAAATTTCTAAAATAATAGATGTTATAAATGAATATACAAAATTTATTTCAATATTGATTAATACATATATTATAAAAATTTTTGTTAAAACTTTCTTTAGTTTTTAATCAACGTACTCATTACAGTCCATGTACCGCATGTAAGTTATAAAGTCAAGTATTAAGGGAACCAATCAACCATGTTCTTGATGAAAATGAAATAATGGAAAAAATAATTTTATAATTTTTTGAAAAGATTCGAATTATACACTTAGTTTGATTTTTGATTGAATTAAAAAAATTGAATAAAGGTGAAAAGCAAAGATTACCTGTGACAATGTTGGTGAACCAAATAAAAATAATTTATATTTGATAATCTGTGATTATTATGAAAATGTTGAGTCAAATGAAAAATTAATTTTCGCAACGTTTACATGTTGTAAAAAGATTTAGTCTAGTAAGATTGAATCAAACTTAATGTTGTGAAGCAGAAAAAGGTTTTTAAATAAATATAAAATCTATTTTAAATGGCCTGCAAAAATATCAACATTTTCTTTTTGAAGCATGCATTTAACCCGGTGTCTTCAAAACTTAGGGGTTGCCAATGGATCTTTCGCTAAATTTAATTTATTGAAAACTAGGAAAGCGGATATTTCTGAAGTTATAAAAAAAATTAAGCTTATTTATTTAGTGTTAACACCTCCTCCTTTTGATTGTAAGAGGCAAGAATATCTTTATAACAGTATTTGCCCTTTTGCTAAAGATGAATATAGTAGATGAATATAGTATTACTTGTTCAAAACCAGAACAAAGTGTAGTTCTGAAGAAGGAAATAAAGTTCAAATAGTCAAAGAAGAAGAGGTATAATTATCGGTTGATTAAATTTTAATCTTGACTTGCGTAGTAATGATCGGCAACTGATTTTAATTAAAAAACAGATATTTATTAGTCTTAGACTCAGACCAGGAAAACAATGAAAGCCTGTCATTCGATCAAAAAGGAAAGTGGTTGATCAGTCGACATAAAAAGACTAGTGATAATGGATATAATGATTTTTGACTCGAAAATGATTCTAGCATTAACATAATTAGTTAAAGTAGATATAAAAAAGGGATTAAAAGTACATGAAAATATCTCAAAAATTTTATATCAATTTATTATATATTTTATATTAATCTCAATACTTATTTTCCTAAATAACTTTTTGATTCAGTTTATTCATTTATAATTACCATAAAGAAATTTACAAGATTTACAAAATTTACAAAATTTGCAAAACATACAATAAATTGTTCTAACAATAAATAATTTTTCTGAGATTTCTAGCCAATTTAATGAATTATGTACATATATAAAAAAGTGATATAAACAACCTAAAATGGAAGAATACAATGGAATTAACATTTTCTTTGAAACAATAAAAAAGAAAGAAAAAATTCGCCCCATATAAAATTTTAATCCACATGGATCCATTTTGCACGTGCCTAAAATACAATAAAAATAAAGTTAGAGTTAAGTCAAAGCGATAATAAAATTTCTAGTAGTACTTACATATTGGTCTTAAGATTCTGTGCATGAACGAATTTTAAGATATTTATAAATTCCGGTTGAATAAAATATAATTATTTCTATTTCAAATAACATTAAATCTTAAAAATAATTAAACTAGTTGTATTTCTTTAGTTTCTTTTTTGAATTCAATGATATAGTATATGTATTTATATTTATTGGAGGCGGTGAATGAAATAAAATAAAGAATGCATTTTATGTATATCAGATATTTATCTATTATATCTAATATTTATTTACTTTTTTATTATTTATTATTTTTTAATTTATGAGAAAGTTGCAATTTAAAAAGAATTTATCGTGATAAGAAAATTTTTTAGGTCATTTGGCTCATACTATTACAAGTTGATCGACTCATAAATATGTATATATATAACTATTTACACAACACAGCATTTCGGCGAGAATTCCTAAAAAGGGTAAATGTTTAATTAAATTATCGGAGTTTCAATTGTTTGTTCCATAGGAACATCAAAAATATCAATAGAATAAAATAAAGAAATTGAAACCTCCACTTTGTGAGACTGTAACAATAACAACATTGTTATTGTGGATATGTGCATATCCAACATTTAAGTTTTTCTTTTTTTTTTTTTTCTTTTTTTTTTTTTTTATCTTTGTAGATAACCAAATCAAAATTTAAATTTTTATCTTTGTCTACAATGCATATTATTACAAGTTCTATTGATAAATTAAAAATAATATTAAAAAAACGGGTTTTTTTTCATTTACTGTATGTAAACCCAGTTATTTCATCCATTTTTGCTTATCTCGAGTTTTTTTTTATTTCATTTTAGTAAGCGCATTTACTAGGTTTACTTGTCAAAAATAACACGGACTATTAAGAAAAAAATTGGTTATTTTATTCATATTTTTTTTTTTTAGTTTAGGGATTAAAAGTATAAATGTTTATAGAAATAATGAATTTTTTTTTTGTCGCGTTAATGTTAATAAATTTTAAGAAAAAATTATCATAAGTCATATTGAAGAGATAATTTAAAGTTGATTTACACATAATTTAACTCATTGTGAGTGTTCATGCTTTTCATTGAGAAGACAATGAATAATTCTTGGTTCCGTATCAGGTTCATATTATTGAGCCCAAAACAAAAAATTAAAGATTGTAAATTCCAAATCTATATAATCAATTCAAAGATCAATAAGTTTTCTATAAAATCATTAATAGTAATGTTTTTCCTGTAACATTGCATACATAAATTTTGTATTGTCTACATATTGGGCGTCACTAAAAAAAATTTCATGTGAAATATTGTCATTTCTATTAAAATATAACACACGCGAAAAAAAAATGGAATTTTCAAAAATCCATTTTACACGCGCATTTTGCCATCTATTTCCCTATTCTTGTATTCATATATTAAATATCAAAGAATTGCCACACTAAAATTACAATTCTTTTATATTTGCAGAAACTCCTTTAAATTTCATTTATGACTTTGATATGATATTTTTTTAATATCTGTCACGAAAAAGAGAATCTTTAGATACAAAAAAATATTAGAATTTTTTCTTATAAAAAAAAAACTGACTTAGTTTTATAACATATTTTTGTTAATATGATTAATTTTAACACTTGCAAAACTATGTGGGGTATCTCTTTATATTGAAGAGCTCACGCTCGATAATATGGAATTTTGTCGAGATACTTTAAGTACCTTTTTTTTCAATAGAAATTAATAGATGAACTAGTGGAAATTAAAAGTTGATCTTAGGAATATACACTTTAAACAAAAAGAAAACAAATTCTTTTTTTTTAATTTTAATTAATTTTTGAATATTCTTTATTTCTCAAAATTCAAATAAGAACTTAATCAGAGGGATTTAAATCCAAATTAATATTAATCCCTTCCTTAATCTTACATTCTCGCTAAATTTTTACATTTGGCAAGGAAGTAAAATTTCCCCTGGTTAATAATTCATTTTATTTTAAAAATAGAGTAGACAGGGAGGAAATTTTACTCTGATTAAAAAATAACTCCCTTATATAAGAAAAGAAATAGTTTTCTTGGTTAGATATTGCACCCTTTAGATAGTTAAATATTTCTTATCCATTACACCCCCCTTAAAGAATATGTTAATCAATCTTTTAATAATTATTGATTTGCAATATTGAAAAACAATGCTGCATATTTATTTATCGGATTTTTTTTATACTTGTTTATGCCATTACATAATAAAAATTATAATTTGTATAAATGAAGAGATAATTCATAAATTCTATGTGATATATACCTCTAAATATCACCTCATTTTATATAAATTATTGCTCCATTCATCTTTCTATAAAAAAAAATGTCTATATTTTATAAGAACAAATAAGAACCAATAAGAACATAAGAACAGTTTCTATTTTTCTCAAACCCTTAAATATGATCGTGTAAACGAATTATGATATTTTATTAGGAAGCACGTGCGAAATGGATTTTATATATTTTACTCTACGTCTTGGACAATATTATCGAATAATGGAATTTTGTTGAGATACTTTATACAAGGTCTTCATATTTCCTATTTCCTTGTTCACACATTTAATTTCTGTGGTTTCCAGTTAAATAAAAATCGATAAACAAATCACCAAAGGAGATGATAAAGAAATATCTTATCGTCAGTCGGGACCTTACGTATATGTGACATCTTATCGGAGTTTCAACAATTTCATCTCCGGATTTTCATCACCTGATGTAAACATTATTAAAACTGGGCGATAACTCTATTTGAAAGATTTCTATTTGCTTAAAAACTTTAAAAACACAATATAATTAAAAACATTAAGGCAATAATTTTTTATTGAAATTATTTCTATGGATCTCCTTTGATGGTTAGTTTATCGATTTTTAGTTGACTGGGGAACCTCAAAAATTAAATATGTAGACACAGAGATAGGAATAAGAAATTTGGCGAAATTCAAAACCTGTAATCCCATTTTTAGAAGCTTTCACTTAAATTATTGTTTATACTGTACTATTATTTACCGTTGAACATAAAAAATCAAGAATTTTTCTTGAATACTTTAATTATTTACACAAAAAAAAAGAAAAAAAACATTTGTTACGCTTGGATTTATGTAAAATATTTCCAGGACGGAATCCCCGATGCATTACCTTGTTTAAGAAATCATTATTTATCTAAGTTTGCAAATTATCAAACTTTTTAATGCCACATATTTGTGAAATATTTCTACTCCATTATTAGTAAACGGGCCAACTTGAGTTACATAATTATTACTAAAGCTGAGACTATTAAAAAAAAAAAGATTATCTCAAAGACATATCCTTCGCGGAATAACCGATCCCCAAAAGTTAATGTCATATATTCTAGTTTTATATATTTAAAGTATATTTACTTTTTATTACTATTTGCTTTATTAATTTATTAGACATATGTTATTAGTAATTAAGGAGGAAGTTCACTTCCTTATATGAATTTTAATAAAAAAAAAAAATATTATGTATGTTTTTATTAAAAAAAAAATTATATTTTATCAATATAAAGATAGTTTTACTATAATTTAAGTGTATTGAAACAGCTGATCCAAATTTTTAAAAAGAAAGAGAGGCCAAAATGAAAATAAAAATTACGTGTAGGAGATTTTGTTAGTTTCGAAAAATAATTTTTATCACATTATTGAGTGGGGATATGCTTTTAAAATTCATTCAAATCACGGACTTACTTATTGTTACTTAGTAAATTACAGATCTGGTGACGATCACTATTCTAAATTAACCGAGTTGTTCCCCACTCGCTATATCTTGAGATCATACTTCCAACTTTTACTGAATTCTATGGTCTACACCAATTCCCAGTTAGTGTTTTCTTGATTGAATTCCTTACAACACAACATTTATTTATGGTACATTAAGGTAAAAATTTGATAATAAAAAATCAAAAATTTATTTTTAGAAATCTATCTATGCATTTCGTATATATATAATTATTTTTTTAAAAAAAATCTATAGAAGCTAAAGATAATTTTTTGATTGATCTTGACTTTTTTTTTTTTGACTGATCTATAACTATTCTTTTGACCGATGAACCGTTATTTGACTTATATTTTTGACTAACTGTTTATATCTTATCTAAACGCGATTAAATTTATTTTCTGACGATCAATTTAATATCAATGTGATAATTGCTTTCTCCATTATCACAAAATTTTACATATATTTTATCACAGCATTTAAAGGTTCTGCAGTCTTCAAGGCATGTGCAGGTTGTTTTCCTTCAAAACTGAGTATAACTTTTAGAACATGTCTAAAAATTAAATTCATCAAAAATATCATAAGATTGCTACAATACTGGTTCAAAATTTGTTAATAGACGAGGAGCAGAGATGGAAATATGCACCACCAAATGCAACAATAACTGGGAGAGTGACATATTTTTAAGATATTATTCTATTTAAAAATATATTAATATAAATTTTGAAAAAAAATTATTTATATTCTCTTTTTTTAATTTCTTTTTATTTTGCAGTTTTTGTGAATTCCATGGTTGCTCTTTCATCTTTCCTTTTTTTATTTACTTTTACAGCTATAAATCAATCACAGCAATCTGGGTCAAGTCCAATGAGTCACTTTCCTGCCAGATCTGTTTTGCTCCAATCATCAACTTCTTCATGCACCTTTATTCTTTTGTGCAAAGAGATATTTGCACCAATATAATCAGTCTTTATGTGATTTGTTGAGGTAGTGGTGGTAGATTTGATTTTGTAACTTCAGTTACTTCAAAGATAATAATCAAATAATATTTTTATAATATAAATTATTACTGTTTATAATTTTTTTCTTTTTATTACTGATATCTTGACATCTTTTTGTATATTAATAACTTTATTTTATTGTGTAACCTGGATTATTCCTAATTAAAATAAAATAAGATTATTTTGTTTGTTATCTTTATTTTTCCTTAATATAAACTTTAATTTTTAAATAAAAATAAGGTGAGCGATCTATTATTTTTAAGGTAATATTATAATTTTTCTTGCATTATTTGAAATCTTTGAATTATTACCCTACAAAAAATTAATTTCCGCGGAAATTAATTTTGAGCTTTTATCAAAAATATTAATTTTAACATAGAATACAGTTTAAAGAACTTATTACATATATTATCAAAAAATGGTATTGCTAAAGCTCACCAGTGGTGATTGTCACCACCAGGCAAAATAACATAATTTCCTGATCAACTCCTTAACTTTGCCCACGTAAATTTAATTTTGCCCAGTGGTGACTATCACCACCAGTGAGCTTTAACAATTTTCGTCAAAAGAAAATTGAAAAATAAAAGTTTTTTTTTTTTTTTTGTACGATGTTGTTCAAAAAATAATTTGGGTGATGAATAAATTGTCAGGTGTTCTGTTTGATTCCATCGTAACCAGCTTGTGACGGGAATAAATTACATTTTCAACTGCTAATAAATACATTTATACATTTATACATTTACAAAAAAAAAAAAGGAATATTAGGAAAGAGTAAACTTTTTGATTACAAAAATAAAGAAAAAAAAATCTTTGTATTCTCTTCTTTTAATAAAAATGTTACTTTTATTTTTATAATAAAATCTCCTTTATTCAACATTTTTTAAAAAATACTTGTTTTCAATCACGTGTAATGTGCAACATTGCGCCTTCATTTAAGTTTGGTGGTGTGGTGGTAAAACTTTTTTTTTTAGAATTCTTACCTTGCTATATATACACATATATAAGCTTGAAAGAATTAAAGATACTGGAAATAATATTTTTTTCGATCTAAGAATTCTATTGTCATAAAGGATAGCATATAGTTTAAATTTCATTATAGAAAAATCCAAAAATTAAAGTTATTATGCGAAAACAAGAATTATATTTGTTCTTATTATAATAGATCACTTATTTTTCGGTAATTTAGTATATTTAAATATCTTAAATAAAAGGAATAAAAAAAGGTTAGTTTTGTTATAAAGGGAGTATGGATGTATAAATACATAAAAATTTTTGGTAACTTCTGAGTGTTTAAATAAACGAATAATGATTTCTTTCATTCTAAATTGTATATATCAACTAATTATATTTATTTATAATAAGTTAGTTAGTTTTATTTAATCGAGTTAATCGAGAATATAACAAAAATAATTAAGAATTATTTTTGAATTATAAGACCTTTTCGTTTTATACAATAAAATTTTATAAAATATTATCATGAATTGGGGTAAAAATATATTTAATTTTTTTTTTTTTGTCTGATCTCGGCATAAATTATTTTTCCAAATTTTTTTAATATCCTTAATTTTATGAAACATTTAGGTAATGATTCAGATGGACCTGCTCCTAACATTTCAGTTTCTGTTAATAAGAAATGGGTTGACGAGGACCTTGAGCTCGATCAAGTCAAGGTTAATTTTATTCTCATATATTTTCATTTATTAAGATATAAAAATATTTTGCGCATAAATGGTTTCCATTATATAAGCATATATAAAATTATATATTCTATATTCTACATTCTAGGAAGCATGGGATCAAGAATCTTCAGATGAAGAAGAAGGAAAAGTAAAAACAGAAGATATTTCTAAAAAGAAAAAAGTATCTATTGCAAAAAAAATTGCGGAACGAGAACAAAAGAAAAAAACCGAGAGACTATTTGTATGTCTTAAATATTTATTTAAATTATTTAATAATAATAACATTATAATTATAATTATTATTATTATTATTATTATTATTGTGCGTAACGATTAAAGGATGTTGAGGATGACGAATTAGATTTAGAGGAGAAAAAAAGAAGAGAGGCTCAAGCTATTCTTGACGCAGATCTTGAAAATGCCGAAGGATTATTCCAAGGATTGACTATTAAAGGTTGGTGGTGGAAATTTAATATATGATTTTTTTTTTATAATTCATAATCCCATTTATTATATTTATTATATTTATTATATTTATTATGTTTATTATATTTTAATTTTATAGATACTGGACGAAAATCTAAAGAATTGACAAGTAGAAATTCATTTTAATAATCTTTTTTTTTATTATTATTATATAAAATAATTCAGTTTTAATTCGTTCTTTATAGCTCCCTCCAATAAAGAAGGGACCATTAAAGGTTTGTGAGTTTTATAAGATTTTTCTATTGTTATAGAATATTTGATATTGATTTTCTTTTTTTTTCATTTAGTTGTTGAAGCCTCTCCTTTAGACAGAATAAATCCCCAGACTAGCGAAGAATTTGATGAATTTGCGTCACTACTAAGTGAGCGGATTAAAAAATATGAAGTACATTTTATTTATTGTTGTCTTTTTGAATATATTAAGTAAATTTTGATATCTAATACATTTTATACCGTACGCCTTATATCTTTATATACTTTACTTATCTATTATAGAAAAATAAATTCTACCCGAATTTCGTTTCCGGATTAGTACGTGAATTATGTTTGAATCTTAGAGATGTTGAAATTCGCAAAATTACTGGCACATTGACAAATTTAGCAAATGAAAAATCAAAGGATACCCAAAAAACAAAGAAGAAAGGTAAAAGTTTGACATCTACATCATTTATATTTACATTAAAATTATTCTAATTATTGTTCTAATTATTCATTCTAATCTAATTATTAAATCTAATTATTATTATTATTTAAGGTAAAACCAAACCATCTCTTGCAAAAGAAGTTGACATTATTGATACAAAGACCTATGATGATGATTATTATGACTATGATGATGAATTTATGTAAAACATTTTTTTTTAATATGAATTTGTGTCTTTAAACAAACATAATATAAATATTATAAATATCACCACACATATAGATACAATCTAGAATAATCTAAAATCTATATTTATCTATATTGCATGTAGCCATGTAGCTTTGTAGTTCATATATTATTATTTTTTATATATCATAATAATAATAGTCATCTTTCATTACCATTCTACATTTTCTTCATGGTTATTCTTCACAATTATTATAATTATTTCTATAGTTATATATTTTATAATTAATCAGTCCAATGTAATCAAAATATAGATATAAAATATATATAAAATATTATAGCTACATTATTCATGTCATGTAAATTCTGGACAAGATCGATTTATTCATTGTACAAATGCATTTATATATTCAAAAAAAAAAAATAATCATTTTTATATTTTTTATCACAAGAGAAAAGAAATTTTTTATCATTTTTATTTTTTAAGAAAATTTTGTATATTACAAGTTAAATGAGGAAAACAATTGAATTGTTGTAATTTAATATAAGGTTCAAATATCAAAGGTAAAATTAAAATTAGAATAAAATTCCAAATCAAAAATAAAATTATATTTTTAGATATCATTAACACTTTTTTAAATAAAATTATTAATTTACTTGAAATTAATAATAATTTTTTCCCAAATATATTATTATTATTATAATCATCTTTAAAAAATTTCCCACAAAATTTCTTATAAAACCAATTCAAACTTAAATTGATTAAAATCCATATAATCATAATTAATGATTGAATTAAAAAAAATTTAAAGTGTTCACCATTACTTCTTTTCCAACCAAATATACTAATAAAAAAATATTCATGAGATATTCCACTCCAAATGAATACTGTTAGAATTCCTAATAATTTAGATGATATTAATAAGCACGGATGTAATGTGGTAGTTTTTATAGGTCTTGAATTTAGTAAATTTGTGGAATTTTTGAAATTTTTGGAATTTGTAAAATTTGTGGAAGTAGAATTCTTAAGATTTGTGGAATTGAAAAGTTTAGGATTTATGGAATTGGAATTGGAATTCATGGAATTCAGGGAATTATCATTACAAGATAAATTTGAAGTAAAAATTAATTTTAAATTAGAAGAGGAAAATAAAGAATTCGAAGTATTGGATTTAGAATGTAAATAAAATATGAAATTAAAAGATTTAACAGATTTAATAGATTTAATTAATTTTACATATTTAATGGTTGAAATAATAGATGATTTATAAAATGATAATAAAGTATTCCTTGTAATTCTCCAACGATTTAATTTAAAGTATAAATAAAATTGATGAAAAAAAATTCCAAGATTTGGAAATAAAGTAAATGAACAAAATTGAACCATTGGTGAATTAATTAATTCATTAAAACAATTTCTATACATTTGATGCCACCTCTTTGACCAAAAATCTATAGGATTATTGGATAAATAAGGTTTTCTAAATAAAGGATTTATTGTGGTAGGATTTGATGGAAGACAAGAGATTAAATAAATTTTCAAATGAAGAATTTTAAGATCAATTGGATTTTTGGGATATTTCATAAAAATTGAAATATTTCTAAAATTATTATTATTTAAACAATTCTCATTATTTAAATGAATTTGAGTGGGATCAAAATAATATAATATTTTTAATAATATAGGAATAATTGAATTATATATATGATATAAGTAATTCATATTATGATATAAAAATGCTCCATATAAATAACAATAAATTAAAAGAGAAGGTGTTGAAACATAATAATAATTATAATTATTATTGTTATTATTGTTATCATTATTATTTCCTAATTGTTGAAAAATCCAAGAGAATTTATTAAATATAATTGATGATGAACTAATTATGAAATGATTAGATGAGGATGAAGAAGGTAAAGTTGAAGGTAAAAGTAAAAATTTACTAGTAGTGGAATTATAATTATTATAATATTCATAGAATCGAAGTGGATAAGGTTTATCTGGTATTTGTGGTATAAACAATTTTAAAAGAAACAATAAAGTTTCACGTATTAGAAAAATTGGAATAAATTTTATCAAATTATGATAAATACGTGAATTTATTTGTAAAATTGTTAGATTATCAAGAAAAAAATTATTAAGATGAGAAGTAGTATTTGTATGGTTGTTGTTGTTGTTATTGATATAATTAATATTCTTTGATGAATTCTTGTGAGTAATATTTCTCCAACAAAATAAAGTCCACCAAAATGGTTCAAATTCATCTTTACTTTCATATTCATCATCATCTTCTTTGTCATTTTTATTCTCATTTTTATTCTCATTCTCATCATCATTCTTAATCTTCTCTTCTCCAACAATATTATTATCATCATCACAAATTCCTCCTCTTCTTACTCTTCTTCTTCTCCTTCTTCCTTCCAATGTATTGTTAGATATGCAAAATTTAAAAGATTTCTTTAACCAAATCAACATCTTGAATAAAAAACTACAAGTAATTACTGGTATCGATAAATTCTTTCTGCAATCGTAATATGATCCTAGTACAGGTGGTAATAATGCATATAATATTGTGATTATGCATAAAGTTACATATTGAAGTTTAGAATTTGGAGGATTTATTGAAAGAAATATGAATGTTAGAAAGAGAATTGTTATTAAAGATATGTATAGATAAAATGGAAATATTGGTGTATTATTATTATTATTTATAATATTAATTGATTCTGGCATTTTGAATTTTTTTTTTTTTTTTGTAGATAATTTTGTGAATAACAAAATTGATAAATTGAATAAATTGAATAAATCGAATAGGTTGAATAAATTGAGATAAAAATGAATAATGAGATTGAACTATTTTATAATCATCACAATGCAATCAAGTAATATTTATTATAGAGAGAAGGAATTCTCCCACGCTTGAAAATCTTTTTTTAATTGTTTTTATCATCATATCTTTATAACAAATGTCATTTATTTACGAATCGTCATTTTCGCTGTTCATTTATAGTTATTTTTATTTTTTTTTTATTGGATTAAATTAACTTATTTAAGTGATTTACATTTGATAGTATATCTGAATATCTGATATGTGTGTAATTTTACGAAACGTTTTTATAAATTTGAATAATGATTGATTGATACTAAACTGTAAAATAATATAATCGTACAGCATAATAGGTATTACATTTAGAAATATCGATCACATTTTTTTAACAAAGGTATGGACTTTAATTAAAAAAAAAATCCAATTTATAAAAAAAAGACCTTAACTTACCCACCATAAATGATAAAAATATAATAGAAAATATTGCAAATTGATAAATGGGAAATTAACAAAATGCAAAATAAAGAATGGAAATCAGAACATTATATATTCAATTGATAGACCAATTTAATCACCAATGGAAAATACTTGATCTATCAGATAGTAAATATGAAGATATACTATCCCCTTTTTTTTTTCGTAATATTTTTCCGTAATATAACAAATGAAGGATATAATAAAAAAAGAAAATACAAAAAAATAAATAGAAAATTCATTATCCTAAATTTTATCGAGACCATATATTAAAATATAACTTTGAAAAAGAGTTGAAGAGTATTAATCTTTATTGGTTACAACCTTTCCATGCACTTGAATTTGATACATGCATGTGTAATTCTTTTCACCCCAATTGTTCTGCACCTTAAATATAACTCTCTTCGCTATTGGAATTGTTTCACTTTGATTATAATTAATTTCAAAGTTTTGTGCGCTCGATTTATTCAATTTGTACGTAAACTTTCCTAAACAAATTGTTTTTGTGTTATTGATTTCGGTCTGATTCCTCTCGTTAATCACTAAAATTTCGAAATCTTTCGGTGCACTTTTCAGGTCTTTCTTTTCTAAAGCCAGATTTGGATCCAAATGAACATAAGTTATTGATGAAATTTCAATGGATCGACTTAAATCAATCGCTATCTGTCCAGATGAACCTCCAAAGCAATAACAATTACCAACGTTATTATCAGAAGAAATTACAATTTCGGGTTGTTTTAATTGAGTTATTCCAAAACCAAATAACATCGCGAGTTTTCTCTTTAATAATCCTTTTGGATTTTCAGTAAATTGTGAAGTGGTTAAATATGGTACAACTCTTGCACCCCCGGAATGTAACGCAAAATCTGCTCGATTCTTGGGGTCAGATTTAACGAATTCCTTTATAACTTCTTTAGCTGCTCGCGTGGCAATATCATAAATGTAAGTAAAATATTTATCTTTTAATATTTTTTCAATAATAGATGGTAAAATTTTGTATAATTCTTCCAGCCAGCTTGTTGGAATTTCATGTATTAATGATGATGATGAATCTAATAACGGAGGATTTGCATCAAAAGTAGATCGGATTTTAGAGATAATATGATTACACATTTCATTGAAATGAGAATGACCAGAATGACCTCTTTCAAAAGTTAGTTGACCGGTGGTGGTGGTGTATATGGACAAATTTGTAGAAGAATTATTATCAGGCTTAAATAAAATAAATATGATTCCAGTAATTGATGCGCAAACTATTAAAATTGCAGTTATTTTGTGCTTTGCATGAAGAAATTTCAATAAATGAAGAACACACAAAATCATGTTAGAAAGAAATACATAAAGCATGTATAGAAATTGAGGAGTTCTCCGCCAAGAATTATGTCGTTCTTGTTCAGATCTAAAAAAAAAAATGCAACTATATTTAGATAACACAAATTAATTAAAAGTACATGTTTTTTGATAAACATACCGATTTGGTTGTTCATCGTCAATATATATTGTCTGTGTAGGCGTTTGAGAAGAAATACGTCGATGTCTTTGCCTTTTGAGGGGAATACTCATAGAAGGTTCAGGCTCATCAATATATCGTACATTATTGAAGTCTGAAGTATCCGAAACCGTATCATCGGATGTGTCGTCTTTAATTACCATTTTGTCTTATAAAAATTATCTTTCAAAATTAGTATTGTTGCGATATGGTAAAATTTTATATAGAATTTTCAAATTTATTTAATTCAAATTCTAAATAGATGCCAACTTACCACTTTCTAGCCTACGTTTTTTGATCCTTTTTTTTTGTACCTAATGAATAAAATAATATAAATAATATGAAATAAATAAATGAAAGATTTCAGTAAAATATATATATATATAAAGCCAATTTCACTTGCCTGTTAGGAAGATAAATAATAACAAAATTCAATTCTGTATTAAATAGGTGTATGTGGATATTAACTATAAATTTTGGATTACGCGTTGAAAAAAAATATGAATATATTTTAATACTGAACAGAGAAAACTGCGGCATCCATTGCTTATTTAAATTCTTATTATTAATTTTATTATAATAAAAAAAAAAAAATTAAAAATAATTTTTAAGGTTAAATGAACTGTAACTGACAAATATATATACCTAAATGAAAGCCAATGCGGCATTTAAAAAAAAACGCGGTTTAATTAATTAAAGTTTTTTTACGTTCCGAGAAAAATATGTAAAAATCTGATCATGTGCCCGTGTTGTACTAAAAAAAGTAATGTTTTTGTAATGTTTTTGAATATCTTCCTTTTAAAATCGTCTAATAAAATAAATGAATACTAGTTATAATCTTGATAATGGGGAATCACAAAAACAGCCACCACAGACTTGGAATATAAAAGATCTAAATCAAAATGTTGAATTATTTGATAGAAGTCCTTTTTCATCAACTGGTAGCCTGATTATGCCTACCAACGTTTCTATTAAAAGTGAAAATGATAAAGAAATTCAATATTCAGAAAATTTCGTTCATAATTCGTCTCCTCGGGAGAAAGAAATATTTTCAGATACCGAGTTGTCAACGCCAAACTTCTATAATCTTTCACCACCACAAAGACGTCGAACGTTATCAGGTATATCAAGACATCAAGAAAGGTTCTCGCTAAATGATTTGGATTCAATTTCCGATTCGGATTTAAACCGAAATTTATCACCAAATTATATCGTAAACAAAGGTAATAATAATAATAATAATAATAATAGAATGATGAGAAGTAGTTCTTATGAAGAACGTGAAAATGATTTTGATAGGGTAAGAATCGGTCATGCGGGGAAGGGATTTAGTAGTCTAATTAGTGATGAGAGAAGCAAAGGTAATGTTATACTATATTGTATATATTCTCTTGTATGTTTTATAGTGATATAATTAATATTGTAAAAAAAAGAAAAATGATTAATTACCTTGATCTTAATTACGATCTTTAATTATCAAATTATTAAAAAATTTTAGAAATTAAAAAGTTAATTGAAAACGTAAAAGATGAAGATGCATTCAGATTAGCACAAATAACACAAAGACATGCAAATGCCAATCTTCAAAGTCGTCGAAATTCAAATTTTGAAGATTATAATCATGGAATTCGATCAAATAAAATTACTTCATCCAAAGATTGCAAAAAATTTTTTGAAGAAAAATATTTTACCATTTTCAAAATAATTAATAATAATGGAATTTACAATCCACTTAAATGCGTGAAAAATCGTCGGATAAATATGACAAATCTTGATGATAGTAATAATGACTCTTCTACTAGTTTAATATCAAATAGTCGAGGAAAAAATAATAATATAATGGGTCGACAAAAAGGAACAAATATTTGGAACATTTCACCTGCGGAAATTTTATACGAATATGAGAAAAAAAATAATATTATTAATTCAAAATCGTCTCATTTAACTATTGAAACGATACCTGTTTCATCTAAGAAGAATTCACATCGCCCAACACAAGAAAGAGAAAAAGGAAAGGGAAAGGAAAAAGAAAAAGAAAAAGAAAAAACAGTAAAAGCAGAAAAAGTGGAAAAAGTGGAAAAAGAGGAATTGAGTTCACCGACAAATTTTAGAAATTTTAGAAATTCTAGAAGTAAAATAAAAAAACATTCAAAAGCTTTAAGTTTAAATAATATAGGACAGGACATAAACAATAATGATGAACAAAATAAATCAAAAAGATGGTCATTACATTTATTTAAACGAAAAGATAAAAAACTTAAAAGAAAATTTTCAAAGAAAGATAATAAATCTGGAAAAATTGATGAAATACTTGACGATGATGATGATGTACATTTACATTTATCAAATTCCCAAAAGAACTTGATTGATTCATCGTCTAGTGATCATACTTCTCGAAGTTCAGCAGAATATTCTCGTTCTTTATCCGATCGAGAACAATTAAATTTAGAAGAAGTTATTAATAATGACTTAAATTCACGTCAAAACGTGTTACATGAAGAAAAATATAAAAGTGTGGGAAAATTTGAAAAAGAAGAATCAACAGATACAAGTAGTCAAAGGGATTCATTAGATACTTCCGCAGAATTTAGTGATAATCAATCATCTGATTCCGAAAATATTCAGGTATTCATATTGTATATGATTTGACTCTTTTGGTTATTTGAAAATTTTATTATTAAATTTAAACTAACCAATATACTATTTAATATTATTAATCTAATGTTTAATGTACTGCTTAATGTATTGTTTAATATATACTATTTTACTATTTAATAGGTTGAGTCAATAAGAAATCCAGAAATTCTTATTACGATGAGTGAAGATATTGATTATTTACCTCAAGGAGAAAAAGGATATTCAGATACGTACCGATCTTCAAGTGCTGAATATGAAAGTAAGTAAGAAGAAGAATTCGTGTTTAAATAATTTTCTTCACATAATTTATTACATTCCTAAATGATAAAAAAATTAATGTGATTTTCTATATTATTTTATTATTATTATAACTATTATAATAATAAAGATGATAGTGATGAAGAGGATTACGAACCATATTTTATTCGTGAAACAGTTCATGTTAATCTCGATTATTTGCCAGATGATCTTGTCCAATTAATTTCATCATACCAAAAAGAAGGAATAATACCAAAAAATGAAGATAACAGTCATTACGGTGTGTTAATTAATTTGTTAATAATAATAATATTATTATTATTATTATTAAAATGTCAAGATATTGAAATTATGGAAATCATATTTGATATTAAATATATATTATAAAATAAAATAAATTCACAGTCGAATTGGATCTTGGGAAAGATCTGTTTAAATTTAAGAAATTTAATAAACATGTTAAACATGGAGGTAAAAATAATTTTAAATTTTTTAATTCATTTATTTTTATATACTAATTATCATATATATTTATATATATAACATTTCATATAACGTCTTTTCTATATGTAATAGATGATTTATTGAATATATGTGTGTCACTTGTTACAAATTCGAATAGGAGGTAATAATAATAATAATTTTGGTTTAAAAACGATTTCTAAATTACTTTCAAATATTAATTTTCAAAATTAAATTTTTATAAATAGTATTGATTTGCATGAAGTAGAAGAATCAATAGCACGATATGATTATCGTATTAAAGAATTAAACGAAATATTAAAAATAAATAAGGTAAAAAAAAAAAAATAACAATAATGATTTGTAAAATTGTTTCCGATTAATTATTGAAACATTTTTAAATATAATAACATAGGAAATATTTCCTGAATTTATTAATGATTATGATGAAGAAAGAGATGATGATGGTGTCAATAATATATTAAGTGAAACATTAGTTCAATCACCCGTTTGTAATAAATCTTTTCATTTTCCAAGCAAAATACAATATACAGAAACAGAACATGAATTAAAAGATCGTATTGATAGAGGATCAGAATCCTTGAAAAATTCAACTGATGACATGGAAAATATTGTTAAAAGATTAGAAAGTCAACATAATAAGTAAGTCATCATTATTTTTATTATTTTAGATAACTTTTATGATGATTTTTTGATAATTTTTTGATAATTTTATAATGATGATAGCATTACAGAAGAAATGAAAATCATGTTGAATGAAATTGAAAAAATAACAAATGAAGTTAATAAAGATTATTTTAATGAGGTTTGTTGATGAACAACAGAAAGAATTTAAATTTTTAATTTTAAATATTTCTTTATTAAAAATATTTATTTATTTTATTTATTTATTTTATTTATTTATTTTATTTATTTATTTGTTTGTTTTTTTTTATTGAAATATCAATTATAGTTACAAAATCTAGAAGATGAAATTCAATTTTTGATTGCAGAAAAAGAAAATTCACCTTGGTTGGAAACATTTTATTCAATGATGTCATATGTAATTGCAGGTAATTAAATTATTTTATAGAGAATATAAAAAAAAATTATTACATTAATTTAATTAATTTATATTATATTATTTTAATAGGAATTATGTTTATGCTTTGGTTCATTGTAGCAGTTTTTAAACTACTGAAGAAAATTTTATTTTTACCAAAGACAATTTGGAAATTAACCAAATATTCAAAATAACATATATTTCATTTGGATACATAATACAAGTATATTATTTATTGATATTTATTTATTATATTTATACATTTCTCTCTTTTCTTTTTTAATAACATTTATAGAATTTTTAATTAATTATTATTATTGTATTATTTATTTATTTATTTATACACAAATCTCATCTTCAAATCTCATAAATTGTATCATACGAATTAGGAAATATTAATATCTAAAAATAATTTAATTAACCTTTCTTGTTTCCATACACCAAATGCAATTAAAACGGTAAAATATTAACCAATCAAATTTTTTGATATAATCTTATATATTGATTATAACAAAACTTTGATTAAAATAAAATATAATCCTAAATGTAGAGAGTAGATAATAATAATACATAAGTCCCAAAACAATATAAATCATTATGTTTCTGTTTATAGCTTTCATTAAAAAAATTATCAATAATAATGATAATGATAAAATCTATAAACTGTGAAACAAATAAAAACGAATGAAACAAATAATTTCACAAAAAAAATAATTTCGTGTCATGTGTAGATTTAAGAATGATAGAAAATCCAAAAACATTCAAAAAAAAAAAAAGGAAAATCGAGAATAAAAAAGTTTTATATAATATTACACAAACAACAAACAAATTACAAAATTCTTTTTTTAGGTTTCCATATTTTATTTCGTCACATTTTTATTTCATTTATGTACCATTTATTCTAAGGGACAGGTTTTTTTTTAGAGTACAACATTCTAAATTGCCACATATAAAGAAATATAAATATTCGATAGTTTTTTTTACAATATTACCGTAGTTTTATTTTATTTATTATTAGTAAAAAGTATTATAAATAAATCAATTCATTCCAAAAAAAAACTTTATTATATATAATAGTTCTGTCGTGTGATTTTGAAAAAGTGTTTTTTCGTAATTCTTTTTTTTCTTTTACTAATAGTATGAAATTCTAGAGTTATGAACAAATAACGAAAATGAAAGAAAAGAATAAAAAATAATTAAATTTATATGTTACTAACGAAAAAAAAAATACAAATAATTATTTCTAAAAAATTATTCATAATAACAATAACAATAATAAAATAATAATAATAATAATAATAATAACGGCACTTATCATAACTTATCATAACTTATCATAACAACACGACCCTAAACCCAAGAAAGAATATATTGATAATAAAATAATTTTTGTGAATTCGACCAAACGCTTTATAAGTAAAAGGAAAAAAAAAATAAAGAAAATGCCCACTAACGACGACAACAACCCAAGACGAAGGTCATTAAATTCATTAAATCCAAGAAGATGCTTTAAGGGGTTTATCCATTTAATGACCCATAATTCAATTGCTAGATATGGTGTCTTAATATTATTAGTAGCTTTTATTAGTATATTATATTTTGCCACCACTCATCAAGTTTTAAGACCCGCAGGTTCAGGTCCATCTATAAATTCCGAAAGTTATGCCACGAACGATACAGGACCTATTTTTCAAAATCAAGAAATTTTTGATCAAAATGATGGCGAAGTAATTCAATATGGTGATATTAGAAAATTTCCTAGAAAAGAAACTCAAGGTTATCTATATAATCGTGGTGATGGTTGTTCAATTATTAGTGTTGAAAAGAATATACCTTTACCATCAAATGAAGACCGAGTTGGATTAATTTCTTTGGATGAAAGAAATTGTAATATATCTACGAAAATACAGAATTCTATCCAAAATGGAACTAGAAATATGATTTTTTGGTCATCAGATAAACAAGATTATGGTAAATTAAAAACGGCTTTCGAAATTTATAATGATCGTAATGATCGTAAAGATCGTCAAAAAGATAAAGCCCTTTTAGTATTCTCGGTAAATAAAAATACTTCAGATGAATGGATAAAACAATTAAACGATTTATATGATAATTATGCTAACAAAAGTTCCGGTTTAAGAGTAACCCTGAGATCATCTCAACCGATTTACGCTAGTTCTTGGTTATTTGCAATGTTTGCAGTTGGTGGTGTATTGGTGGTATCGTTCTTTATTTCTATATTAATACATCTGAGAATTTATAGAAGACGACAATCGCAAGAAGAAGAAATTGAAAGACAACGATCAAATGAAGATTCATTAGGAATGAAAAAATGGACATTGGATAAAGAGACTGTCGATGCATTTCCCGTTATTATTTATTCAACAAAAATATCCTCTACAGAAAAAGAACCAAAATCTAATAATAATAATAATGATGGTGATGATGATGGTAATGTCAAAGTAGAAGTTGAAAATGTTAAAGTAGAAGATGAAAAAGTTAATGGTGATGAAAATAAGAATATTAAAAGTGATGAAGAAATTAAAAATGTTAAAATAGAAGATGAAAAATCTAATGATGATGAAAAAGTTGAAAAAGCTAATGATGATGATGAAAATAAAAATACTAAAAGTGAAGAAGACTCGAAAAAGCAAAGTGATAATCTACGTAGACATTATTCTCTTAGATCAATCAGATCTTTCAGATCTACAAGATCTACTAAATCTACTAAATCTCAACGATCAGTTAAAGCCATTAGTAATGCTATTGCACTTTATGCATCACCATCAGTAGAAACACGTACAGAAGGTTCTACGGAAGAATCACCCATTGATTTAATTGCAAACTCGGAAACCAGAGAAACTTGTGCTATATGTTTAGAAGATTTTGATGATGGCGATGAAATACGTGAATTGCCTTGTCGTCATTGGTATCACGTTGAATGTATTGATCCTTGGTTAACAACAAAAAGTAGTTCTTGCCCATTATGTAAAAACGATTGTAAACCTAAAAATTTAAGTGAAGGTGATGGTAATGTTCAAGGAAATACGATCGTACAAGAAAGAGAATCACAGACTACTCAAGTAATTGATAATCAAGACTCTCCTACAAATCCTTCAATAAGAGGTAATAATACCGTTACACATTTAATGATTAACGCATTAGATTTATTATTTGGATCACGACAAAGAATGCGAAGACGTCGAGGACAACAAAATGGTGATAATGATGTAAGAACAACAGATTTAACAGATTTAGAAATTGGAAATATTCAGACTACTTCCACTACTTCCACTACTCTCACTACTTCTACTACTCCTACTACTTCGGATAATGTAAGAACAACAGATATAGAGATTGGGAATACTACTTCCACTACTTCGAATAATGTATAACACTATATATATAACATAAAAATTGTATTGATTATTCTTTCTTTTTATTATTATTATTATTATTATTATATTTAAATATTTTTTTAAAAAAAAAGGGAACGTTAAAGAGGTTTATATTCATAATAAAAATGTACGATATTTAATTCTTCAATTTTTTAATAATTTGCTTTCTTTGTACTATATTTTCACAATAATTTGTGTGAGATCGAATTTATTGAATACGCATAACGTCATAAAAGAAACTCCAAATCAAAAAAAAAAATAAAAAAAACTGATCAACTTAACAACACATGATACACATTTGTTAACAAGGTCTAAGAATGGGTAATTATCAAATAAGATCCCAGGTCAATTACTATGCGAACAGTTCGCCAACTATGCAAACAAATATACAAAATTTACAAACAAACATGCAAACAAATACTGTTTATCTTTCGTTTTTTTCAATTGATATAGTGATAAAAAAAAATAATTATTTAATATGTATTTGAGATGAGATTATATGAGCTTTCACCAGAGTGGTTAATTCACAAATTAATAATTGCGATACAACTATCCAAATTTACAAAAAAAATTAAATTCCACCCAAAGCTTTATTAATTAAACTGATCTGTATTTCGTGTAAGCTTCTCATTATTAGCTTTCACTTCATTTTTAAATAAAGCAAATGATATATTACTTTTTGATTAGTCATAACTTATGACTAATTATAAATATCGAGTCATGTATCCTGCTGTTGTGCTTGATAGGTGATTTTACTGTTTCAATTATGTAACACAGGTTCAATGAATTCCTATTTATGGACAAATTGATATTCAAAAAAATCGGGAATTTTCTTTAATTATATATATAGGAAAATTTATGATTGACAAGAATTATCTTATAATATTCATATATTTTTATAATACATGCATTTAAAGTTATTTTATACACAGTATAAATCAACAAAATAAATAACTATATATACAGTAATAAATAAATAAAATATTTTTATGCTAATGTAAAATTATGAAGAATTAATCTTTTTGTTGTTATTCATAGTGATGGTGTTGTCGTTAAAGATGGTTGATCAAATGATGTTGTTGGTGTTACTGGAATAGAAGAATCAATTATTAAAAAAAAAATTATTAAAAAATTATTAATACATTTTATTATTATTATTATTATTATTATTATTATTATTATTATTATTATTACTTGTATCGTTGTTGTCAGTTATTATTATCGATGTTGGTGTTGATGAAGTAGTAGAAGTTTCATTATTATCATTCCATTCCTTTTCCAATTCTTTTGGTGATTTACAATCGAATTTACAAAGTGGACATTTTGAACTTTTCGTTGTAAGCCATTCATCTAATTAAATTATATAAAAATTTAATTTTATTTAAAAGTTAATTGTAAATTGTAAATATAAATAAATAAATAAATAAAAATTTATATAAAAAGAAAGTTTTATTTACCAATACATTTGGCATGAAATTCATGTTCACATGGTAATACTCTCAATAATTCATCATCTTGAAATTCTTCTATGCATATTGCACAAGTTGTTTGTAATTCTTGTATTTTATGATGACTCATGTCTTTTTCTTTAACGTGAATGTCCGGTGAAATAGAGGGTAAAGAGTCTTTTGGAGAGGATTGATATAATACAGTTGATGTTCTTTCTCTTTTTTCGGATGTCGTAGAAATTATTTGTTCTTCTTCAAGATTTAAAGGTATTTTGTTATTAATATTTTCTATTATATTAATACGTATTTCCCTATTATCATCTTTGTTATCTACTAAACTTGTTCGATTCTTTTTCCTTAAAATGTCTTTTATTAACATAGGTTTTTCATCTTTAACTGTTATCATTATTTCTTCTTTAGTATTATCAGATTTAAATTTTTTTACAGGAAAACTTTCTAATATATCTTTATCAAGAACAGGATGTTGTGTATTTTCCGTTGTAGGAGTTGGTGAATTCGGTCCTCGCCTTCTCCACCGAGTTACTCCATATTGTAAACAAGCTAAATTTTGCAAAAAAAAAAAATTAAGCTTTTCAAAATTATTATTATTTAATTATTAAGATAGAAAAAATCGTATATACCTAAAATCGCAAAAGCGGTTAAGAAAGTGAAAAGAATAGTAATAAAAGTGATTTGTAAAGCTGATGCAATACTTCTTTGTAAAGGAACCATCGTAACATAAGCTTGTATTTCATTCTTATTAGTAGATCCATTATAATTTTTTATACTTTTTTTTATTTCATCAGCAACTTTATTACTAACATAGAAAGTTGGGAGGTTTGGTTTTTCAATTTTATAATCAATATTTTCAAGGTTGTTGGGAACTTTTCCAGCATAATTTGATGAATAAAATAATATTCCAGTTATTAAACTTGATACATTTTCAACATTTAATATTTGTTCTTGAATACTACAAGAAATATTATCTTTAACCATAACAAACATTGAAGAAAAATTTAATTGTTCTTGTAATTGTATAAAACCACCACAAATATCTCCTAAATATAATACAATATTAGAAATACCCTCCGGTGGTGGTTCAAGGGTATTAGGTATGGTGTTAACATGATTTGCGTTTTCATATTTTGTTCCTTGGCCCCGTTCTACCCAACTGGAATTATCATTATTGTATGTTGCTGAATCTACGATAATTGAATTAGGTCTACCAGATAAAGTCCACATAGAACTCGTGATATCCAAAAAGAAAACTAAAATACACGCGATTATAATTTTGAATGAACGCATTTTAACGAACAATTTCGTATAGCAATAACGCTATAACAATTTAACGAAAAAAAGATGAAAAAGAAATTGTTTGATACGAGAAATTCTTCACATAATTTATAATAAGTTATAAAAGATAGATGAATGAGAAAATTTTATTATTCTCTTAAAAAAGGAAATATGTATCTTTCTTTATTTATTAATTTTTTTTTATCTATTCTCACATGTTCAATTTAAAGTTTTAGATTGGTAAAATTTTGGCTGAAAAAGTTCAAGTTACACAAATAAATAAATAGAATAAAAATATGACGTGACAATCAGAGCCCTATTACCTAAACAACACTAGATTCGTGTCACCATATGCCATCTTACAAATCAGTAAGCTTATTTTGATTTTTTTTTAATTTGCCTTAATTAATTAATTACCTAAATGCGGTAAAATAATAATGCGTAAAAGATAAAATGCGTAAAAGGTAATTGCGTAAATTGTTGAAAAATTAGTAATAAAAAAACAGATAATTTTTATTCTTATTCCAAATTTCTTTCCTCAAAAAGGAAACTCAAAAAGAAAAATACTTATTTTTCAACAAAAATGTCATCATCAACATCATCGTCGTCGAATTTCAAAGATGATATTGAAGAAAATAATGAATTTACTCCATTCTTAAATAAAAATAAAAATAAAAACAAGGGTAATAATAATAATAATAAAATATTATTACCATGGTATAAAACTCCATCAATATATTTTATATTACCGGCATTTTTTTTAATGTCCTTCACAATTGGTCTTGAGCTTACAACCAAAGTTAAATTTAATGTTCAAATTGTTTGTCAGAATTATTATTATTCTAAATCAGAACAATCACCTCATTTTTTAATAAATTTTAATAATGAAATGTGTGATATTCCCGAAATTCAATCCATTACTTCTGAATTAATGTCAATATTAAATCTTTGTTCTGCTGTACCAGGTAAATAAATAAATAAATCATGCAAAAATTACATTCACGTTCGTTCGTTCGTTCGTTCGATACGTTCGATACGTTCGATACGTTTGATACGTTCGACATAACTGCATTGATATTTTTCTACCTAATTATAATAACTATCTTAAATTTTTATTATTGTTTAACTACTTTAATTAAACTTTATTATTATTATTTTTATTATTTTTATTATTATTATTACTATTATTATTATTTAAATATTTTAAAACTTAACAAATAACACATTATTAAATATACAGGGATCTTCGTGTTAGGATTATTTGGTTCAATTTCTGACAAGAAAGGTCGTCGTATAATTCTTTTATTAGCAGCTTTGGGATTTGGAATTAATAGTTTAACTGTTATTTTTGTGGGAAATTTTTGGGAATATATTGGTTCAAATTATTCGAAATATTTAATGCTCGGTTGTTTATTGGATGGATTCTCGGGTGGACTACTTTCATTATTTGCTACCATTCATGCATATGCTGCGGATTGCTCGACTCCCAAACAAAGGTAAAATCTAAAAAAAAAAATTTTTCTAAGAACGAGCGTGAATGCATTAATCATTATTTCATTATTATTATCATTACATTTTTGTATACGTTAATAATGCTCTTTTTTTTTCTTTGATAGGAGTATAATATTTGGATGGATTCAAGGTGTACTGTATGTAATTGTCATTTATTGAAGTTACGCGTCGTGATTATCATTTTATTTATTCTTGTTTTATACTTGTTAGGTTTATGGGTATAGCTTTAGGTTCCGTTACAAGTGGATTAATATTAGAATCTACGGATAATATTATTTCAGTATTCTACCTATCCGTAATTCTCTCCACAATATTCTTTTTATTCGTTCTTTTCATTTTACCTGAATCAGTTTCATTTGATAAACGTTTAGAAAATCACCCACAACAATCACAACCACCAGCAAGAAAAAAAACAAATTGGAAACAATTTAGTGAATTACTTAATGTGTTCACACAATTATCAATTTTTTTACCCAAAAAATCAAATCAATTAAATCAATTAAATCAATTAAATCGAGAACAACAACAAACATCAGAAGAAGGACAACAAAGAAAAGATGAAGAAAGAGAAGAGATATTTCCGAAATATTCATTATTAATATTAGTGATTACTTATTTTATGTTAGTATCAGCTGCTTTTGGGGTACAAAACGTAATGTTTTTATATACTTCTTATGTATTCAAATGGTCATTAATTGAACAAGGTTATTTTATATTATATTCGGGAATATTAAGAGTAGTGGTATTAGCATTGTTTACTGAAATAACTAGATTTGTGAAAAAAAGATCGAAGGATGACAAAAAGAATAAGAATAAAAATAATAATTATGATGATGATAATAATAATATAATAGATAATGATGATAATGATGATGATGATGATAATAATAATAATATTATAATAATAGATGAAAAAGAAAAGAGGAATGGATTATTATATGATGTTTGGGTAATTAGATTTGGATTAATAATTGATAGTTTCGCTTTTCTTATTTATGGTTTAGCAACAAATTCGATAATATTTGTTACTGGAGGGATTTTCGGTGCATTTGGAATCATAGCAAATTCTACTATTAGAAGTGTACAAACCAATTTAGTACCATCTTCACAAGTTGGTCAATTATTAGGAGCAATAAGTGTAGTAGAAACTATTGCACGAATTACTGCTCCAGCTATATTTAATAGTATGTATAGTTATTTGGTGGTAACGACTGCACCAAATGTTGTTTGGTATACAATTTCTGGAATGTTGTTTTTTGGAGTAATTTTGATGTTTTTAATTGTACCAAAAAAATAATGTTTTTACCGTAATTATTTAAAAATTATATAGTTTTGTTCGATGCAAAGTAATTTAGTTCTTTCTTCACAAGTATTCGTTCTTTTATATGAAAAATATTTTCAAACTATAATTAAATTTAATAAAAGAATTAACTTTTTTTATTTAAGGCAACTTTCTCAAATCCGTTATATACATTTACCTGCCAAAAATATCTGAGTAATAATTTTTATTTAAATAATTTTTAAACTTTTAATGCACTAAATTGCATAAGTTATCAATCAATATCTTTATTTAAATTGGATGCTTATTGGTGTATTAATTTTTAATTTTAATCCTTTATCGTAACCTCAATGAGTATCAAAAATAGTTACCAACTATCTTATAGAAGGTCATGGACGAAAGAAAAATCTTATTTTTGATAAAATGTATCATAGTGTAGCGATGCACATCCGCGAACTTGGAGGGAATATTAGACAAGCGACAGTTAATAATTTTTATGATAATAGAAAATACTCGTTGTAATAGTTCTACAATTAATGATATGGGTATATGGGAGGATGACATGGAGTAGGCCATTTCTTAAAGGGGCCTAGGATTCCGGAAGGCATATTTTCATGCTTTATTCCTCCCTTTTTGTTCCTACTCCACGATTTTATTTTCAGGCCGGCCTTTTACAATGTAATATAGCATTAAAATTATTTTTGGATCATTAATTTTGGATAAATCATGTGATCGAGATGATAAATCACGAGTTTTTTTTTTTCGCGTTTTCTTCATGAGACGAAAGCTGAAGAATGGTGTTTTATAGACTTTCATAAACACTGTCAACGTCAAATAGATTTTACCAAGTCTTTTAAAAAGGAAGCTTTTATACTAAAGAGGTCTCTAGAATATCTCCACAGATCCTGCTGATCTCAAATCACCCTTGCTTATTTGTGTACCATCCGCAAATCTTAAAAATTTTATCTATTTTTTTTTTTCATGCAAGTCATTTCTAAGTTTAAGATAAATCTAATTGAATTTTTCAAATGTGAAAACAAATGATTAGTTTTTGTTATGTTTATTTTTTCAGTTTTTTAATTTTTAAAGTATTTTATATACAAAGCAAATGCAAAAGGAATCATTTTTTTCTCTAGTTTTAATTTTGTCCTAATTTTTCAAGTCATTTTTTAAGCTTAAGATAATAACCAAAAAAATTACAAAATTTTGGTAACCATAAACAGAAATGGTGCTAAAATTCAAAAAAATGGAAATATTAACAATAATTACTATTAGTAATTATTTTTAATATTTCCTTTTTTTTTGAATTTCAGCACCATTTGTAACCTTAAAATGAACAAAAATATGAAAGAAAACATAATCTTTTCTACTTTCAAATGTGGAAATAAAAAGAAATCATTTGGTTAAACCTAAAAAACATACTGAAAAAAGACACACAAATGTTCTTCAAGAATGACATTGTGTAAGGGTGTTTAGTAAATACTTGAAAATGAGAATTTAGAAGGAAAAAAAATAGTCATGAAATTATTAATAATTATAAATACAAAAATTATTATTAATTTTATAAATTTAATAAGTTAATAATTATAGTTAATACTTTTGAATATATCATTCATTCATTACTAATTAATAAAAATATCTCTCTTTTTAGTCATTATCTCTCTTTTTTAGTCATTATCTCTTATTGGAATAAAATAATTATCTCTTATTATTATAAAATATAAATAATTAGAATTTGAAAACTTGATCCTATTAAATCAATCAATATTAATTATAAAAAGAAAAAATAATAAATTAAATTAATTAATTAATAATGTTAAATTTTGTAATAAAAAAAAACAATTAATTAAATATGTATAATATGTATTATATTTACCTCTAATTTTGAAAGACTTCTAGCTTTTTCATAACCTAATAATTCACAATTTTTAGCCATAGCATTAACCATAGGGAGAGGACCACATAACAATATTTTTATATCATTTGCAGGCTTGGGACAATATTTTTGTATAATTTCAGGAGTGATAAATCCTGTTCCACCAACCCAATTTTGAGAGGGCTATTTTTTAATAAATATTAAATAAATATTAAATAAATATTAAATAAGTATTAAATAAAAATTAAATATGGAAATAGTTGGTTTACTTTATCCAAAGAATAATAAACATTGAAATTATCATGTTGAGCGGCGAGAGTATCTAATTCATCCTTTAGTAAAATATCATCTTCTGTAACATTTGCAAAGACCAAATTGACTTTTGTTTTATCTTTGGGATTTTTACAAATAGCCCGAATGATCTAAATTTTAAAGAAAATTAAAATTTACATAATTTATAAAATTTAACAGTAATAACAAAATTAAGGATCAATTAATTACCTGTAACATTGGTGTTATACCAGTACCACCTTAAAAATATTTGAAACATTGAAAGAATAAAATAATAATAATAATAAGAAAAATAAATAATAATAATGATAATGATAATAATAATAATGATATAATAATAATAATAATAATAATAATAATAATAATAATAAGAAGAAGAAAAATAAATAATAATAATAATAATAATCATAATAATAATAAAATATATTAAAAAGGAAAATTATCTAACCAGCAATCATTCCAAGAGCTTTAACTAATCCTGGTCTATATTTAAATTGTCCTTTAGGTCCTTTAACTGTAATTTTTTCTCCAATTTTGAGATTATCAAGCCATTTTGATATCATACCGTTAGGATATGTCTAATAATTAATAATAAATAATATAATTATTAATAATTATAAATCATAATTTAATAAATAAATAATAATAAATTAAATAATAAATAGTAATAATTAATTAATTCATACCTTTACAAGTAAATCAAAATGACCTAAATCATCATCCGAACTAGTTGGAGTGTAACTACGTTGAACTAATTTACCATTGATTTCTGCTTGTACCGAAATATGCTAAAAAAAAAATTAAAGATTAAATTTATAAACGATTTAAACAATAATAATTCAACAATAATTATAAAAAATAAACAACTTAATATTTTACCTGACCAATTGGAAGTCCTAAAACATCTTTTGGATGGGAAAAAGCAAAACGATACCTATTTGTGTTTTTGTTTGTTTGTTTGTTTGTTTGTTTTTTTTTTTCTTATAAATTAGATACTAAACTAAAAAATATTTAAATTATAAAAAGTACATTTACGAATAGAATAAAAATAAAACTTACAAAGCAGTGTTATGACTGATTTTAATTTTTTCTTTAAGAGGGAATTGTTTCCATAATTGAGGATTCAAAACTGGTGGTGGTTTAACTATCATTCATATATTTCATTAAAAGATATCAAAAAAAAAATTTTTTTCATGATATTTTTCTTTGAAGAATAATATATATATATATATATAGAAAATTATTATACCTTTTTCTTTATCTATGACAAAAACCTTGAACCATGTACCAATTAAAATTCCAGATACGTAAGGTAAAAGGTTAGGTAAATAAACATAATTAAAACCAAGGACGATAGCAATAATACCAGCGGAAACTATACTTTTACTTGACATTATTAATATATTTATTAATAAAAGAATAAAATAATATTTGATAAGAAGAAGAAATAAATTGTTGACAAAAAGAATAGATGAATGTTGATGACAAGAATTAAAGAATAAATAAATGAAAAAAAAAAAAATAATAGGGGATAAAAAGAATGTTTAAAAAATTTTGGAATTTATAGATATACAGTATATATTCGATATATCGGATCTACTTTTCTTTCTTAATTTTCTTAATGTAACACATTATAATTCAATTTAAGAATAAAATTGACATAAATGATCTAGTACATCTGGCATACAGTTGTTAAAATAAAGTCTATTTATACAATATACTTTATTTACTTTTGATAGACTTGATATATTAAATATATATTTTATATATAATAACAATAATTATATTTTACAACCAATATTTACATTTGCTCGTGTTAAATGACCAAGACTGGACATTTTACAAGGTTACTATCATCGGATAGTGAATCGTCATTTTCTCAAGCTCCAGCTATTCCTTTGCAAGCAATTATAACTTCTCCCGATCCTATAATAAATGCAAACCCGAATACCTCACCTAATGTGGACGTATTTGCACCAGTTTCACCTATCACAGTTGGTATGAATGAAGAATGGCCTCTTACCGAAATACCACAAGAACTTAGAGAACCCGATGATGATTATGATTCCACAGCGGCACATAATACGGAAGCAAATTCAATGCGTACCGATTGGAAAAGAGAATTATTTTTACTATTAGAAGATCCTTCTTCGAGTAATGCCGCATTTTTGGTCAATGTATTTGTTTCCGTTTCTATAGTATTTAGTGCAATATTAACAACTGTGGAAACAATTCCCGCTTTTAGATCAACTTCGAGTTCAGTTTGGTTAGCAAAAGATTTATTTTTTTTATTTTATTTTATCCCATTGTTTTTGTTTTTGTTGTTTTTTTTTTCTTTCTTTCTTTCTTTATTATCATTATCATTATTATTATTTTTTATTATTTTTTATTATTTTTATTATTATTATTTTTTTTTTATTTTGGGAATGAATTTTGAGTAATTATAATTTTTTTAGGTTGACTCTGAATTTGTGTTCATTGTTGTCATTGTTGATCTAGGTTTGATTTTGAAACCACAATAGTCGCAATCTTTACAGTTGAATATGTATTACGATTAATTGCTCATTCCGATTCACTTAAACAATTATGGCGTTTTGTAAAAGGTGAAATTTTCAATTTGCAATCTATAATTCCTTTACAAATTCATACAATTCAATTAATTCAATTTCTAATTACAATTCTCATTTCAATTTACAATTCTTTGTTAAATAGCACCCCTTGCTGTGATCGATTTTATTGCAATTACTCCATACTTTATCGAATTAATGTTTCATCATGATACGGTAAATAATAATAATTTAATAATTAAAAAAGTTTTATTCTAAATTCTTTGAAATCTTTAATCTTTAAACAAATGAAAAATAATAATAATAATAATAAATAATAATAATAATAATAATAATAATAATAATAATAATAATAATAGACATATGACTTTCGTTTTACAATCCTTCGTTTATTTCGACTCCTTCGTGTATTTAAAGCATTTAAATATTCATCAACAATAATTATGACGATAGAAGTTATGATCGTTGCAGTTAAAAGAAGTATGGATGCTTTGGGTGCATTGTTTTTCTTTATGGTTACAAGTGTAGTATTATTTTCTACTTTATTATATTTCGCTGAACGTGGTGAGTATTTTAAGTATTTTAAATTATTTTTTAAAATATGTTTTCGATAAATTATATAAATTATTTTCGATTGATTGATTATTTTTATTATTTTATTTATTATTAAAAAAAAAAAAAAAAAAGGTACGTGGGATCAAGATAAACAAATCTTTGTAGATAATAAAGGATTTCCGAGGTAGATTTTTTTCGCTAATGAAAATTCATACATATATTTTTGTCAAATATTATTACATTATATTGATGTGATAATTTATTATTATGATTGTATTTTTAGTGCTTTCGACAGTATTCCTTCAGCCTTTTGGTTTGTTATGGTTACTATTACGACAACGGGTTATGGTAATTAATTTATTTATTTATTTTTTTTTTATATTTAAATTCTTTATCCAAATAAAGATTTTTTTAATTTAAACATATTTTAATTTAATTTAAATAGGGGATATGGTTCCTACAACATTTGTGGGTAAATTAATAGCTTTTCCTGCTATGATGTGTGGAATTCTGGTAAGATTTTGATAAATAATGACATAATATATACATATATATATAATGATATTTTTTATTAATTTAATTAATTAATTCAATTTAAATTTAATTTAAATAAATTTTAGCTTATTGCATTACCTTCAATTATTGTGGGAAGAAATTTTACTTTAGTTTGGGAAGCGATGCGACAATATCGTCGAACTAATCCACCTGCTACACGAGTGAGTAATTAATTAATTATTTAATTTATTTTTTTTATTTTTTATTTATTTTTTTATTTTTTTATTTTATTTTTTATTTTTTATTTTTTATTTTTTATTTTTTATTTTTTATTTTTTATTTATTTAATTTTTATTTATTTATTTTTATTTATTTATTTTTATTTATTTATTTTTTATTTATTTATTATTATTAAGGAACAAAACAATAGTGAATGTGCATCTGAAGAAGAAGGTGGATATAAAAATTATTTTATTTGAACTCAATTTTAAAAATATATACATACAATAATAATAATAATCATCATCATCATCATTTTTAATATAGGACCAGATTTACGAGCAAGTTTTGAGAGTGCACATTCTTACGCATCACACATTCCTCCTCGAGGATATTCATCCATGAGTGATGAATTGGTAGCCAATCAAGATGTAATGTTAGAACAAGTACGAAATTTGATAAAAATATCTCATCAAAATCAAGCTGCTTTGGAAAGAATTCTAGTGACACTAGAACAAAATGGAATTAAATATAATCCTACCATGACACCACCACAAAATAATATGAAATCAAACATTTCTACATCAAATATTTCTTCATCCGATACTAATGACGGTTTTCCAATAACCATGCCTGAGAAAAGTGCTTCAGGAACTTAATAAAAATGAAAAAATTTTTGGATATTATTGAATATTAATATTCTTGGGAATTTATTTTTTTTTTGGGCATTCATGAATCATGGTGAGGATGACATGATGAGGGCATTTTAATTTACATAAAATAATATACATTAATTTCTTAATTTCTTTTTATTTTTTTTTTAATTATTACTATCACTGTTTTTTTATTATGTATTATAATAGGAAATTATCAAGAATCAATTATATTTAATTATATTTAATAGAGTTTATATTAAAAAAAAAAATTATAGAATAAAATGCAATAATAAAAATTTAAAACATTTAATAATCTTGAATTCAAGTATTCAAAAAGAAGAAATTAATACATGTTAAATAAATAATACATGTTATATGCTTATTTTTTATATTTTTTATTTATCAATATAAAGAAATAATAATAATAAATGTAACTTCTAATAATCATATTTCTTTGGTTCATTACAATTACAAACAAAAACTTTAATTTTCCGAAAATTGCACTACTAATAATTATGAATAATCTGCGTAACTGTATACTATTGTTACATTACGTCATATAACGTTTATATTTTAAAGGAAAAAAAAAAAAAACTTCACTTAAGAATGAATGCTTTAACATAAATTTTTATTTAACATATTTATTAAATCTATTTATTGAATCTATTTATTATTAAACGGTCACATATATTTATTTATATATATCGAGTGAGAGAGAGAAAGAGAGTAAGATCCATATGAAATAATGTTGAAAATAAGTGAACAACGTTATATACCCAAAAAAAAAGTTCGAGAACTTTATTCGAAACAAGAGTTAGTTGGTAGAGGAGCTTATGGAGCGGTTTATAAAGGGTAAGAAAAAAAGAATGCTTTTGAAATTTATAAAATGAGAAATAAAAATTTCTAACTAAAAATTTATCAAACAATAAAAATTATATATATATAAAATTATATAAATATAATATAGAATAAATAATGAAACAAATCAAGTGGTAGCAATCAAAGTATTAAATTTGGATACAGAAGAGGATGATGTGGGTGATATTATAAAAGAAATTAATTTACTTTCACAACTTAAACATAGTGATTCACAAAATATAACGAGATATTATGGTAGTTTTCTTCATGGTACTAAATTATGGATTATTATGGAATATGCTGCTGGTGGGAGTATAAGAACTTTGGTAATATTTTTATATTATATCATTATTAAAAGATTATTATTATGAAAAGATTATTATTATTATTATTATTATTATTATTATTAAAAGATTATTATTATTAAAAGATTGTTATTATTAAAAAATTATTATTAAAAAATTATTTGTAATAATAATAATTCTATTTAGTTAAAAGCAGGTAAAATAGATGAAAAATATATATCCATAATTACTAAAGAAGTTTTACAGGCTTTGAGTTATTTACATAAATGTAAAATTATTCATCGAGATATCAAAGGTAATTATCTTAAAGAACATGTACTTTTTTGATCTATAAATTAAATGAATTAATTTATTAATTCCCTTTTTTTTTTTTTTTGTTTAAAAAAAAAAAAATTAGCGGCAAATATTTTATTGACGGCAGAAGGAAAAGTACAACTTTGTGATTTTGGTGTAGCAGGACAATTAACAGCTTCTTCGGCTAAACGTACTTCATTTGTTGGGACACCGTATCCTTTGTCAATCAATTATTATTTATTTTATTTTATTTTATTTTATTTTTTGTTTTTTAATTTTACGTATAAAAAATTTTATATTATAATAAATATCTTTAATTTTTGTAATGTAATAAAAGTTATTGGATGGCACCGGAAGTAATTACCGAAGGTGCAACATATGATACAAAGGTTAGGAATCATAAATAAGAATTAACAATAATAATTAATAATAATGATCAATAATAATGAGAGATATATATTATTATTATTAGGCTGACATATGGTCATTAGGAATTACAGTATATGAAATAGCTACAGGAAATCCTCCATATCATGATTTAAGTGCAATGAGAGCAATTCAATTAATACCCAGAAATCCACCTGCAACTTTAGAAGGTCCATTTTCAGCTCTAATCAAAGAATTTGTGGCAACTTGTCTTAATGAAATTCCGGAAGAGGTAATATAAATTTTATCATCTATAATTTAGTTAGATTCTTTAATTAGATTCTTTTAATTGGATTCTTTTAATTAGATTAGATTTTTTTGTGGGATGATATAATCATTTATAATATCATTTATAATATAATATAATATAATATAATATGTTCAATCAAATATATATAATAAATCATATAATTTACATAAAAGAGACCTACAGCTGATGAATTGATGAAAAACAAATTCATAAAATTTGCTTCGAAACATCAAAATGGAATTCTACGTGATCTTATTGTAAGATTTGAGCAATGGAAACAGACAACTGGATATCGTCAATCCTTTTCTGATCCATATGGAACTCCTTCAAGGTATAATTAATTAGAATGTATTCTCGATTTTTTAATTATTAATAAGAAGCAGTAGAAATAATAATAATAATAATCTATTTTAATTCTTTTAATTATTTTTATAGTGAAAATGATTCCCGTAAATTTGAGGAAGGAAAAAAACAAGAGGAGATTACGTGGGTTTTTGATGTAAGTTGTAAATTAATTATTTCAAATTTCAAATATCAATAATATCAATTCTTTTAATTCTTTTTAATTCTTTTATTTCTATTACATAATAATTTATAATAACTAAAAAAAAAAAATAAGACGGTACAGAATACTGTTACGCATCGTAAATCACGTTCCCTCGGATCATTACATACAGATCAATTATCACCAGTCATAGAAGGGGATGAACAAGCAGGAATAATACTAGAGAATTATAATAATAATAACAATAATCAAAATAATAATAAAAATAATACTCAAAATAATAATAATAGTCAAAATAATAATAATAATAATAATAATAATAATAATAATAATAATAATAATAATGATCATCATCATCATCAAAATAATAATAATAATGATGACGAAAATGATGAATCAGATAAAACAGTTTTGGTTAAAGATGCAACATTTAGATATGGTCGAATTATATCTGAAGGATTACTTTCACCCGCAACTCCAATATTTCAAAGAAAATATTCAGAATCTCATAATCCTTTATTACAACTTTTTCAAAATGATGAAAAATCCTTTCAACATGATAATAATAATAATAATAATAATTTAAAAGATTCATCACATAATCCTTCAATTACTATACCATCAGTAAATGCTATTAGTTTAATGCCTACTATGGAAGATTCACCTTCAAGAACTGTAGTAAATTATCAAGATCAATATTTTACACCACAATCCAATAAACTTAAAGAAAATGGATCTGATCATAATTCTTTCTCATCTTCATTAAATGATATGTCAACTACAACAACTTTAAACGATGGTCCTGCAACAATTGAAATTATTCCTCCAACCAAAGATTCAAATGTAAATTCAAGAGTTACATCTAACAACAACAACATCAGCAACAATAATAATAATAACAATAATAACAACAATAACAACAATAATATTATTATTAACAATAATAATAATATTAGTAATAATAATAATAATAATAATAATAATAATAATAATAATAATAATAATAATAATAATAATAATAATAA